ATGACTAATGCCTGGACAATGAGAAATAAGCAGAAGTCTCATTTGGTAGCTTATAAAAACTTTCCTGCTGGGCATGGCTACACCTGTAATCCCAGCACTCGGGAGGCTGAGGCAGGAGGATTGTTGTGAGTTCAAGACCAGCCTGAGTTCAAGGACAGCTTGAATTGCACAGCAATCTTCTTTCTCAAAACAAAACAAAACTTTCCTTAAATGATAACTGGATAATTACTAAATATTCAAAATTTAAAAGTATGAAATTAGTAAGGGTTTGTGAAGATACATAACAATGGGAACTCGCAAACAATGGTGTGGGGAATATAAATGCATACAATCATCTTGGAAAACAGTTTGGCATTTATTGAATAAATATGGAAGATATGTATATTCAACAATCTAGAAATTTTCCTTAAATTTATATTGCAGAGACATGTATATGTATACAGGATACTTGTATAAGGATATAGAAGCATTATCTTCAACAGTCAAAAACTGTAATAACTCAAAGGTTTATTATATCAGCTTTCTGTTACTAAAATAAAATATAAGAGATAATCAACTTAAAAAGAAGAAAGGTATATTTTGGACAGCCTCGGAGGCTTCAGTCCATGGTTGATTAGCTCACTTATTTTTGGGCCTGTGGTAAAACAGCCCATAACAGTAGAGAGAACACAGTGAAACAAAGCTCATCCTCTCATGGCTGGGGAATATAAGGAAGAGGAAAGTCCTAAACTTAACTTGAAGCGCATGCTCCCACTAACTAACTTACGTCCTTCAGCCCCCATCTCTAACAGTTCCATTACCTCCCAAAAGTGGCTAGGGCTGGGGACCAAACCTTTAATACATGGCCTTTGGGAAACGTTTCAGATCCAAACTATAGCACTCATCAACTGCAAATGGATACATAATTTGAGCTATATTTATATAAATAGAATATTATTTAACAATAAAATCCAGTTAACATATTTCTATCTACCTATCACCATTCACTGAATAGACACAAAAACCAAAATAATATAAATATAGATTAAAAACCAGGCAAACTATGTCATTTAGAAATGCACACTTGGGTGGAACACTTTAAAGAAAAGTAAGGCAATGATTACTATAAAGTCAGAATTATAGTAATCTCCAGAGCTAGAGAGAGACTTCCTCTAGGGAAAGTTGTGATTAGAAAAGGAAGTACAGGTTTTTGAATTTCTTGCAATGTTCTATTTCTTCACTGGAGTGGAGGTTCTATGGATGTTTCTACAACAAAGGTTAAAACAGTACATCACTTTATGCAGTTTTCTACATAAACACTATATTTTATCTTCCAACTAAGAAATATGAATTCTTTACCTTCTCTTTTCTTCAGTACTGCTGTTTGAAATATAAATACAGTACTGCTTGCCCCCAAAAACTATGAAAACAAGGATCACATTAGAAACAGTAGAGTAAGGAGCTAGAAGGAAGGTAAGTCCCTGAGGACTTTGTGGTGGCAAAGCTACTATATCAGTCCTCAGATTCTAACCTCTGGACTTCAAACACATGAAAAAGAAATAAATTTTATAGTATTTTAGAATGACAGCATTTATTAAGCCAAATCTGATTTTAACTGTTGTGACTGTTAAGATCTTCAAAACAATGTACCTACTAGAAAAGATGTGTGATATACACACACCAATATTCATATGCATATATACAATTAGACAATTCATAAAAGAAATCTAAATGATTCTAAACATCTAAAATGTGTTTAATCGCAGCAAGAATCAGAGTTTAAAATTAAAAAGAGACAGTATATTTCATACATCAGACTGGTAAAAATTTCTGGAGTAATATATCCAGTACTGCTGTGTATTCAAGAAAATGATCCTTCTTGGCACTGTTAATACAAATTGCTATCTATTTCTGGTAGGTAAATTGAAATAGTCATTAAATCTTAAAATGCGCTTACAACTTGAGTCATATTCAAGAGCTTATGTCCAAGAATCTTACTGTGCCATCTATCAAGGTAAAAATCTAGAAACTGGCCTTTCACACCTAGTATTTCAATAATCACCAGGAAGACAGGCATGTGTTAGTAAAATAAATATTGTATGCTGCTTTTTGCAATCTTTTGGAAGGAGTTCAGTGCCAGGAAAGAGTTCATTGCCAAACTGTAATAATGAAGCCAAGAGTTATGAAATACAGAGAAAAGGACAGTTCTTCCTCATGAGGTAGGTCTAGTATCTCTTGAATAGTAGGCTGTCACTGTCATTCAAGGTATGAAATCCATGTGTCCCAATTCAAATTTAACTTCCTGGTTTTCTCAAATGCTTTCTTGTCATGCTTACCTCCTCCTCCCTTTTGCTTTCCTCTTTCCGTGAATCCCTTTGATTGCTAAATCCTCTCAGTGTCATCTCTGGAGAGCGTTTGCTCTTATCCTCCCTCTGGTCCTATCGCATTTAGTTGGCATTAGCTATAGCGTAGCATTTTGTCAGTTTTTTTCAATCCTTCACACCTGGCTCCTTCCAGCTTCCCACATCCTTCTCCAGTATTACACTTCGCCTAGTGCTGTTAAGGGTTTTATTCACCTTTGAGGACCTCAGCGCCAACCAGGTTGCATCCCTTGGTCAAACAGGCAAACGTGCTCTAGACTGTGGTCCGGAACTTAGGGGGCGGTGCTTAGTTGTGGCCAATGAAAATGCTGAGTTCAAGGTCAGCGTGAGGTTACGCAACCAGAGGGTGGGGTCTTTTCTCCAGAAAAGGCCATAGAAGATTTTTTGTTTTTAACCTCAGGAAAAATTCCTAGCATGTTGGTGAGAGCAGAGAGGCAAGGTATTCTTCAGCTAAGGGTAAGAAAAGATATAGAAGGGCCTAGAGTATGGCACCTTGGCCATTCCTGGAAAATGGATTTGTGAAGTGTAGCTAATGCGGTCGTGTAAGACCCAGAACCAGCGTTCATCTCACCGAGGCGAGAATTAGGGATGTGAAGGGCACAGAAAAGGCCCGTGGATTCATCCCACAAGCTGGAAGTTGGTGGATTAACCTGCATGAGAAAAGTCAATGAACTTCGCCTCCTCTGCAATTTCACATTATTAAAATGTGATTTTTATGCGAAGGAGTGAGGAAAGGGAAAAAAACTTTGGATGCCTTAGAGGATTTGAGAAGCTAGTCCGAAGATTTGTACTCGCCCCTGTGTGTTCTCAAATCATAACAAGGAAGCTCACTTTTCTAGCACTGTGCTTAAGAGACTGTCCAAATTATTGCATGAATTTCCACTTTGGCCTAGTAGAGACGTGCCCCAAGGGAAATAAAATCTTGCAGATAGTTAATGGGGAGTGCGGCAATTCAAAACTTCATCGTATAAAAAATGCCTTCCCTTGAAGCATGATTTTGCTTGTTTCTCCCATGTGTCTGACTTTAGAAATAAGGCCAATTTATATTTCTTCCCATGCACCCACTCCTATAAGTGGGTTCAGATATCTGTAATTGAATGAAATAAACTTCAAAAATGAAATTCTAAGAATGAACATGACATGGTATCTTAAGTACTACATATTTAGCCTCAATTTCAATGATTGACTTCAATATAAAAGTGACTTTTTAAAGGTTATTGATGACTGATGAATCTGAAGCTTAGGTTTCATACGAAAGGAAAATTTAAAATAAGTATTGACCATAAACTGAATGGGTAACCTAGTAGAGTTCTGCTTGCTAATGTTTTGAAATGACTTCTAGAGTGAGACAGTCACATTTTCGGGAAAATGTAATAACAAAAAATGGAAATTTCAGAATAAATATTTGCTTCAAAGATCAGCGATAAACTAGAAGAAAAAAGACCTAAAGATGTAATGATTGGAAATATTTTTTAAAAAGTAATTACCAGTAAAAAATACTATGTTAGCATTGTTTAATTAAGAGAGTAGCAACGCTGTGTATTGGCACTATACTTGATGGTACCACAGAATCTGATAATATTAAAGTTTATATAACTTACTGGGATGAATTTAATTGAAAAAATTATTATAATATCCAAACATTCCTTTGAGTCATCAATCAAATAAGTATGTTCAAAATTATTTTAGAAGTTTTTTTCTTCGTTTTAAAATCCTAAGATTGTTAACTGAAGATAGAAGTAGTTTGTAGCCCTTTAATATAAATGATGTGTTCTGGTCTTTTGGTTCAGTACCTTTACCACAGATAAGGAAATAGATAAACTTCAGACAAATTTAAAATAATAATAAAAATAGGGCAATATCATTTGGATTAAAAGTGCGTATTTCATTGAATAAAATCTTACTAATAAACTACTATATAGAAACATCTGACTTACATTTTGCATTCTTGAGATAATTTTACATAATAACTTTGATAAACTGGACTCTATCCTGAAGTAATTTTTAAGCTGTAATTTCTTGAGTTCTCATATAAATGAAAACCTGCTTGGACTAATTCAATATTCTAAATTTTACTTCTTGTTTCATTCAACGGATTTTTTTCATATATCAGTAATGGCATTTTGATTTAGTTGTTTTACCATACACCATAATTGCTTTATTCCTAATAAGCAAGGTATTATATTAGTTCATTTTAACTTAAAGCTTGTTATTTTCTACATAAGAGAATGGAAATAATCTTCCAAATCTGACTCTACTGCTTCAGCAGAAGTCTACCCTCGGTTATGTAACTTCAAGACCACTGGAGAAAATCATTGCCCTCTTTGAAACTCTTTGGATATTTTGCCACAAAGTGATCACATTAAATATATTTCAAACTACCAACTAACATTTATACTGATTAAACAATAGAAAAATGTACAATTTTATAACAATACTCATCCTCAATTAGATTTGAAAATCACCGCAATAAATGTTACTGTATATGTAACTTTTAATATTTAGAACCTTTATAAAAAAATGAGTGAACAGAAGTTTTGTGATTATGAGAGATTTTATACTCTTGGTTTTGCTATTTTACCAACATTTAATTCTTACGTTTTCAGGTGTTGAAATTTGTACCACTTTCAAAGAAGTAAGATGTTTTCAGCATTCAAATACTGTGCAAAAGACTATTTGTATGAGGTACACTATGATCGACCTACTATGTACTTACTAATTATTATATTCTAAGTATTATTTGCATATGGTATATGATAATTTGCAGTAATCTTTAGGTTAATTTTCACTGTAATTACTTTCAGATTAATTTAAAATTACTTTCCATTTTTAATTTACCTTAAAAATTCTACTTTTGGAAGGAAATTATTATAATAATTAAACAGTGAAAATGAATGTAAAGCTATCAGAAGAAAAAACATAAAACTTGATAAGTTTCAAGTTTTTTATTAACACTAAAAAAAAATCTTTCTTGAAAGGAATTGGGGAAAAGTAATCTTTAACTTCATTATAACAGTAAAAACACGTATTGGCCATTTATGTTGGGTCAGATACTTTGTTCTGATGGATTATTAATCTACAGATTTTCCAGTTTTACAGGTTAGTAAGTAACTTTTCATAGAAGTTAAAGAGCTTGTACATATATTGGAGGTTATATTCAAACCTAAGCACATTGTTGAGAAATGTACTGAAATAGTTGTCATGCAGGAGTTCATTGCTTATGATCTTGGCAAGTTAATTTTCCATTATCTTTGTAACATTGACCACATCTACAGGACAAAAATCTACTTTAGTAAAACTAAAACTGCATTACATTTTACAGGAAATGGCTGGGCATGGTCACAAACACACACCTACCAATAATCCCAGCACTCAAGAGACTGAGACAGAAGGAGGCTATGAATTCAAGACCAGCCTGAGCTGATAGTGTGTTCAAGGCCAGCCTGGACTACATAGTGAGACTCTGTTCAGAAAAACAAACAAAAAACATTTTATAAGAAATAAGGAAGACAGGCACCTTTAGGTTTTATTATTCCCTCATAATCAAGGGAGGCAAATGTATAAGATATGCAATAGACTATATGTGGTAAAGTATTGCTGTTAAGGAATAAGAAGTTATTATGATACATTTATGAATATTTTGATCACTTGGCAAAGCACAGTATATTTATGTCTCATGAAACTTTTATCCTTGCCCATGGTATTTTAGTTTCTTACTGGTGTACTATATTCCATGATATAATGAAATATGATACTAAACAACAGAAAATCTTTATTTTCACTTTTATTAGTACATATTTGTAATACATAGTAAGTGCATTCATCATGGGGCATTGGTATACAAACATATTACATCTTGATCCTTTTTACTTCTCCTTCCTCTGTACTACCTCTCCTCTACCTCCATCCTCATATGACCTTGACAAGTTAATTTTTGAGTTTCTCATTCTTTTGAAGAATCAAGTCTTTGATTTATTGATCCTTTATAGTTCTTTAAAGTCTTAGTTTCATTAATTTCTACTCCAAACTTTATGATTTCTTTCCTTTTCTTAGTTTCAGATTTGGAATGTTCATGTTTTTCTAGGACCTTGAGCTGCATTATTAGGTTATTTATTTGGGATCACTCTACTCTTTTTGTGTAGATTTATAGCTATAAGCTTCCTTCTCAGACCGGTTTTTTTGTGTCCAGTTGATTTTTGCAGGTGTATTTCCATTGCCATTTGATGCTAGAAACTTTTAAAATTTTTTTCCTGATTTCTTCTGTGATCCAATGGCAAATCTTGCAAAAGATGCAGCACTTTGTAAACTATGAAAACAGTATTGAATCATACAGATAAGAAATCAGGCTATTATTAAATGGAGATTTTACAAAATTAGATCAATTAACAAACAAGGGGAAGGGAACAGTTTGAACATAGAAAGCAATCAGAGACATCTTAACTCCTCAACTATTTTCTAAAAATCTTTTGATCAAAGGTCGAGTACTGACTAAGATATATATTATCATATCATACAGTTTTGTAAAAATTATGACAAAAAATCAGTTATAATTATAAGCTAATTATAACATTTTTATTTGATAAAAAGCTTATCTTGCTGGCATGGTGGTGCATGCCTGTAAATCCTAGCACTCAGGAGGCTGAGGTAGGAGGATTGCCTCAAGTTTGAGGCCAGCCTGGGATACATAGTGAGTTCAAGGCCAGTTAGAACTACAAAACAAAACAAAACACCAAAACAAACCAAACAACAAATAAAAAACCCAAAACTCATCTTTTATAATTTTATTATTTTTTAGTTAAAATGCTAATCAAGCTTTCTTTCTTATTTCCTATGAATCTTTGCTCCTCATTTTATGTAAATTATCTTAGTCTTCTTGCACTTATTCTTGGATAATGATTTTGTCTTAATTAATATGTTATAAAATTTCAAGGAACATAAAACACTTGAGAAAAAATTCAAGCAACTGGCATTTGCCCAAATATGTAAAACAATGAACTCTGTGAAAAGTTAGAGTCACTAGGGGAAGGCTAGAGGAGGTTCTGTGTAAGATGTGCTTGCTTGAAAGATGAGTAGAATTTTGAGAGCTAGAGAAAAAAAGGGCATTTTTAGAGAAACACTGTAGATAGTGCTGTTGATAAAGGAATGACCACTAAATGTTTAGGAATTGGGGAGTTGAGAAGGGATTTGTCTACTTAGGGAATAAAAAAAGGTAAAGTAATGGAAGTTAATGTTAGAAAGTAAAAGGGAAGCTAAATTACAACTTTCACTAATTTATTTAACTGATTTTCCATAACTTTAAAGAAACAGTTTTCTTCATTAGATATATTTTTTAAAAATTAGAAACATATTTTCTGGTTGTAGCAAGTAAAATAGTGGAAAGGAATAGAAAACAAAAATTAACAAAAAACTCAACACCCAAAGTCAAAGGAGGAAAGGTTTTTAGTTCATAGTTTGTAAAGGTTTCAGTCCATAATCACTGGCTCCAAAGCAGAGGAGCACATAGAGGGGCAAAGTTCATGACAGAGGAAGACAGCAAAAGCAATGAGAAAGCTCAAGGCAAGGTCCCTTTCTGTCTCTTATATTGCATCCAGTCTATTGGATTAGAGTGGTGGCCATCTAAACAATGGACTGATTCAACAATCACCTTAATCCCAGCACCCTTAGTCCCAGCACCCTTAGTCCCAGCAATGTACTATGAGTCGAACATACCCTCTAGATTCAGCCACCTCCAAAAAACTCTGTGATTACATGAGGCTTTGGGGGACATCTGGACATAAACCATAATATACTGGTTAGTGGAAAAACCACAGTGTTAAATGATACATGTCTTAGTTACTTTTCTTTTTGCTGAGACAAAATGCCTGACACCCACAAGTTAAAGAAGGAAAGGTTTATTTCAATTCACAGTTTGTAGAGGTTTCAGTCCATAGTCATCTGGTTCTAAGGCATAGTGGTATGCCAGAGGGGCATTACAGGGTAGGAACTGTCCATGGCAGGGCAGGCAGGAGACAGTAGACAGCTTCCCTTTCCCTTTTATTTATCTATACTACAAGTCTTCGGGGTGGTGTCACTCACACCTAGGGGGGGCCTTCCATCACACTGAGAATTATACTAACCCAATTTAGTCATCACGCATTCTTAATCTCAGTATCACACACTCTCGATCCAGCCATCTCTGAAAAGCCCCATTAAATCCCTGAGACTTTGGCGAGACATCTACACACAAACCATAGCAATATGTTAATGATGTAATCTCATTTTTGTTTGTTTGTTTTTTGTTTTTGTTTTTGGCTGAACACACATATTTAAATATAATTTAGAGAAAAATCTGTAGAATAATATATCAAACTATTACTAATAATTGCTAGGAAACATGATTTTCTCAATTATATATGTTTGTCTTAGATGTTTTGTAACAAGCATCTACTGCTTTCAAAGAAAAATTCTGTAATTTCAAAAAATAGAGATTTTTAATGTTCTGGAAATCAATAAACAATATATGCTAAAAGACTCTATAATCTTACTTTCTCATACAGAATGTAGTTAGAAAAAAGTTTTACCAAGATGCATTATTGCTTCGAATGCCTTCATGTTTCTATGAAGATGAAAATTATACAGGAGTTACTGACAATAAATGTAGAAGGTCACAGACAAAAGGTACGTTTTGTTTTTATTTCTCAAAAATACGTGTCTGGGTTTGGGATTTTTTTGCTTCAAAAAGTGACATTTATTCAAAGAAGAAAAAGATGTTTATCCTCCTCCTTATCCCCCCAAATTAAACTCTGGTGGGGCTAGGCAGCAGGACACACCCTCTCAGATGAGATCAATGTCATTGAGGAGCGTCTCAATGTAGAGGTGTTAAAGTCTCGATGTCTCGAAGAGTCCTCATGTCTTCTTTTGTCACCTTGTTAGTAGCCTTATGCCCAAAAGGTACATCATGACCAACTGTTTATCCATGTTCAGTTTTCCCTGTTTGTGGGAAGGTCAGAACTGATGATTAAAGAAACCTGCCACACAGCAGTATCTCTAGCCAGTGGTAATAAATACTTTGCTGGAACCAGACAAGAACTTCCTCATGATCCCATCTCATGCAATTTAGTCTGCGTCTCCATGCATGGCAGGGACAGTGAAGCCTCTGGCGTGCATCTTCTTAGTGATCCAATAAGCCTTACTTGGGCTGTCAATGAAGATGACTGCCTGGATGATGGTCAAGATTTCACACAAGTTGTACAGTATGTCCAGCTTTCATTCCTGTCATTCCCCGTTAATGTAGATTGGTGCATACCCTTGAGGCTCAACTCTTCCTTCTTGACAAGAATCCAAAAGGAATCCCTTACACATTCCCTGTCATTCCCCGTTAATGTAGATTGGTGCATACCCTTGAGGCTCAACTCTTCCTTCTTGACAAGAATCCAAAAGGAATCCCTTACACATTTCCTGGTTACCTTTAACACACCAGAAGGCATTGTAGCTAATAACAAAACCATCTGTGTCTTGCTGTTGAGCTTTTGGAATATGTTGAGAATCTGGTCCTTTAATCTATGGCTCAGCATTTCATAAGCTTTGTCTAACACACACATCTTGATGTATTTGGGAGACAAGTATATCAAGTTAAGCATATCAAACATCCCAGTACCCATGATGAGGTGGGGAGCTTCCATCTGCTACTTCTGTACCTCAGCATGCATATTAGTGACTCCAACATAAGCATGACACAAGGCACCCAAGTAATCTAATGCCATGATCACCTTTTCTATCTGAGCTTAGAAAAAAGTACTCATTTACCAACTCTGACCACACAACTCTCTGATTCTTTTTTGTTTGTTTGCTTTCTTTTGTTTGTGACAGAGTCTTGCTTTATAGTTTAGGCTGGCTTTGAGCTCAGTAGATAGTCCAGACTGGCCTAGAATTTACAGTGATCCTCCTGCCTCAGCCTCCCAAGTGCTGGGATTACAGGCATGCACCATCATGCCTGGTTAGGTATCTTTACCTTTTGCTAAATTAGGGAAATTCTCTTGGATTATTTCTGTGAATAGCTTTTGTAGTCCATTTGTTTGTGTCCCTACTTCGTCACTTATGTTCTTAATTCTTAGGTTATAGATCCTCTTATCATCTTCTAGCCTTTGTATTATTGCTGTTTGTTTTCTTGTTATTTTTAAGAAGTGTTTCATTTCATGCTCCCATATTACAAGTCTGCCCTCCAATTCAGATAATCTATCCTCAGCGCCGTCACGTAGGCCAGGCACTCCCCACCAATCTATTCTACTTATATCTTGCTTTATTTCGTTAAATACTTCACTTTTGAACTCATCTATGAGGCTCTGGAGATATCTCTTTATGTCTATTGATGCCGTGCCTGATATTGCATGTTTTTGGTCCTCATTCTCCTTTGTGTTTCCCTTTCCTGGATCAGTGTTCTCAGGATTGGGGATTGAGGACCCTTTCTTGTTGCTCCCTCTTCCCATACTTTTTGTTTTTTCCATACAAGTGTATATAGGAGGCCCAGTTTTTTTTTTTCCTTTGTCGGTTACAGTTTGTTTGAATCTGCCACTTATATTGGATTTCTGGAATTTTGATTATTATATGCCTGGGTGTACACCCACTGCAGTGTACTAGGGAGACACAGACCTGGGCAGCCTCTGCTGGGCCCGCCCCTCCAGGTCAACCTACTGAAGGCTTCACTGCTAGGGTGCACCTCCAGGTGCTAGGACCTGGTTTGAGCTAGCCTACTGGATCTTAGTCTGTGGCATCACCCAGGCCAAGCGCTCCCCACCAATCCCGCTTGAGAAGGGAATATGCGACTAAAGTCACTGGAGCGTCCTGTTCCAGCTAGTCTACCCAGTCCCAGAATGTCCTCTGTTGGAGCCTCCTAGTCTATGAAACAGTCCCCTTCCTCTCACTCACCACAGGTCGATGCAGGGCTCCCCGCCAGTCCTGCTCTCAATTCCATTCGCCAGTTGCTGCTCTCAGAGCTTTTGCGCGTCTTTCTCCCTGCTGTGCCAATTCAGATGCAGCAGTGGCGGCAGGAAATTCAAATTGCAGGTTCCAGTGGCGCGGGTTCCATCTTCCACACTGAGGTTTTATCTGTTCCTGTTATAGCACCAGGATTGCATTTCCAGTTGGTTTCTCTCAGCTTAGTTTGTTCCTGAGTCAACAGGGTATATCTATCTCCTCTTGCTTAGGACTCCTCACACCACACCATTCTTGGATTTTAACCTGGGTATCTCAGAGAGCCTCCATAGCTGCTGTTATCTGTCTGCCATGTTCTCCCAGAAGTCCAATACAGTGCTTTTTAAATTAAAGACTTATTGCATTTATTCATACCACAATTCTAAGAAATTTACAAATTGGTATTTTTATTGCAGAATTTAGGTGACTAAAGGATTGGAAAGTTCACACTAGATCTAGACACACAAAAAATGAAAAGATTATGAAGTCTTAAAAATGTGCTAACATTATAAACATTTATCATAATATTTTCATCTATCTGAGAGCTGCTTAAAGTTGTAATATACTGAATATAAAATTACTTTTAAGTATGTTTGTATAAAATATCATTTTTGTTTGTAGAGGTAGACTAGGAAAGAGTAATCTCCTTGGAAGGGCTATGACGTTTATTAATATTTATTTGATATATATTATGTAACAAATACTGTTATAGGTAGTAAGGACAGAATTACTAATAAGAAAGAAACAGCTCCCCACCCTCAGTGGTTTCTCAGATTAGTAAAGAAGACATAGCAATAAAACTATTAAATATAAACTATATTTTAAATGTAAACTAATATCTCATATTTACAACCATGGAGAACACAATAATATAATATGATATGAAATTTCAGGAATAAGGACTGCTACCTCCTAAGATAGTTAGAGAAGCTATTCTGTGAAGTAGACATTTGAGTTGAGACTCGAGTTTTAAGAAGCAATAACTATGCAAAAATACAGAGGAAATTCCTTTCAAGCAAATGCAGAATGCCTGACTCAGTAATGAGCTTGATATGTTCAAGGACCAGAAAACTAAGCTATTGTAACTGGCAAAGGGAGATCCTAGATGTAAGCAGTTTTTAAAACATATGAAGCTATAATTCTACCATAATATGAAATTTACTTGCTTATTTGTATTATGGCTACAATAGATTGAGTGTTGTAAAAAAAAAAAAGCTCATTCATATGTTGGAAACCTAATCTCCTATGTAATGGCATTGTGAGGTGAAACATTTGGAAAGTCATTAGGTCATGGGAGATTAATGCCATTACTCAAGAGACCCACAGAATCTTCACTGTCCTTTCCACTATTTGAGAACACAAAGAGAAGATGGTCACCTGTGAACTCGGGAGGGCATACTCAACTAGACACTGGATCCGTTGGTACCTTATCTTAGACTTCTCAGCCTCCAGAGCTAAGAAAAATAATTATTTATTTATTTGTTTTGAGTCACTTAAGTCTATGGCATATTGATATAGTAATTAAAAATGACTAAGACAGTTGTTGATATGGGAAAACACTGGACACTTTTAAGAAGCCACTCCCTTTTATGAAAGAAATAACATAATATGCATCATACTTTCAAAATATAGTTGAGGAGCCAGGAATTGTTCTGCATGTCTGTAATCCCAGCATCCTGGGAGGCTGAGGCAAAAAGATTGCAAATTTGAGCCCAGTCTGGGCAACTTATTTAGACCCTGTCTCAAAATTTTTAGAAAGGGGGCAGGGCTGTGGAGGTAATGCAATTTAAGGCTCTGGGTTCAATCCTAGTACTGCAAAGAGAGAAAGGAACTAGGGAGGAAACAAAGAAAAAAATCTGATTTTCTGGGGGATGGAAAGGAGGGGGTGGGAGTCAAGAGTAGAGTCAGGAAAATCAATAAGGAAGCTATTATAGTGCTCCAGAATCTAGACTACAGAATGAATGTAGTCACTAGACAAAAAACTCTAACTTCCCCTAGAGTTATAGTACTAGAGCTGCGAGAAGTACTTAAAATTGAGATTATTTTAGAAGCAAGGGAGTTTAAAAACATAAATAATTTATTCTATATTTTTGACTCATCTTACCAAGTAGATAAAGGTTTCATTTCCTAAGATAGGTAAAGGCTCTTGGAGAAGCCAGTTTTTGTCCTGAGTCAATAGCTCTGGCTTGCCTCACTTATTAGGCATCTAAATGAAGGCTTTAAGAAGAGAAGTGATTAGGTTAATCTTCAGCGCAGCTGTGCATAATAGTTCTTTGCCCAATCCAGTTTGCTTTCTTTCTCACTTGTAGTTCAGAATAGCTAAAATGTGCTGGGAAATGTAACATCCTGTAATAAATAGGGAACTGCTGTAACAGTCCAGGCTCTGTTCCAATCCCACCCAAGATAGAATGTGTTTCTATGCTTTTTCCTAGCAAGTTCTAACTTGAGTTTTTAAAACCCAGGATAGGCTGTTTTTCTGAGGTTCCTCAGGTGCTGTGCAAGTGGAACACATGATGATTCCAAGATTCTGTCCATCCTCGAGCAACTTTCCTGAGCCTTGGGAGACTACATTGAATTCTAGACTGCTGTTGTCCTTTATCATCTGGGTTTTTTTTTTTTCATTTATTTTAAGTACAATAAGTTCACTTCATGTAACTTGTGTGGAGATCTCACCACACTCTGTTGGTAACGTTGTACAATCAATCTGTTTCACAAGCTAAAGTTTCAAATTGGAATTCTCCATACAGAGAATTCACAGTATATAGATTTCCTCATGAAACTGAGGGACGTCACCAATAGCATAGTGTAGTTTTATAGAGTATAGATAGAGCACAGAGAATAAGACAGACCCCTGGATCACTCCAGTAGTTAGAAATTTCATGTAGAAGGGAATCAATTAAGAAGTAACATAGGAAAACCAGATGAGAGTGGTGGTGTAAAATTCTAAAGGAGAAAGTGCTTCAAAAGAAGGAAGAAATAAAAATCTTGGCTCCTACTGAAAGATCAAGTAAGATGAGAATAGTAAGTTGACCATTAACTTTGCTAAAGTAAATCATCAGTAACCTTGACAAGAGTTATTTCCCTGAAATAATGGTTATTAATATGATTAGGACATGATTGGATTGGGATTGGAGTATACTGAAATATGACTGGAGTATGTTCAGAAAAGTTTGAGAAGTGGGAAAGTAAGATGATGAGCTTGGATAACAAAGATATTATTTTATTTTATTTTATGCATTTATTTATTGGTACCAGGGATTGAACTCACAACCTCAATTTACAACCTTGTGCTTTCCAGGCAGGCACTTGTGCTGCTGAGCTACATCCATGGCCACAAGAAATTTTTTTAGTGAGGGAAAATTTTTAAACAAAACACTGGCTAAGGGGAGAATGAGGTGAAGAGAGTTATGTTTGGTTTTTGTTTTAAACATTGTTTTTTAAAAAATACGACAAGAAACTAAAATTTTTTAGCTGTGTGGTAGTATATGCCTGTAATCCCAGCACTCAGGAGACTGAGGTAGGAGGATTATCTCGAGTTTGAGGCCAGCCTGGGTTACAAAGTAAGTTTAAGGCCATCATGAAATACATAGTGAGTTTGTTATTTTATTTTACTTTTGCCAGTGGAAATAAACTTGAAAAAAGAATGTGATGAAGCAGGAAGTAAAAAAAGATAGGAGCAACAATATAGCTAGGTAAGCTGGTATTTAATAGGCACCAGAACGTTGCTTCTCTTGTATACATGGGAGGATTGAGTTTGTAGGTACTTATGCCAGTAGGTTGGTAAAATTGATGGTAGAAAATGAAGTAGTTCTTCTTTATTTGTATCAATTTTGCATGTGAAAGCAAAGTCATAGAAAGGGGACAGGAGAAATAAATATTAAGAATTGGAGGAGAAATTGCAAAATAGCTATCTTAAAGAGCAAGAAAGCCACTCTTATTGTAAGATGTACTATTTCATCTGTTGGTATTGGATATTTGGAATATCCAATATCCATTTGGAATTTGTGATTATAATCTGAAGTTAATTCCTGCAGCATAATAGAATAATTTTTCAATAATATTCAGCTGTTACAAAGTACATACACAGAAAGTTGAGTAGGGGTTTCCATAAATTAATATAAGGGTAAGAGCAGCAAGAGAAGCAAGAGTTTTTGTGAGACTGTAATTATGAGACTTTATGGAGCCTACACTGTATACGAAAGGATGTGTTAACATGAGATAGAGTGACAAATGTTATGAAAACTGAAGAGTTGATGGATATTAGGTATCAGCTTAAAAATACAGAATAGTGTTTATCATACTGTTGCTTTAAAAGTACAGAGTGGAAAAGGGTTTATCGTTTCTTCTTTTATTTCTTTTTAAAAATAATAATGATAGCCAAAACTTACTGAGAATTTACAATATGTCAGCAACTGCTCTAAATAATTTATATGTCTTATAACATAATCTTTACTATAAGAGTGTCAAATAGCCATCTTCATTCCTAATTTGTACACAACGTACAAAGAGATTGTGAGATTTACCTGAGATCATGAAGTTAATAAGCAGTACTACAAGAATTAAAATCTAGGCAGAGTGATTCCAGAACCTGTATTCTTAACTACTAAACTTCTATATTTTTTCAGTGAGGCACAGACTGATGTTAAGAGATTGATTTAACACAACAAAACTAGTAAGCAATAATATTAATAGTAGAATATAGGTAATAGAATACTCAGTTGCATATGCTAACACTAGTATTTGACATGATTGATCTCTTTAAAGAACCAGTGGTCTAATTTGGGAGGCAAGCTATAGATGCATACAAATTTAAATATAGATGTGTATATGACTAAATTAGAGAGTGCTATAGACAGTATCATAGACCTTTAAGAAAATGGTCCATGGGATGATAGTGCCAGCTAAGCAAAACAGAATTCAGAAAAGAAAAGAGAGTATGTTTCAGGAAATGTCCTGACTATAAAGTTTTGTTGGTAGCAGGTTATAAAAATGATAATGATGGAATTAGGTATTTGGAATTAGGTATCACTTTGGAAAAATTAGAAGATGTTTTCAAAGTACATGCTGAATATTTAAATTTTTAAGAAGTATTAAAAATAAATGACATATTGACATCAGTCCCTTTCAGAACATTCCATCTTACTTTAAACACACTTAGGCTAGCATTCTTGGCAGTTTCTGAAGTCATTGTAGAAGTCTTCTTTCATGGGTATCTTTAAGAGATATACTCAAAATATGGCAAATGGTGCTCCCTAGTGCCATCCAATGAAAAACATTGCAAACATTCACAGAACAAAAAAAGGGGGGATCAAGGGATGAGTGGAGGGGAGAGGGAATGAATAAAAAGGGATAAAGAAAGAAATTAAGATATGTACATGTACCAACTTTCCACATAGAATGTAAGGGTTATGTACTATATATGTGTATTAATAAACTAAAATTTTAAAAAATAAATAATTTGGGAGAAAAAAGAAAAACATCACGTGTCTTCATATGCATTATTGATAGAATCTGACATTATGTGATTTCTGGCTCTTTTTTAAATCTTTTTTTACTATTTTGAAGGTAGTAAAATACAACAGAACAAAGCCAATTGACACAGTATAGTGAAATTGGTACAGAGCTTCACAGCAGGTTACTGGGATAACAGAAATAGGTATCACAGTATATCTTGTTATCTTCACAATAGTTGTTCTTTCAATCATGTATAGCAAAATAAAATGAAATACAGAACATTATAGAACTTATCAAAGCAGAATATTGAATAGAGCAGTACCATTAATCAGAATAAAGCAAAATAGTAGTAAAAATATTTGCCTTCAAAGAGATGGAAAAAGGAAATCTCCCTTATTTGCTATATTGCATATGGTCAACCTCCCAAGAGATCTCTGGTTCCCATTTGCTAATGGGGGACAGGGGAAGTGGGATGTTTTACTTTCAGCCTGTGTACCTAGGCTCACTATTGCTTAACAGGGAGGCAGGCTGGTTGCTTGGTTTCCTAGCGCCATAAGTTCCAACGTGGCACAGATCTCAGGAGACACTGGTGGTTCTCCCCTTGGAGAGGCTGCAGCCTGCCACATCACAGCTGCTTACCAGGGAGGTGAGCTGGTTGCTTGGTTTCCCAGTGCCCTAAGTTCCAACATGGTGCAGGTCTCAGGAGATGCTGGTGGTTCTTCCCCTGGGGCAGCTGCAGCCTGTGATTTCTGGCTGTTATTTAAAGTCAAAATTACCATAAAAGGTAAGCATTTGGAATCATTTCATGACACTGAGGCAACCACAACAGCACAACTGAAGCTGCTCACTAAAGAGGACTTCTAGAACTGCTTTAGAAGATAACAAGAATGATGGATCAAATGTGTTTAAAATGAAGGGAAATATTTTAAGGGTAATTAATTGGCAATGTGTCATTTACTGTAATGAATATTTTTAAATGTAAATATTCACTGGATTTTGGTCACATCTTTATTTGTGATAAAGTTAGCACACAAAAGTGAAAGGTGAAAGTTCAGCTTCTTTCTATTAAGTATAAAAGAAATTTTTATTTATTTTTAAAAATTTGGAGGAGGTGGGCATGGTGGTGCATGCTATAATGCCAGTACTTGGAAGGCTGTGGCAGGAGGATCCTTGGGAGTTCAAGACCAGTTTGGGTTATAAAGTAAGCTTAAGGCCAGCCTGAGCTGCATAGGAAGAACTTGTCTCAAAAGGACAAAAAACTTTTTTTTTTTTTTTTGCTGATGTTCTTTTTTTGAGACAAGGTCCTAGTACATAGTGCAGGTTGGCCTTGAATTCACTATGAAGGTCAGGTGGGCCTCAACCTGTAACAATCCTCTTGCTTCCGTGCCGGTATTACAGTCATGTGCCACCAAGCCTAGCAAAAGAGCATTTAGAGCTAATGTTTGTCATTCTCCTTTCCAGCCTCAGCTGTTTCTGTTCCACGAATGACAGATACCCTAGTATCAGATCAGTTGAAAGCAACTTCCTTTGTGGAGGATTTCCTTGAGAAGGATGTATCCTTAACCTCAGATTTTCCTTTATGTCTAGAAGGAAATAAACAGTAAGTACCACAGGCACCTGAAAAGAGAAAAATCCCTTCCTTTATCTTCTTATGCATTTCCTTCTTTTGCCTGAAAATAAAAGGCCTAATTTGAACCACAAAGGAGAGATTAATTAGAAGTAATTTATATCCTCTCTGGATTTTTCTCTCATTTATCAGATTTTATTCCCTGTGCATTTGTGATAGGGCAAAATATGTTATTATTTGTTCTGAAATAGAACAAATACATTATTATACTTTTAATCAATAAATAAAACAATAGGGAGTGCTTATCAAAAATATTTTAATATCAGTCTTTTTTCTATAGTATAAATGCAGATTTAAAGCTATTTTCTAGTGTATTTTGTGAAAATTTTATTGTTAGTTTAGTCATTATTCAAATATTTGCATATTTATGTTTTATATATAGGATACAAAATCAAATATGACAGAGACTTTGCCATCAAACACACAAGAAAACAGAAGAGTAATTCATTAATAAATAATTATAAAATGATATGCAGAATACAATGGCAATAATAAGCATACAGAACATACGATATGAGGAAGCACATCTAACTTGTGTGACATTGTTAATGTAGGAATAAATTAGAGATTTCAGGGCAAATATAAATAATTTATTGCTGTACTTCTTGCAGAGTGTTAATCCATCCAGTAAAAATTTCATTATTATTCACATTTTTTGGGCCAGGGATGTAATTCAGCAGCACAGCACCTGCCTTGCAAGCACAGTTTTTGTGAGTTTGAGTCCCAGTACAAAAAAAAAGCAGATATATTTTCAAGTTTTAGTAATTTAAGTTTTCCTTGTTTGAAATTTTTAAAAAATTTTGAAATGTGTTTAGACTCTGTAAACAATAAAGCCCAATATATAGTTTCTCTCATCTAGAAATATACAAGTTGGGTTAGAAAGATAATAAATAGACATAGAAAAAATAACAATGTAGAAATTAGAAGAGTATAAGATGACCAACATAAGATCTATTATAAGACATAAGACCAATAAGATGATCTGTCAGCTAGGTGGTGTGGAGTATAGCTGTGACCTCAGGTACTAGGGAGGTTGAGGTGGGAGGATTGTGATTTCATGACCAATCTGGGCAACATGGCAAGATATGTAAAAAAAAAAAAATCTATTCCTGATTAAACTCTTGAAAAGTGAGGAATGGTTTAGTGAAAAGTACTTTGCATTATGAATTAAAAGATGTGGATTTCAACTCGATTTTAAAAAGTCAATTGCTAATTACTTGACTAGTCGCTTTATTCTCTGACTCTGTTGGTACGATCATGGACCAGTGCTTCTTAAACTTTACTGTATACATGAATCAGCTGAGAGTCTAATTAAAATACAGATTCTGATTCAGTCAGTCTGTTTTGGGGTCTTAGAGTCTGCATTTTTAATGTACTCATAAGTACTACCAATGCTGCTGATCCAAATATAAGATGATTTCTAAGGTCTCTGTCTACCATATGAGTTTGATTGGTAGGGCTGTGTATTTATAAGTAGAAGAGACCATCTTCATAAAAAGTAGAATGGAGCTTGGGTTGAGCTCTGGAGGAGAAACTAACTTAAGAATAAGTATTTAGGGCAGAAAAAATTTCCTAAAGGGCTAGAAGTAGGAACATACAGTTAGCATGCAGTAAAGGTTTGCTATGATATGTATGGCTCAAACCAAAGAGTGATCTGTGAAAGGCTAATAATGCTGCTGTGAATGTCTGTGTCGAGTTTTTGTGTAAGCAGTTACCCATCTAGAATTGGAATTACTGGGTCATATAGCAACTCTGTTTAACTGTTTGAGGCATTGCTATACATTTTCATTCCCGTTAGCAGGGTGTAAAGGTTACAACTTATTTGTATTCTTTAAATAATTATCACTTAGTTTTTTTTTAGTAATGGCTGTCTAAGTTAGTGCCTCAGTTTATCTCATTGTAGTTTTTTTTTTTTTTTTGTAGTACAGGGATTGAACTCGACCTTGCGCTTGCGAGGCAGGCTCTAATGTCGCTGAGCTAAATCCCCAGCCCTCTCATTGTAGTTTTGATTTTCATCTCCCTGATGGCTAATCATTTTGAGCATTTTCATGCACTTATGGACTACTAGTAAATCTTTGGAGAAATGGCTATGTAAATCTTTGCTCATTTTTTAAACTATCTTGTTGTTAGGATTTTAAGTGTTCTTTGCCAGATATCGTGGCACATACCTGTAATCCCAGAACTCAGAAGGCCTACAGAAGGATTACAGATAGTTTGAGGCAAGCATGAACTACACAGTGAGATCTTTTCAATAAATACATAGATATATACATGCATACATGCATACATATCTTATATATGCCCAATATAAGGCTTTATTAGATACATGGAAATTAGATATATTGCAGATATTTTCTCCAGTGGATTATCTTTTTACTCTTCTTTTGTCATTCAGACTGAGTCTTGCTATGTAGTTGAGGCTGGCCTTGAATTCTCAGTGATCTTCCTGCCTCAACCTCTTAAATGCCACCATACCTGGCTTCTTTTTACCTTTTTGATAGTATCCTTTGAAATGTAATTTTGTTTAAAGTTTGATATAATTCAGTTTATCTATTTTTACTTTTGTTACTTATGCTTTTAGTGTCATTTCTAAGAACTCTTTACATAACCCAAAGTCACAATGAATTAGTCCTTTATTTTCTTCCAAGAGTTTGCCTGTGACTTATTTTTTAAACTCTGGAGTCAGATAAACTGGCTCATTTGTTTGCCTATGGCTCTTCTAAAGAATGAATCAGATCATGAAATGCTTTTTATAACCCACCAACAACGTCTCAGTGCATGAACAGTAAAAGCTGAAGTGCTTAACAAGGCTTACAAGGTCTACAATGATTTGTTCTCTACTGACCTATCTAAACTTCCTTTGTTCTTCTTACCCTGAACTTTGTTTTTCTTAAGAGTATGAAAAGCTTATTTTCTCTTTTAAGGCTTGTGTAGTTCACTTCCAACCATTATTCAGGTAGCTACAGAAGTATCGACTCTTTACTACACTTTCCAAAATACCCACGTAAGCCAAACGTGTGGGTACCTGCCTATAATCACAGCACTCTGGGAGGCTGAGGTAAGAGGATCACATGTTCAAGCCCAGCCTAGACAACTTTTTTTTTTTTTTTTTTTTTTTTGTCTTTTTTCGTTTTTATCGGTACCAGGGATCGAACTCACGACTGCCTGCTTGCAAGGCAGGAGCTTATGCCGCTGAGCTAAATCCCCAGCCCCCCAGCCTAGACAACTTAACACCTTTATGAAACCTTGTCTCAGGAAAAGAAAAAAAAAAAAGCTTGGACTATAGCTCAGTGCAAAAGCCCTGGGTTTGATCACCAGTACTGTAAAATAGATAAGTAAATGAATCAGCCTACCTCCTACCAACTATCTGGCCCTTACTTGATATCCAAATATTTTGTTTCATTTCATAATTAACAGTTTTTCAATCTTATGTGGTTATTTCTTTATTCTAGCCTCTCTTTAACAGGTAAAACTCTAACATGTTTGTTAGAGCATGAACTTTGTTTTCTATACCAGTCCATTTTCAGCACCTAGAATAGTATCAACACACTGTAGATAGTAAATAAATAGTTTTCTTATGGAGTTAACAAATGGCAGTGGGTGAAACTGCCCATAAAAAATGATAGCGAAAGAAAGTGAGGGTTATCTAGACTTTGAAACTTCAGAAATACCATATTTATGGGTTTAGCAAAGGAGGAGGCACCAATGAAAAGAGAATGAATAACATTAGAAAGGGAGATAAAAAGAGAGTCAAAAACACTGACTTTTTTAGATCATTCGAAGGAAACAGAATCTTTTCTCCGAGTAATAGTAATAAATATTATTACAAAATGCTGACTGTGTCAGAAACATTTGCTTAAAAGACAGTAGATATTATAAGCACTAAATTCTGAAATCTATAAAGATCCACATATGAATCAGTGCTCTTAAGGAACAACATGAAATGGGAGAGTTAGAAAATTCCTTCTTATACCTGTATTGCTTTAAGAATGAATGAAAATTTTTAGAAACTTTTCTATGTACGAGTTTAAGATGCAGCATATTCATATTTTTCTCCATGTGTATCGGTGAGTTATATTAATTTTTGTTCTTTCAATCTGCACAAGGAAATTATTAGGGCTAAACTATTTTAGGGTATCAGCAAAAAGCTGTATTAGAATGTGTAGCTAAATTATAAAAAGTGTTTATCTGTTAGAAGATCTCTTGTAATGTCAATACCATAATAATATAGACAATGACAGATATACCTATATCAATCAGAAAACAAGTAAGTATAGATAAGTTTAAGAGAGCAAAAAGGAAAAAAAAAAAAGTTCCAAACTGGGATCCAAAGGAAAGGTGCATCCTTCTGCATTAATAGGGAGGGATCCTGCTCATCCATTCCAATGATATATAAACATGCCCATGCTTTATTGTTCAGCAGAAAAGAGCAGGTTACAGACTACCATATCTGTGAGTCCACTTTAGTTTTTAAATATGTAAAAATAATTGAGAAATTTGTATAATTTTTGTGTTGACCTCAAGTGGAAAGGCTATGCGTTTGTTGGAATTAGATTAATTTTTACCACAATGAACATATACTAAAAATATATTACTTTATATTACTAAAATATATTACTTTATATTACTAAAAATAGTTTATAATATGATGTAGATAAAATCTTTGATTTTATAATGTTCTAGAAAGACAATTACAGGAATGGAGATTCAGGTTAATGGTGAGTTTGAAGAAATTGTCCCAAGTTCAAACCCAAACTCCCAAACTGAAGTAGAGGAAGGCTTATATATTCACAAGGACTACAGTGAAGTCTTTACAGTTGACAATTACTTGGAAGACTGTCCAGCACTTCAGGCGCAGAACCAAGGTACGGCATTTGTTATTTCAATTGTCATGAAATATTTCTTACTAGTATATTTTTTACTTCAGTGAGTTTTTAAATTGGATTCTTAATATTATTAAAGATGTCTTCCTACTTTAGTCCAAGCCTTGCCATGTTAAGAAAATAGTTTTCCTCTTTTATATTAATTTTTGTGAATTGGAATTTTAATGGGGAAGTTAAATTTGCTAAGCCTCAAAATAATTTACATAGCATGCTCATAATATATTGTTGTAATGACTTTGGTATCTATGTATGAATATCATAACACAGCAATCTAGTGTAACATTAAAATACTGGATTACAAAGTTATGGTTATACATATCTCAAAACATGCTGTGATTTTAAAATCTCATCTAATTTTAAATCTTTGTATGTATCACATTTCCCAGTTTAAGAGCAAAAACGTATGTTCTCATTTCCAAGTATTTCATTAAATTATATTCCTAAACATGGAATTATTTGGTATTTCTTTTAGCAATATGTCCACTAGCGTAGTATCAGAATATGTTGTTAATACCAGCTTTATTTATCATTATTAGTATATTATTGATGATGTTGTAATAAATTTAAACCAGTAGACAAAAATACATTTTGAATTGTGTTTTTAAAATTACAGGTATTTACTGGCCATCTGCTCCTTTTCTCCTGTAAAATGATTCTTTCCTTTGTATATATTTCTATTTATATATATTGTCTGTATATATAAAGACATCAGTAACTACAAATGCATTAAAACCTAACCAGTTCTGTTAATGTTTCCTTTTACTTAAGTTTTCTTTCATTTCTTTTATACTTAGAAAATTCTTCCATAATTAAATAACTACTTACATTTAGTTCAGATTTTATATAATCTTTTTGTACATTTTGGTATTTAAAAGCAGGAAAAATATTACTTCTAAGTGTTTTGGCACTTGTCCCAGTATCATTCATGGAAAAAGCCTTCCTTTCCTACTGATTAAAAATGCTGCTTATATCATTCAGTACATTCTTACATTAAAGTTTATTTCTATTATGTCCTATTGTTTTGCTTATTATTGCAACAATATCATATGGTATTAACTAATATATAGTTACAAAATACATTTATTTCTCAATAAAGTATATCTGTTAGAAAGCAATTAATGATTTTATCAGGCACTTTAGTGAACTCTTTTAGTTGTTTTCTTTCACCTATCTTGGGTTTTCTAGCTAGGCAAATGTATCTTCTGTAGAGAATCAACTTATCTTCTTTCCTACCAACAGGCTTCTTTTTTTTTCTTCTCCTTTTCTCCTTCTCCTTCTCCTCCTGCTCCTTCTGCCTCTCATCCTTCTCCTCCTCCTTTCCCTCCTCCTCCTTCTTCTTTCTTTCATAGCTAACTGGCAAAAAATTGTTTCCTGGTGACAGTTTAACATTCCTCTATAATACATGCAAACAGTCTGTGTATCTGTGGAGCACATATAGTGGTTGTTATGAAGTAAGTACTCTATGGAATGCTATATAGCCATAAGAATATAAGGATGCAGCACCTATCATAAACAGTCTTTTTATCATTATTTAAACAAAACAAAACAAAAACCTTTGGTTGTGGTGAGATGCTGCCCTCCAGTGGCTCCATCAAAAAAGGGTAGTTGGCAAACAAGATCTTTTTACACAGATGTTCCCATGCACTCCTAGAAATATTAAAATATGGCTACAGATTAAGAAGATGGCTACTGTTATTATGACCTCATTAATATTTGCAGAATGAATTACATAAATAAACCATCTTTAACTTCTCGAATAAGCCTCTTTAAACATGGAATTGATTGTCTAGCTTCCTTATCCTGTTATGAAAAGCTTTTGTTCATGAGTGCATCAGGAATTTAACAGGTTCAGATAAGCAGTCTCTTAGAACGCTGATTTCTACTGTAGGTTCTCTTTTGGAATGTCTGTTTAACTCCAGACAAATGAATGTCACCGGCTGTTTCCCTTACACAACCTGTTTATTAGACACATGCATACCACTTCTGTGGTTGGCCATAAGAGACATCACCACCTCAAAACCTCATACTAATTCCTCTCTCATTACATTCTGCCATCACTTCATTGAAGGCCTCTGCCTGGAAACAGAGTCCACTTCTCCTTCCTTCATGTGGTGCCCTTCATGGTGGAGTTTGACATTCTGAAGATTTCCTTATCTGAGCATACATTTTTCTTCTTCATTTGCTTTTTCTTTTTCCACTTAGCAACTTATGAAGGAAGGCTTTATGCCCTGTCGCATTGTACAAATCAATTAAGGCTCTCAAATACTTAGGATTTTAAAGTAACCCAAATATAACAAGGTGGCGATAGGAAAAAATTTCCCCAGTAATTATTAGAAGTACTGTTACTCAATATTGAATATATAACACTTCTCAAATACTGTTGCTATATAATTTTCATTGTAATTAACTTTATAGCAACCATATAAAGCAACGATGTGTAAATACTTTTAGGATGATAGAATCAGAGTTGGTTTCACTTGTAGGCTTTGTAGACCATTTCTGTTCCCTAAAAATCTGTCTACAGTGATAAACTGGGAGATTTATGAGTTTAAAAGATAGAAGGAAGAGAAGACTAGGGTCAAACTAAGTCAAAAGATTTTATTTCTTTAACTTTTGCTGGATATTTTGGAGCACCTCCATCGATTAAATAAATTTTTATTGATAAAATATAATTCATTATAATACAACTATTTTGGAACATTTGGTTACTCTTCAGTGTACCAAATAATATTAAAATTTATGGAGATTTTCTGTGTGTTCTAGTACTGTGTTATATATTCTCATACGCATAGTACAATGAAGAAGTAAAGGTTTCAAGATATGTTTTTAAAAACCAAATTGTATCTAATGGTTAATTATAGTAGCGATCTACATCCCTTTGTATAACTTTTAGATTTTTAACTTTCTTTTCAGATTTATATATTGATAATGAAGAAGTAACTTTTGCAAATGATTTGATGACTGATAAAAGTCAACTACCAATTTTAAACACTCCAGTTTTGATAAAGGACCCCCTTTTAGACTGCAAAGAAGCTAATTTTCCCAGGTATTTCAGCATCCAGTGCTATAAATACTTTTGAAGAGGAAATATTCTTTGTATGAAAACTTTTCAATGTTATCAGTGATATTTGCCCTTGCTTTATTTCAACTTTCATTTTAATCATTGTTATGTTTTTATTGACTGTTATATAAGTTGCTATTTAATAAATATTAATTGTTTGGGTTTTGTTTTAAGGAAATGTTTCTCTTTTCAAGAAGATTTAGAAATTTCTGTGAAAGAAGATTTTTATATGGATAAAGAGAATATTTATCAGGAGAAACTGGAAGACCCAGTAGGTTTGAGTGAGGTTGTAACATTTGCTTTCAATAATAGCTTTATAAAAGTAAGGGAGCACACTTTTATAAATTTTAGTAATATACATGACATTTTACAATGCTATATTTTAAAACTTTGTTAATAGGTTGAATGTATATCAATTAAGGGATCAAATAGATTTCTGAGTAGTGGTTCTCAGCCTTAGCTGTACGTTGGAATTACCTGAGATTTTTTAAAAAGTTGAAGTCAGGTGCTGGGGATTTAGCTTAGCAGCGTAAGTGCCTGCCTTGCAAGTGCGTGGCTGTGAGTTCGATCCCCAGTACCAAAAAAAAAAAAAAAAAAAAAAAAAAAGTTGAAGTCTGAATTCCATCCAGATATATTCTGATTTAATGGATTTTGTGTATGACCTATTTTTATAGATTTTTAAAACCATTCTCAATGATTTTAATCAATATACCTAGTACAGATATTACACAGTCATGTGCAACTTAAAAACGAATAAGAGCTAGAAATGTTGGTTTGTGAGTTATGCACAAAACAAATGGTATTTGAGCTATAAAAAAGTGATCTCATTGAGGGAATAAGAATATGGATTGTCTCATATGTATAAGGAAGACAGCATCCTTGCATATTAAAAACCAAATTCTCAAAGAAAACCTTTTGTTTTTAGCATACAATTCCAATAGCTCACAAAATTGTTGTTATATTACCATATAAAGAATATTAGCAGTTGGGACTGCAAATAATTCTTTGTAAAAATTTAGGTCCATATAGATTAGATACATTCACTAAATTAATTAAAAATTTTTCAAGGGCAACTGAAAGTCTTTTAAATTAGGGACATTCCTTAATATAGTCAAATAATGGACACGCTGTACAGTTAAAGCACTTAAAGAGTTTTCTTACAGTTAAAAATGTAACATGATGGTAAAATTATTAATTCATCTGTTGGTCCCTTTCATCTTGTCCATCTTTTCCTCCCCAATTAATTCTGAGAATTGAGCATGTAATGAGTTTCACTTGTTGAAGAATCCAGTTTTGTAGGTATAAAAGAGAAACATTCCTTGGGGGTACAGTAAAGGTTCATTCTATGCCATCATATATTTTCACTTCTCTAGTCACCATCTCTTATTTGCTGCAAAAATTATTTTTAATTTCTCATTTTAAAATTTTGCTACTAGTCAACAAGAAGATACTTGTGCATCTAGGGATACAGTACATCACTCATATAATGAGTTAACATAAAAGATACTACTCAGAGAGTGTATTACTTGTAACAGAACAGATTGTTGGATGCTGCCCTTCTATTTTTACAAGACATGTATAATGCTTAAAAATTGAGTGTGGCTTTGAGTTAAAATTTACCACACCATTGAAGCAGATACATCCATTTATGAATTTCTAAATATTTACTTGGAAAATCTCCCTAAAACCTTTTTTAAAACTATATATTATTTCAGCCATCAACTTTTCCTTCTGAGTTTGAATTAATACCTACAAACCTCAAACAAGAACCAAAGGAATCATTAAACTTAATTCCAGAAATAAATTGTGTAGATGAAAATGAAAATATTTTCAAAGGAGGTGAGAATTACTTTTTAAGTATTTATTATAAAACTACTTAATAATGTTTATTACCCTGCTCCTTATTTAATAAAACATTTTTAACCTCTAAATTTTGTAAAAATGTTTTACAGGTTACATGTTGAAATCTCAGGATTATTAATGATAAGACTCTTTCCTTACTGTCATGTGTTTTCTTTTCTCCGTGGTGCTGGGAATTGAATATATAGGCCTGTGTCATGACAGTTAGGCACTCTACCACTGGAACTACACTCCTAGCCCAAACACTTTCTTTGTATTCCTTCTGGGCTTAAAATATCTCTGAAATTAATCTATTTCAAGATAAATAAACATTAAACTTTTAAAATACCTATGAGGATACTGATTTTATAAAGAGTTTGCATTTATACAATGAAAGCACTATTAACTTCTGTACTGATTTTAACTTGGAGTGATGCACAGTTTAGGCACTCAGGATTCATAGAATCAGATACTGGGAGAGTCATAGCCTAGAGTTTAGGTGATTTCATTTCAGTTAATCTCAGTAAATATTACTGAGTTATTTTTAATTACAATTCAAGCACAAATATTTAATTGCCCTCTCGTGGATTTCATTTGAAATGATCACAAGTTATATTGCATCAGGGAAGAATGAAAAGGGAATCTGTAAGAGCCTTTGAGAACAGGGATACTGTACTTACTAACAGTAACTAACAGAACACAGACTTGATAGAATTGTTACAAATAAGACTAAATCAAGGGAGTTACTGATCAGTCTACAAGTCAAAGCAAACGAATGAAAAGCCAATTGAGAAAATGCATCAAATCTGCACCAGTATGAGAAAGTAATTAAGAGTTCAAAACTACAGTGGACCATATGCTTTTCAGCAGAACATAAATCTGAACTCTGTAAGTGCTAATAGTAAGGCAAGTAACTATGTTGATTATACTGTTACATTCCCAGCCTTCACTTGGCTCAGATGCTGTACTAATGGTAACAGAATAATTGCCTTAGAGAAATTCGAACAAAGAAAATTATTGAAAGAACTAGGTTTGGGCAGTGTCCTAGGTATCTCTGGTTGTAACAATAACAATAACCTGCTTAGTACAGCAGTGCAGTTATTTACTGCAAGAGTATCTCCCTTCCTATTTTTATGATCAAATGGTAAATAAAATTATCTGTCAGTTTGCCTTGGGCACTTAAAACAGAATCAGATACTATGTGGTATCTTTTAACTGACTTCTTTCACTTAGCATAATATTTTTAAGTTTATTAATTTCATAGCATGTATCAGTACTTAATTCTTTTTATAGCCAGATGATATCCAATTGTATGTATATATCACATTTTGTTTTTTATACATCTCTCTTTTTTGTTTTAAAGAAAATAAAGCCAAACAAAACAAATCAGAATAAAGCCAATCAAAACAAAACAGTGAAAGTGATAAAGGACTTCAAAATAGGAAATCAACAATGGTTACCATAATACCTCTTGTTATCTTCAGAATTGCTGCCTATCCCATCAGACATAATAATATCAAGCAAAACAGAAAAGAATAAATCCAATCAAAACAAAACACTGAATGAAACAAAAAAAATAAATAAAATGGAGGAAAACATGAGAGCAATGAGAATAATATTGGATTTCAAAAATAAGACAGAAGAAAATCCCTCGTAGTTTCTATATTGCATATTGTTATTCTCTAACTAGATGCTCAGACTACCAGTGTTAGGCCTTCAACATCAATCAAACAATTCAAGCATTAAGTCATTTTTGTACCTCAGTTGCTATCAACTCAGTCTCTGTTTCTCTGAATCAGCTGTTGCTTACAGGAATGGAGGCAGGGAGGTTTGGCTCTTCTTGCCTTCTATCCTGTGTACTGGCTGGCTCATGGAAAGGGTGAATTGGTTTCCTATTTCTCATTCTGGCCCATAGCTACCACTGGCTCACAGGAAGGGTAATTCTTGTTTCTCTTCCTGGCCCACAGTTACTGATGACTCCTTTCCATGCATCTCTTGATGGACATTTGAGTTGTTTCTCCTCTTTAGGTATTATAAATAGTCTTTCTATGAACATCCATGTGTACATTTTTGTGCATATTTTTTTTTTTATTTCTGAGTGTACTAGGAATGGATTGTATGAACTCAATCTTTAACTTTTGGAGAGACTTCCAGATGGTTTTCAAAATGGCTGAAAAATTTTTCATTCCTACTGGAATCTATAAGGGTTCCACTTGGCTGCCTCGTCTTCAAAACTAATTATTATCTGACTTTTTTTTTGTACCAGGGATTGAACTCACAACCTTGGGCTTGCCAGGCAGGCACTTACGCCACTGAGCTAAATCCCTGGCTATTAGCTGGCTTTTAAAATAGCCACCCTGGCAGCTGTGATGTGCTGTTTTACTGTGGTTTTGCTTTGCATTTCCCAAATGGCAAATGATGTGCATTTTTCATGTAATTGCCGGTCATTTGTATACCTTATTTGGAGCAATGTGTTTAGATCCTTCACCCATTTTTAATTGGGCTAGTTTCTTTTTATTATTGCATTGTAAGTTTGTCCCACTTGTTTTTTTATAAAGGATTTTATTTAAAGAGAAAAAAAAGCAAAACAGAAAAAAGAATTTCAAAAAACAGTAAGAAATCACTAGTTGATAGATTACATATTGTCATCTTAGAAGTCGCTGTTCAAGTTACAAAATTAAAGCGTACAAAGTGGACATTTAAACAATGAGATTGCAAATAGTTCTGTTCAATGATCCAACAAAAGCTTAGTAATAGGGTTACCTGTTTTACACATTTAAAAATACATGCAGTTATATCCTTTAGTGAACTTTTTTCCTTTCTTTTTTATAATAACAATTACACATTTTAGTGAACTTTTTTCCTTTCTTTTTTATAATAACAATTACACATTTTAGGTTTTATTACTCCTATAGTTCTTATTACTTTGTTTGAAGAGAATAAAACCAAATGTGACAAAGCAAAGTGGAGTCAGTTAAAACAAGAATAGTCGTAGTATATGATGTAAAAACAAAATACAAAGTGATCAACAATGGCTACTGTAATGCCTCTTGCTATCTTCAAAAAAACTGCCCATATCTTAAAGAGGGTAAGATTAAACATACTAAAACAGAACAAAAGAGATCATAAGGAAACAATTTTAAGAAACACTGATTTCAAAGCAAGTCCACTGGAGATCTTCACTGTCTTGTCTTATTGTGTCTAGTTTTCTTCCAAATAGTTGTCCCCATCTTCATACACAGTGAATACATACTGAACATTATAGAACTAATCTGATCATAACAGGGTGATGTAGGCTTTTTAGGTCTTCAAGACCTGACATTGGGGAAGTCAATAGTAACTGCCATAATGTCCCTCATTCTCTTCAAAGTAGCTATCCTTATCTCTACATATGCTGAAATTGAACATAAGAGACTAGACTAATATCACTCTGAACAGCGAATAACAGTTTTGCTGTATCATAATGTTACAGAATTAGCACTGGGTTTCTTAGTGTCTCTTCTTCAGAGTATCTGTTCGTTACATTGTGCTTTATATAATCTGTTTCTGTAAACTGTTTAGAAATTCTCTCCATGTGTGAATCTCTACATTTATATCTATCTTTTCTGTATTATAAGGAAAAACAGATCATAACAAGACAAAAAACCAAATTCTTAGAAAAACATGAAATGAAAAAGACATATAAAACCTCATTATTAGGTGATCTACAGAAGTTACTATGCTTTCTCTTGTTATTTTCAATAGAGTCATACACATCATCAGACATATAATAATTGAACATAGCATTACATAGCTATTTTAATGAAAACACAACTTTGGAGACATTGTAGGACTTCAAAAGCAGTTAATAATCAAACCGGAATGGGTATGTTATTACATCTTGTCATCTTCAGAGTGGTTGCCTCTACATTTAGACTCAGTATTATCAAGCATACCAAATTCGAATAAGATCAGTCAAGGCAAAACAGCAGTTTAACAAACCAGCTTCAAATAAGATCAGTCATAGTAAGACAATGTAAGCAATTCAGGGCTTCAGTTTAAGTTAATAGGAAACTAAGGATAGTTACCATGGGATAGCTTACTATTTTGGGGATAGCTATTGATGCCCTCAAATCTAGTATGAGTAGACTGACCTGAACAAAATAAAATAAAACTAAGTAGAGTGATAAGATTACTGTGACCTTTAAATCCTGATACACTATTTTTTTTTAATTTTATTTAAGGAGAAAAGAAAAAAAAGCAGGGAAAGGGTACAAGTTATACAGATTTACAGAAAAAAAATGAACAGTAGGAAATCACTAGTTAATGGATTACATCTTGTCATCTTAGAAATAATTGTTCAAGTCACAAAATTAAAGCTTGTAAAGTGGACATTCCATCAATGATACTGCAAACAGTTCTGTTCATTGATCCAATAAAACTCTGTGATATCATTTTCTATCTTATACACTTAAATATACATGCAGTTATATAGTTTGGAGCACTTTCTTTTCCTCTCTTTTGTACCATGACTATTACACATTTTGGGTTTCATTGCTCCCACAGTTCTTATTACTTTTTTGGAAGAGAGTAAAACCAAATGTGACATAACAGAACAGAATCGGTCAAGTCAAAAGGGTGGACATAATAGATAATGTAAAAACATAATACAAGGTGATCAACAATGGTTACCATAATGCCTCCCGCTATCTCTAATAGAATTGCCTATATCGTTAGTTATAATACAATTGAACAAAACAGTAAAGAATAAAACCGACAAAACCAAAACATTGGAGACATTGTAGGTCTTCAAAAGTAGATAAAAGTCAACAAGAATGGGCGTCATAATGAATCTCATTATCTTTACAGCTGATGCCTAAACTTTCGAACCTGATACTATCCAACAAAACAGAATAGGGGAACATCAGTTAAAAACCAGATGGTGAGAGTAATACAGGGCTTTAAATCAAGGTAATGAAAAGTTAAAGTGGGTTACTATAATATATCCTGCTATTTTTTTCCTTTAATTAAAAGGATAAAGATAAAAAAGTAAATAATGGAGTGGAGATTGAGATAAAAGAGGGCATAACAACGAAACAGCGCAGATCAAAACATAACCATTTAAGCAGAATAGTCATTCTCTTGAATGGTTTTACATTGTTTTGATATACTTAATGCTACAGTATACGAAGTTGTACTCAAGGATTTCAAAGAAAGAGACAATATGGTAACTACTTTTAGGTTAGGATTATCTGGTGGTGAAACACTATTCTGATACACTATTAACAATGTCCTGTGCCTTCCTTTTTTAGGCAATTCCTCACTTTGCCTTTCTCAGGATGCTTTGTATATTTTGGGTTCCACTAACTCCTTTAGTTTTTAGATTAAGAGGGCAACCCATTATCTATCTGAGTGGTGCTGAATCTTTTTACCCCTGAGCTTGATCTTGAGCTGTACTCCTTTACTTACTAAAGCCACAAGGTTTTCCTTCCTTCTAGCTTTGTAGCTCTACATTGCACAAAAGTGTCATATAACTTTCCAACCTATCTGTGGCTGCTGGACAAGTTGTCCCTATTTCTCTGTGGTTCCCTGTCACTTAGAGCTTCTTTTTCTCATCGTTGACTTTCAGTTTATTAACCTTCTTTCAGGTTGAATATATTTCCTATTCAGAGCATCTCGATGGATCCTGCCTCCTAATCTGCCTTTTTCTTTTTGTTAGTGTATCTAGGCTATGTTAAAAAATATAGCCCACCTTCTCTGCTATTCTATTTTTCTGCTATTATTTGTCCATTTTTCTCCTTCATTCCACTGTCCTTGTTCATTGAGGCCTCTCTACCACTGTTGCTGGAATCCTGGTATTTTTTTTCTCTGTGTCTCTCTAAAATATCCTTCAGTATTTTCTGTAGGGTTGGGTAAGTGGCCATGAACTCCCACAGTTCCTCTTTGTCTTGGAAACATCTTGTTTCTCTATTAATTTTGTGAGAGAGATTTTCAGGGTACATTAATCTTGGTTGGAGGTTATTTTCATTCAGGGCTTGGACTGTTTTCCCCCAGGCTTTTCTTGATTTAATAGTTTGTGCTGATAAGTCTGTCATTATTTGGATGATTTGTCCTTTATAGGTGGTCTGCTTCTTTTCTCTGGCTGCTTTTAATATTCTGTTCTTGTGGTGGATTTCTGGAATCTTGATTATTATATGTCTGGGTGTAGATCTGTTTTGGTTGTATTTGGCTAGAGTTCTGTATGCCTCATTTATCTGGATAATCATTTCTTTTTCCTATGATTGGGAAGTTTTCCTTAATTATTTCTGTAAATAGTCTTTGTAATTCATTTGTGGTTATTTCTGCTTCTTCACTTACGTTTTTATTCTTAAGTTACAAATCCTCTTGTCGTCTTCTAGCCTTTGAATTTCTTAGTCCTTGTTATTTTTAATAGATCTTTTCTTTCACAATCACACATTATAAATCTCTCTTTAAGTTTCAAAAGGCTAACTTTTGTTTCTGTCAAGGCATTTTGTCCGCTTTCAATGGAGTTTTTTGTTTCCTGGTAGTCTCTTTGGATCTGTTTCATGTATTCTAGATTTTGTTTATATTCTTCACCAAAGGTTTCTCTTCCTTTTCTGGGTTCCTCCCTTCTTCTGTCTGTGCTTTCTTGAGAGGGGCTTAGCATTTCTTTAACCTTTTTATTTCTTGTCTCACTTGGGTTAGAATTTCAGTTTTAAGTTCATCTATGAAGTCACGAATGTATTTCTTTATGTCTTCTGATGTTGTGGCTAACACTGCATGATAGCTGGGCTGGTTCTCTTCTGTATTTACCTCCCCTGGGCTTATTTTCCCAGGGTCAGTGGCTGGAGGTTTGGTCTTATCTTTTGCTCTTGTCATGTTTCTGGTTTCTTTCAGACAGGTGTGTGGAGAAGGTCTCAGGCCATCTCTGTATTCCTTACAGTTTTTCTAAAGCATGCTGGCTGGGGGCTTGCTGTTCTCTCCACTTTGCTGATATCTGAGGTGCCGCACAGGGATGCTGCGGGTTGGCCCCTCCCCTCTGAGGCAGCCAACCTGTGACTGCCTTCAGCACTTTATGCTGTGCTGTGGCAGACATCACAGGGTTGGAACAATTTTGTTCCTGGCTATTGGTTCCTGACCAGCGGCTGGTTCAGCCCAAGCTGCTCCCACCAGTCCTCTCTGGGCAGGGGCAGCTGACTGATGCCACCACGGAGCTGGGCTCTGCCCTACTCCAAGATGTCTTCCAGTCAGCCTCCTACACCGTGGGACCCAATCTCCAGCACTCACTGAGAGCCAATAAAGCTCTCAGTCTTGGCTCCACTCCACACTGCGCCGGGTCCTCTTGCCAAGGGCCTGGGACTCACCAGCTTCTGTTATCAGCAGCCATGGCTTCAGTGCGACCTTGAGTCGTCTGTCTCCACAGCGCACCCAGCACAGCGCGGAATGGGTCTCAGTGAGTGTGTCGGGCTTCAGCCCTCCACGCGCACTTTTCCTTCCTCCTCCTAATTTTATTTTTCTTTTGGTTTCTTTCTGGGTTAGTGAGAATCATTCTCAAATCATCTGGCCCTCTCCATTGTTGTCAGATTCTAGCATCTGGGCTGTTTTCCCCGGAGAGTTCTCTATCCAGCTTCCTAGCAAGCCACCATTTTTTTTCTCCTCCCATTTGTTTTTGTTTCTAATTTTTTTCTTCTCTGCCTTTCAGGCTACTTGAATTTTTTAAGAAAATTTAAAAGGCAAAATTATATTTCTTTAAGGTATACAACATGATGTTTTGATATATGTATACTTGGTATACAACATGACGTTTTGATTATGTATACTTTGTGAAATGATTACCACAAAAAAACTAACAATCTACTCTTTCAGCAAATTTCTGTTATGCAATACATTATTATTAATTATAAGTACCATGGTGTGCATTAAATCTCCAAATATTATTTACCTTTATAACTAAAAGTCTATATCCTTTCAGTGGTATTATCCCACATCCTGCATCCCCCCCCCCCCACTGCCACCTTCTGGTAGCCAACTAACTTCCTGCTCTCTGTTTTTATGAGTTCAACAGTTTTCTTAGATTCTATATACAAATGAGATGAGAAAGGATTTGTCTTTCTGGGTCTCCCTTACTTCACAAAATGTCTCTGGGTTCATTTGGGAAACAAAGCAACCAAAATTGGAAGCATAAAGTAAAATCATGAAAGACTATCTTCGTCTGAATAAACATAAATGGGTTAGACTTTTTCAATAAAAGGGAGGTCAATTCTTGGATTAAATTTTTTAAAAATCTAATTACCATATTTCTGTGGTTGTGAGATTCTACCTACTCAAGATATATTGTCAATTTAATAAAAATATTTAGGGAGAAAAGAAACATTCTAAGTGAATATACTGATTATAAAATGAATCACACTTTCATAAACTTCAAAATATGAAAAGATACAACACTTATAATCAAGAAATTACTGTGTATGCTGTATAAGAGTTTTGCATTAGAGAGCTAAAAGGACCAGGAATTTAGTTTAACAACACAGGTTGCCTGACTGGCAAGTGCAAGGTCATGAGTTTGAGCCCCAGTACAGAGAGAGAGAGAGAGAGAGAGAGAGAGAGAGAGAGAGAGAGAGAGTTAAAAGATAAAGCAGTATGCAAAATGTATCAGACAATTTAAAACACAAAAAAGGAAAAAACTCACAATGGCAGTATTAATGTACACAAGAGCCAGTGGTGTAGCTCAGTGGTAGAATACCTATCTAACATGATGCAAATAGAATTGCAGCTAAATAGGTCCTAGAAAATTATCATATATGGATGAAGATTAAATCCTTCAAAGTGATCTCATTCTTTGAAGTTTGTAATTTATTATCTTCTTTATTTTAGCTTCCAATGATTTTGTAAATTTTCCCATTTTTCCACTGATAATTTTGATAGACAGTTGAGAGGAAAAGGGGATTGCAGAGAGGAATAGTTTCTCACCTATTAGGTCAACATCTCTTCATAAATCAAAATGTCCTTGTTATGGCTTAGGTCTAAAAGGCTCACATGTTCAGAAGTGGGGCTTTGGAGATGATTGGATTATGGGGATTAACTCCACTGATGAGCTAGCTCATGGCTGACAGTACTGTGGTGGGAACTGATTGTAAGAGATGTGTCACTGGGGATGTGCCTTTCAAAGTTATATTTCTTTCCCTACCGACATCTCTTTGTCCTTCCTGGATGCCTTGGGAGCACCTGTCATCTTCCGTGCCATTCTACCATGCAATTCTTGGTTCTTGGTTCTTCTGAGAACAACCAAACATGAACTAACTCATCTGAAACATAAACGAGAATAAACCGTCCTTTAAGTTGGGCATGTCGGGTATTTTTTCTCATTGACAAGAAAATAACTGATACATTACTCTTCCCTGTAAAAGGAAAATTGATCTACAATAAAGCAATGAGGGTACTTTAAAAGGAAAATGCCATGGAACAGTGTTACTAAAAATTATTTTAATAGTGTTTTTGTTGATAGTGGGTTTTTTTTCTTTTCAGATCTTCCTCTCGAGCATGGAATTGCTATTGAGTATATAAAATGCAGCTCCACTGAGATTTTAACTATTCAAAGCCAGAGTAAACCAGAATGCAGTGAACCAGGTAGAAATTTTGAATAAATCATTAAACTTATCAAAGATTACCTACATATTCATAATAGCTGATTGTGTGAATCAGTTTTCCTATTTAAAATTTTATGATTATAATGCTAGTTATTTTTTTACTTTTATTAGCTTCTTTATATTTGCTATTATCAGAATCCTGTCAACTTCAAAGTGAACAATATTTAGAGTAGATTGGAGAAGAAAAATGGAGGAAATAGCATTAATGTTAAAAATAAAAATTTTAATATGCTATTGTAAGCCAGGCATGGTGATGCACACCTGTAATCCCAATACTTAGGAGGCTGAGGTAGGAGGATTGCTGTGAGTTCAAGACCAGCCTGGGCTACAAAGCTCACTTAAGGACAGCCCGAGCTACATGGCAAGATATATATATCTCAGTAAATAACAATAATACTGCTGATCATTGTTATACTTTTTAAAAGTTTAAATGTTTAATCCCCCAAAGGACTCCTATCATGCCCTGCTCTGTCATCATTATATTATTTTACAAAATTTGAAACTGCATCATGCCATGCTGTCATTATTGTATTACTATCTTACAAAATTTGAAAACACAGAATCATTTTTTGTTTCAGTGTAGTGCCAAGCTGTGTTGTTTCTTAAGTGTACTGATGATATTGTTACTTAGTCACATCTATAATTGGATCATATTAATCTATTTGGAAGTTTATTGCTTTTATTTATGAAAATGATAAAACTATACTATTTAACAATAAATGAGGTTTCAGTTTTTAAGCCCATCCTATAAATTTATAGTTCTTTGTGAGGCCATCTGAGTAAAGACTCATTAAGGTGAAGAATTATTCTTCATAATGGTACTTCATAATTATACTTCATAATAGCTTCATATCACCAATATTTAGTATGGAAATAAAAGTGGTACTATCTCACAAGTACTGATAATATAAGCTGTCAGAATTAAAGCTATTATTATATGTCAAATTCTCACAGTTTGCCTTGAATAAGTAAAGCAGTAAAATTTAGCCATTAGTGTATTTTTATTTATTTATTTATTTATTTATTTATTTATTTATTTATATCGGTACCGGGGATCGAACTCACAACCATGCGCTTGCAAGGCAGGCGCTTATGCCACTGAGCTAAATCCCCAGGCCCCATCAGTGTATTTTTAAAAATCACCACTTTTGCCAGGTTCAGTGGTGGACATCTTTAATCCCAACCAGTTGTGAAACAGACAGGAGGATCACAAATTTGATGCCAGCCTGGGAAGTTTAGTAAGATCTGTCTCAAAATAAAAAATAAAAAAAGCTGGTGATATAGCTCAGTACTATAGTGCTTTTTTAGCATGTGCAAGGCCCTGGGTTCAATCTCCAGTATTGAAAAAAATCACTACTATTAGAGTTACTATGTGATATACAGTCTGCCAAAAAAAAATGTATACATCAGGAAAAGAAAAACTTATATAAATATTTTAATACTAAATTTATTGTAACATCATGAGATTAATTGAAGTGACCTTTGGCCTCTGCAGTTACAAGAGGAGCTCAAAGTGTTGACCATTAGCTTCCAAATATTTATTAATATGGCAAATGGCTGAAGTATAGATACAGTTTTTTTGGCAGACTCCATATATGTAATTCTTATTATATAGATGAAAATTTAGGAATTTTTATATCTAAATAACCCAAATTTCTTTTTATTGAAATATTTTTGTTGTAACAAAATGATCAAACATAATAATTGCTTAGAAAAAATTCTGAATTTTACTTTATTTCATGTTAAGAAATTTTTAAATATTCAAATATTCCAGGAGAATCAGAAAAAGCACTAACTCATCTACAGCAAAAAAGCCCGTGTTCTTTAGTGAATTCATTATGTCCAGGACTTCAGACATTTTCATTTTCTCCAGTTTTTCTGTATAAAAGACTTCAGACATTTCCATTTTCTTCTGTTTGTAAAATGTAAGTAAGGATTATTTCTAGAACCCCAATTGCAATTCAAAGCAAGCTATTTTTACTATAATGTCTCTACATAAAGGCAATTTCCATGATACTTGCATGAGAAAAATATAAGAAATAGTGTGTATTGTAAGCTACTGGAGGTAATATATGAAAATATGTATACATATCTGGTTTTATGGATAAAGTTTCTTTAGAAAGGGACATGAAAAATAACACTAGTTGTGTCCAGAAGGCAACTGAGTAACTTAGCAATATGGATAGGAAAATTTTCACAGCATAGTCTTTCATGAATTTAGAGTTTTGAATATTAAAATGTTACCATTAAAAATAAATAATTCGAAAATTTTAAGATCCTGACATTGAATTACTATGTTTAGTACCTTGCCATTGGGTGCTTGGCAATTGGGAGGCCTCTATTGGCCCTCGGTGCTATGAAAGACAGTTTGGTGGATTAGTTTCCTAGGGTTACCATAACAAATACTACAAACTGGGTGGTACAAACAACAGAAAGTTATTTCTTCAGTTCTGAAGAGCAGACATTCAAAAACAAAGTGCCCACAGAACTGGTTTCATTCTAAGGCTTCTCTCCTCAGCTTAAAAATGGCCATTTTCTTCCTTGTATTAATAAGGAAGAATGTCCTAATTATTTCTTAGAAAGACAACAGTTGTGTAGGATTAGGTATACCTTAATGATCCCATTTAAACTAATTACCTCTTGATAAACTCTGTCTTCAAATATAGTTACATTCTGAGGTACCTCAGATTAGAGCTTCATCATAAACATTTGAAACAGGGAAATTCAGCCCAGAGTAAGTAGTTTAAAGTTCTGAACTAGAACCAGGCAATATGTCTGTATCACTTACTAACTTTGTGAGCATAAATTACTCTGCTTCAGATTTTAAATCTGTGACACTGGATAATAATTGTGTCTACTTCACAGGGTTCTTACAAGGTCTTTAAAAATATTTTTCATAAATCCTTGAACAGGAACAGCTAAAGATCACAGAATAACGTGCACAATGAGTGACCAGTAAATTTTGCCATCAACTTACCTTCCTCTAGGAGTACCAGGGGTTATATCTTATTTCTAACAGAGGACATCCTCTAACCTGATATACTCTCAGTGCTGGGAAAGCCAGACATGTTGAACCAAAGTCTATTCCATAAGTCTGTTCAATACCCCACCATTACTGTACAGAGTGATCTATAATCCTAGAACTGATATTACGGGACTAGATCATTGTACTTTAGTTTGAGCCAAAATTGCTTACTGTATTGTTTCCCTAGTGTAAGAAACTGAAAGAATAAATAAGATAGGAAATCTATAATAAATATTGTATAAGAGTAAGAAACTCAAAAGCTCAAAAGGGAAAAGTAACTGGCATAGGGGAAAGGAGGAAGGAAGGAAGAGAAGAAAAGGAAAAAGATATAAATTTGTGTATATATATACATAAGATAGCTAAGATGACTATACTACCAATTCTACTAGTTCTTGGAAAAGAACAGTTAATATTCATTTGATTAGATCAGTCTTGCATGTCTGTATCTGGTAATTAAGCAACTCTTTTGAAGATAACAATATGCAATATAACAACCACTGTTAAATTTCTACCATCTTGTTTTCAAAACCTATATTGTTATTGTTTTGGGTTTGTTGTTATTTGCTTGTCTCTTGATTTTTGTTTTCTTTTTCTGTGTTTTTTCCTTTTTAAGGAAAAAAAATTGCATAGCTTTATAGCTCAGTATATTTGACCTTCAGCATAATCTGAGATAGTTTTTGTTGTTATCTTATATGATGTGGTATACATGTAAGTTAATATTTTCTAAGATAGGTTAGGCTGTTATCTTGGAATAAATTTACCCCATGTCCTGCTACTTTTGCCATTTACAAAAGTGGAAACATAGCTAGTATTGTCTACTATCTCGCTGGAAACTTGGAATTTAATGTGTCCTAAAATATCTCACTTTCAGGAAAATCTATAACTCCTCAATGAAACATTCTAAGACTGGAAATTATGGGAGCTGTGCACTGAGTTTTGAATTTAGTTATGATTGGCTCATCTGTCAGAGAAGAATGCTCTTACTACAGGAAACTATAGAGCCAAGGCTCTAGACTTCATTACAGGCTGCTTAGAATTCTTTAATAGTTTCAGGAAGGGCCAGCACTGAGGGCCCTAAGTATATCTTCATCTTCTCTTTTAAGAATTAGTTTGTATTTGTGGGATAAATTTGTGCCATTCAGAATTTTATTATAAACTGTTATTTTACATATCATAGGAACCCTAAAATCATCTTATTAATAGTAGAAAATAAAAGCACCTATAATTTTTAAGAATATTTTTAGTGTCTTTGTTAAGGTAAAAGACACTTGCAGGATATAACTGTCTTTTTTAGGCTGTTTTGTTCTCATTTATTCCACTTAATCTAATCCATCTGTTATAGCAGAATGGCAATTAGAAACAAGCAGAATTAGTATAATCTTGATTTCAATTTTATATTAAAAGCATTTATTTAACTAGATTTTAATCACACATATTTATTGTTATAATTCAAGTAGCTAATGGAAATTTATAAAGCAAGTCTTACCTAATGCATTATGATTTGGCAAAGTTGGAACAAAAGTGGCTTTTAAATTAGCTAATGGATCAAGAGCCATTTGAAACAACTGAAAGTTATCTTGTCACTACTTCATTCCCCATCAAGAGAGGAATTACTTCCATTGGTTCGTGATCATAAAAATGTAAAACTCTTACTTCAGAAAAAGGACTCAGTTGTAAAACTAAAAATTAAAAGAGTTAAATTTATAAAGCTGCAGAAGTTCCTTGAACTTACTTTTGCTCTCAGGTAAATAGCAAGTATAGATGAGTATAGATTTTAAAGGAAGAAAAAAATAATAATTGTCTTTAATTTATCTGTATAATCAGTTACTTTTATTTTAAAACACAGAATTTTGACTGGAAATAATGTCCAGTTAACAAATACTTTTGGTGTCTGTTATATGCAAGACTCTATGTTAGGTTTCAGAGGGCTGAAAAGAAAAGTCTGTATGACATAAGATTTTATTTCCATATTAACTGACTACAGACTTGTGAACAAATTTGTATGATCAAAGAATTTATCAAATTCAGACATGTTTATGGAATGTACGAGCAAACACAAAATATTTGTCCATGTTGGATGTGGCTGGCCTAAATATTTCCCCTTCTTTTCATTTAAAAATAATTGTCTGTAAAAAGAAAAATAATAATTGTGATCAAAGGTGTTCAATTGTCAAAGAAACATTGGTAAGAGTCAAACTTTGTTTGATAATTGATATTATCAATTTTCTACTACAAGACTAGATTTTTAAATTATGTAGATAAACTAGATAATTTAGGAATAAATATATAATATTATTCTATCCTAGGGTGTCAATTTAACTAGTTATATTAGCATATTATACAGTATATGTCCTATTTGAACAGAGAAACAGAGTACAATTAATTCTCAGTCAGGGGAAGTAAGAGGTTTGCAGCATAAAAGGTTTTTGAATTAATAGTGTGCCTTTCCAGGCTAGTGGTTTCATAGTCACTGACTGCTGTGATTTATACTGATTTTTTTTTTGCTCTGTATATCATTATCTTCAAAGCAGTTGTTTCAAAAATACTGATTTACACTAAATGCCATACGTATTTGATCTTTTCTTGTCACTCATGTCACTGCAAAGCACACCAACATGCACACACATGACACACTACCCAGGTTGAAGGATTTGAACTAACCTAGAACCTTGGATGAGAACCTTCCAGAGAAGTTAGAATAGACAGGACTTTTACATAGTTTTGATTCTTAACCAATAGAGCATCCAGAATTTCTAAAGAGAATAGACTTGAAGCTTATAAATTTCTAAAAAATTTTGAAGCTACTGTTTGTGTGGTAAGATAGCAATTTTAGTAAGATTGTGTTTTATTTTTGGTGGCTTATAGGGTTAGTATTTTCATAGCTTATGGAAGGCCTTGCTAAATCTCTTCCATGTAAATGCTCTCTCGCTCCAGAGTACATTGAAGGAAATAAAAGTAAGAGTAACTTATAGGAAAGTAGGAGTAATTAAGAGTTTAAAAATGACCAAATCTTCCTAGAGGAGAAAGAAATGAGTATTGAAATTTGATCTGTGGATCTCTATTTCTGTTTACATGTTTATAAAACAGTTAACTTTTCATTTAAGTATGAAAGTTACTTAGTAAAATACTTAAAACCTTATATAAAAGGAACTAATGTTAGTGTATTAAACTTTAATCTTCTTTTTCAGTAGCTTGCTTACTGCTGAAGAATCAGCTAATAAATACTGTGTGATGTGGCAGTTAGAAAGCTGCAGAAGTTCCTTGAACTTACTTTTGCTCTCAGGTAAATAGCAAGTATAGATGAAAATATACAATGAGTAGAAATGTGAGATATTGTACTCTCTGACCATTTCTAAATACAAAATTTCTATAACATCACAAAACTCACATATCCAGAAATCCACCAAAAGGTTCATTATGCTAAATGCTAGAGTGTATGTCAAAATTTTGATCTTGCTGATTTTTCTGGTTAAAATACCTATTCTTGGACAAAAAGGAAAAATACAAATAGTACACAAAGCAGTTCTATATTCATACTTTAGTATAGTATATATTTCCAAGTCAATGAGTTATTTGTTTAAAATTTCTATATAACTGATGTGAAAGACAATGTTTAAAACTTTTAGATTCTCAAGTTTTCCAAAAAGGATACTTAAAAACATGTTAACAAAGTTTATTTATAAGTTAACAAAATAGTTTTGAGTTAAGCATAAAGGTAATGTGTATATTTTAAAATGTATGTAAGTAAGCTAAACTGTTTTCCATATCTGAATTTTTCTATTATGGAAATAGAGCTCCTAATACAACACTCTCTTAAGCAAGAACACTGGGAAGTAAGGAAGCATTAAAACTGACTTTTATTCCAGTGATCTCTGTTAAACCCTAACTACTGGGAGCTTCTGATGTTTGCATGGAGTATGGGGTCAAAAAATATCCTATATGTAGTGACTACTAGGCAATCCTTGAATAAATCCTGTCTAAAGTATTAGAAATCCTTCCTGGAGGAATACACATTAGTCCATGCTTCAAAAAGACTTTCACAAAGTTCAAAGAGAATAATACAAAAATCACAAAATATATGGGCATCACTAGTAAGAGTCATTAGAAACAATGGACATCAAATCAGATGTATGTATTGGAATTATCAGACAGATAGTGCAGTATGTATTTAAGGCAAAGAGGTGAGGGGACTGGGAATGGGAAGGAGAAAAGAAATATGAACAAGGATCATATGAAAAGTGATCCCATTTGCATCAGAGCCATGTAAATTTCAGAAATAAATAAAACAAGTAAGAACACTTGATCGATTCAGTAGTATATTATGCAGAGTTGGAAAGAATATTAATGAACTGAAAGATAGACTTGAGGAAATTATCCAGAATCCAGCACAGAGAAACAGAGATGAAAGATATGACTGGTTCAAAGACATAAAAGGATTGATGAGATGGAACATGTGTCTAATCAGAGATTCAGGTAGAGATTACAAAAAATAAGAAGGAGGTCACCTTTTGGGAGACATGATGGCTAAAATTTTCTAGAATTGTTGATGGATGTCCATTCATTGATCCACCACACTCAGTGATTTCCATGCCAAATGGAAAAAGATCCCTGAGTCAGTTGTAGCATCTCTACACCTCACCAAAGGCATGAGGTGAGTAAGAATGAAAAGTGACTTCTCAGTGACACTAATGGAAAAGCAGAAAACAGTGAAGTAGTATCTTTAATATGCTATGAATACACTGCCTGTAATCCTATACACTGCAAAAACTGTAATTCAATAGGAATCTAAAAGAAGATACTTAAAAAAAATGAAACATCAGACTTTCATAAAAGAAGCTTTAAAGCATGCTAGTCAAGCAGAAGGAAAGTGATCCCTGATGGAAAGCCTGAAACCTACAGAGTAATGATGAGAAAAGATACTTGAACATATGATAAATGTACTGACAATACTTTAATAACAGTACTGTAATGGTTTTTAAGAATAAAAGTGCTAGGGGCTGGGGATTTAGCTCAGCGGCATAAGCGCCTGCCTTGCAAGCAGGCAGTCGTGAGTTCGATCCCTGGTACCGATAAAAAGGAAAAAGACCAAAAAAAAAAAAAGAATAAAAGTGCTAGGTTAGAAAGGAAATATGAAATCTTCATAAACTATGACCTCATAAAATTCCCATAGTATTTTAGAGAAGGGTAATTTTTCTTTGCTAGGTGATGAGTGCAGTTTTTATTTCATTTTCCATATATTCTTTTGTATGTAAAATAGTGTGTTTCACGACACAGAAATGAAAAAAAAATTGGTAAGTTTAAATTCTAACTCTACCATTACCTAGATATATAAGTAATTTAGCCCTCTGAGGTTATTTCTTTAAGAATGGAAAAATAATGTTTCATAAGAGCATGTATCTGCTCTAAGGCTAATATACATGTATGCCTGTAGCAGCTGTATTTATGAGAGACAAAAGTGGGAACAAATTACATGTCCATGAGCAAGTGATTGGGTGAACAAATTGTGGTATATCTACATAATGAAACATTACTCAGTAATCAAAAGAAATGAACTGTTTACATAACATCTTTATGTAAGATGTTTACATAACATCTTCATTTTAGAAATGGTAAACAGATTAGCAAGTCCTAGGAACAAGTGACAGGAGGATAAGTTCAGGAAGAAAATGATTGTAGGTATATAGAGGCAAAGAGAAATATCCTATAGTATTGGAGCTATTTAAAATAGTGTGGTGAGGATTGCAGAATCTACATAGGTGATAAAATGAAGCAAATTATAACTAGTTCGTGTGTGTGTGTGTGTGTGTGTGCACAGTGCAAATAGGTAAAACTAAGACAATCTGACTAAGATTGGTGAATCATTACTGTCAATCTCCTAGATATGCTATGCTATACTATATACTATATAATATTATACTATAGTTTTCCCAAATGTCACTGTGAGAGGAAAGCAGGCAAAATGTGTAAGAAAAAGTGTATTATTTCTTATAACTGCATATGAATCTAAATTATTTCCATCAGAAAGAAAGGAACTATTAATTCACATTTTAACATAAATGACTCTCAAAGTGGTTGTGATGAATGAAAGAAACCAGACAAAGAGAGTTCATGTGCTATTACTTGTTTCATATAAAATTCTGGAAATGTTAGTTTATCTACAGTTGCACAAAGCAAGGCAGTGGTACGGAGTAAAGGAATGAGGAGAGTTAGAAGGTTGGTATTACAAGGATACAGGAGGATCTTTGGAGAGTTATAAATATGTTCATTATCTTGATTGTGGTAATGAGTTCATGAGCATATACATAGATCAAAATTTATTTAACTTTTTACCCTACGTATATGTAGTTGATTGCATATCAGTTATACCTCTTTAAAGTAATAAAATATGTACTTCATAGGATTATTTTAAGAATTACTCAAAAATAATGCACATAAATCACTTGGCACAAACAGATATTTTTACTAACTAGTAGTTACCATTATTAATATTAGTACCTATATCATCAGTTTTATATTATGCTTATTTCGATTATTATAAACAGCACCATTTCAAAAACAGAATTTCAAAATTTATGTTCTTAATTTTAGGTGTGTGTTTACCACGCAGATAGTAGTTTCAGTACTTGTGCTACTTTATAGAATAAGACTCTATGTTAGAGTTTTTCTTAGTTAGGCTAAGAAGTAATGACGCAGTAAGCTCTGTGCCACAGTAGTTAAAATGATACTCATTAAAAGATCTAAATAAGATATATCTTGTTTAGGCTAATAATAATTAGAATTTTTGATTTAATATTTTTCTTCTGTTCTTGGGATTAAACTCAGGGCCTTCTCACTGAGCTACATCCACAGCTCCTTTATTTTTCTTTATTTTGACACAGGGAGGGTCTTGCTGGGGTGCCACGCTGGGGTCAAACTTGTGATCCTACTACCTCAAGCTCCCAGAGTGCTAGAATTATAGGTATGCACCATCAAACCTGGTGCATTAATCTTACATTCTTCAAAATAATATCCAATATATTAATTTAGTAATTGACAGTGATAAAAAGAATATGGTTTCCTCTGTTGCTAAATATAATTTTAACTTCTTGATGTTTCCAAAACTTGACTTCTGTTGTTATAGTAACTTGGATATTTACAGATATTAGTGTCTTGAAAACAATACCAGGTATAACTTCAAGTATCACTTTTTTCTAAAGTGTGAAAATATATTTCAAAAAGAAATTCTATTGTAGTTCTGCTTATTGTGCTTTACATTTCTTTTACCCTGTAAACTATTTCTATTTGCTTATTGTTGTTGTTTTTCCTAAGTGACAAGAATTCAAGAGCTCAATAGCCAGTGTTCAGCTACAGATCTGAAGAAGATACTTTGTGTTCAAGAAAAAAGGTTTGTGCTTAATTCTGTAAACGCAAAGTGGTGCGAAAAAGCAGGACTAAATCCAGTAACAAGAGAAACTTCAGGATGCCTAAATACATCTTTATGTCATGATCATCTATCTTCTAATGATACTAAAATGGAGATGCTTTTGCCTACAAAAGTACTTCAGTTGGAATGTAAGTACGTAATAGTAACCATAACTTGTATCAACACTTTTAGAATGAGAAAATGTTAGGTACTGGATTTCTTCTCGGTGATTGGGGAAATAGAATTAATTTCTAGCACTCAATATTAGTTCTGTTCTGCCAGAACGTATGAATTTGGGCTTCTTGAGGCTCCATTTTTTCCTCAAAAAAGAGAATTTTGACTAACTAATGTTAAAGTTCTATTCTGTCCCCAAAATCCATAGTCTTAGTTTAAGTTTTTAGCCATTTTCAATTAAAGTGACTTAATTTTCCTTTACAAATGATTAATGCTCGTATAATTCTTGTATCTACGCACAAGTCACCACTTTTCTGCAACTTATTTTTTGACCTGACAGCTAAACTTTGGCATTCAATACAATCTAATAATCTCTCTCCAAAAATTCAAAACTCCTCTTTCACTACTAAAATGTTTACTGTTTTAGCTTTTACTATATAATTTAAGTAGGCAGGAATATCTTTTGAGTGTTTACATGTGTTATTTTGTTTGCTATAAATTTCATTATAACAAATGCCATATATTTTGCCTGCATTATATATGCAAGTTGTTTTAAGATTAGTTTGTGCAATAACTAGTAATTTTTAATCTTGAAGGATGTGGGAAAGTTTTTACTTAATGTATTACAGCATAATAATTACATTTAAAAGTGATTTGTAAAAATAATTATCTGTGTAAGGAATGGGCGTAAAAATTCTCATTAGAGGAGTGTGTTTTAAAGACAGAGGTGCAAAGTACCAAGCAAAAGCAATCAGTCCATCCCAGGCCTTTAGGTTTGTGGGTTCCCACAGTGTTTTTCATTTCTTTAACACTGTAAAGTATTTTAATTTGTTTTTTTTTCAAGTGCCAAGAATTTAAGAGCTCAACAGGCAATATTCAGTTATGGATCTGAAAAAGAATAAGAATTTTTAAAATAATTTGGTCAGGTTGCTAGACAAAGAAAAGGAAGAAGGTTTTATGGGGTCTTCAGACATCTACGTTGGTATATCTGTTGAAGTATGTAAAGTATTATGTAGCTACTTTGAGGTTAAAATAAAGAATACTCCCTTTGATATCCAATAGAATTATGATAGTATTTTATACTATAATTCTGAGGCTTAAGAAACAATAACTGTTTCTGGACCCCATAGCCAAATTGTCACAGTAGACGTAATAGTAACTGAAAATCGTTAGGAAGACAAAATAGTAATTCCTACTGCTCTGATAACCAGATTTTCTCAAGAAGTCTCTCAGAGGTTGCAAATTAATAAGCACTCAGGTCATATTTGGCCCATGTATTACTGACCTACATAGCGTTTTAACTGTTTAACGAGATTTACAATTTGAGGGATTTGGTCAGGCATGGTGGCACATGCCTGTAATCCCAGCATTTGGTAGGCTGAATCAGGAGGATTGCTGTGATTTTGAAGTAAGTCTAGGTTACCTTGTGAGTTTGAGGACAGCTTGAAAACTGAAGACCCTTTCTCAAACAAAACAAATACAAAAAGAAAAACAGATTTGTCTTGAAATTTTCAAAAACTAGACTCAAATTGTCGTCTGGCAATAATGAGCAAGAGCCCTTAGTGACTCACCACTTTAATCAGTTAAAGTGATTTAATCACTTAAATCACTTTAACTCAGCACTTTATTCACCACATACTTTCCAGCTCACTGTAGATCTCAGTACTCACTAATTGAAGCCAGGCATTAATTAGCATTTATATTACTCTTGAATTTTTATTTTACATTTAATACAATTATGAGGAAATTAAATTTTTCTTATGTCAATATCTCTAATGCAAGAAAAAATAAAAAATCATAGACCATGTGTGTTGGAGGACAAGAAGATAAAATTTGTCTTCCAAAGATTATGATTTAAGGAGTAGCCATATACTTCACTCATTTAAGTTACTTAGTTGACACAATAAGCATTTAAGGGGTTTTTTGAAATCACTTTATAAGGAATGCTTTGTGCGTAATAAACTGCACTCGCTTTGTACAATTTGATACAGCTTAACAAATTATGCATATATAAATATGAAGTCTGTGAAACTAGCACCACAATTAAGATGCAGTAGAATGTTTTCATCACCAAGGGCTCCCTTGTGCCCCCTTGCAGTCATTCTCACTCCGTCCTCCCTTTCTCTCCCATCAGTCTTCACCTCTGCCTCTTGGGAACCCCTGGTCTACTTCTGTTACTATATATTGATTTCCCTATTCTAATATTTCATTTATAGAATTTGATAGTGTGAATTCATTTGTGTCTGAATTTTTCTATTCAGCATGAAATTTTTGAGATTTATCCATAATGAGCGTATCACTATTTTGTTTCTTTTTAATGCTGAGAAATTTTCCATTGAATGGATTTACCAGAGCTTATCACTTCCTAGAGTTTCTTTCCCAACTTTTTTTATTATTGTGAATAAAATTTTTATGAATATTCTTGTATAAGTCTTTTTGGGCATATTTCCATTTTTCTTGAAATCCTAAAAGTAGAATTGTTGAATTTTATGATAGGTATATATATAACTTTATACATATACCTATGTATACCAAGAAACATATACCTATGTATACCAAGAAACTACTAAATTGCTTTCCAGTATTTTTTACCATTGTATGTTCTCACCAGGAATATGTGAATTTCATTTAATCTATACCTGGTCAATCTTGATAGTAGCTATTCTAGTGGTAATGTTGTGTTTCATTGTTTTTAATTTGTATTTCCATGATGACTAGTTACGGTGAACATCTTGTTACATGCTTACTGGCCTTTTATAGTTCTTCTTTTTAAAAACATATAACAGCTTCATTGTAAAAGAACTCACATATTGTACATTCAATCCATTTAAAGTATGCTATTCATTGTTTTTTTGTTTGTTAGTTTTATTTGTTTGAGTTTTTTGGATACCAGGGATCAAACTCAGCACCTCACACTTAGTAGGCAAGCATGTCAGCCACTGAGCTAAATCCCTGGCCTGAGAACTCTTCTATCACACCACAAAGAAACCTCCTATCTCTTAGCCACCGCTCTCCATAGTGCCCAGCTCTGGACCATTATTAATCCATTTCCTGTCACTATGGATTTGCTTCTTATGGAGTGTGGTGTTTTGTCACTAGCATTTTCCCTTGGCATGTTTTCAAGATTCATCAATGTTGTATATATATTGTATGAAGTATTATTCAAATATTTTGCCAATTTTTAATTGGGTTCTTTTAATTATTGAATTATAAAAGTGTCTTTATATATTTTAGGTGCAGACTTTAGTCTGCTATATGTAGATCAAGTATTTTATTCTTGATGCATAAGGCTTACCTGGTACCTAAGTTTTCAGTAATCATTAATTTTAAGACTATGACCCATTATAAACTTATTACTTAAGTTTTTATATTTTTAAAATGTTATTTTACTTAGACCAAAAATTTATTTCCTAAACAATAAACTATTCCTCATAATCAGGTTATGGTTAATAAGAAGCTGCAAATAAATGTGGTACTAATACCCTAAAAGAACACTCTTTTAGGCATGGAAGTAATTTCAGTATTTTTTAATTTTGGTTTTTTCAGCTTGTCTAGAACATAAAAGTTGTTCTTCATCTGTCGTACTTATTAATGAGAAATCCACACATGATCATGTACCAGTTCCACAAGGGAGTCCGCCAGTGGCAGAAGAAGTAGCAGATACGTGTTTATCTGATGAATGTGTTTCTGCTGAAAGACCAAAAAATGAAGAAAAACTAAAGAATGATCAAGAAATAGTTGATAAAATAAACCTAAAGGAAGAAACTAAAGATCACTTTGAACTTGATTACACAGTATCATTTATTGAATCATCTCCCTCTTCAGGAATTAAAAAAACATGTTTCAAACATAGTAAAAAACAGGAGAATGATTTAGATCTTTTGAGTGACTTCATTATGCTGCGAAATAAATATAAGACTTGCGCTTCAGAGACTGAAGTTACAGCCCAAGATAAAAGAGATGGTGGGTAATTTAGTAATATTTTGGCATTGATACGATAGGTTTGAGAACTAAGTGCATAATTTATTATATAAAACAAAGAAATAAAGTCTTTTGGATAAAGCTATATTATTTATTATAGTCAAAGGGAATGCCATTGACTTACAGTACTCCTTGCATGTGGGGATGAATGTAGGTGTATAGACAAAGATTTAGGTGGATATAGATATAGATATAGATAGATATAGATATAGATACATGTTTTCCAAAAAATTAAAAAGTGCATTTGAATTTGTTACAAGACCCATTATTTACACAATTTGCTTTCTACAGTGTGGCCATACAAATTCACACATTTCTAATTTTTATTGATCATTCTGCCATTCTTTTTCCTCTTTTAGCTGAAAGTCTTATAGTAATATTTTAACTTATATTTAACTGATTTGAGGACTTTCTTTATTCATTTAATTGCTTGTGCTTATTACTCTTTCTAATGTTACAAAAGCATTTCTGCTTGAGTTGTAATGATCGTGTTTCCTGCTTCTACTCACATTAAAGATAGTACAATGTGTTATAACCTTTCATTTCTGGTAGAAAAAAATAGACATTCAAGAATAATTTTGATGGACTTTACTCTGATAAATAAATGCACAAATGCTTACATGATTTAGAGCATAGGTAGGTCTTACTGTCCCATGTGTCCTGTGAATGGTCTCAGTTTATTGTGTGATATGGTTGCATATACTTTTCCTAAAGACGTGACAGACTTTTATAGGTTTACTTAATGTTATAATACTTTGTCATTCAGTGAGTTTTTCATAGTGAACATTTTGGTAGACGTGCAGAACAGTATTTTTATTAAATTGTATTAAAAAGGTTTTTCAAACCTATTCTTTGTAGTCATTAAGTTCAGTCTGTCCACTACCTTCTTTTAAATTATTTTAGCCAGTATCCTGAGCTATGAAGTAAAACTGCCCAGGTTTTAGTCTCCTTAAAAATAAGTTTTTTGGTACCAGGAATTGAACTCAGACCTTGTGCTTGCCAGGCAGGTGCTTGTGCCACTGAGCTATATCCCCTACCCAAAAATAAATTTTCGTGTCAATTCTTTCCTTCCTTTCCCCTAACCCACATAAAGAAAACTCCCAAATTCCTAATTCTCCTGACCAGGAACAATTTGCAACATATCTTGCAAAGTACTCTTTTATTGGTCTCTGACATTATGCAAGTGAGTACAAACTTACATTATGTAAGTACAAAGTCAAGACTCTGAAACTAGAACGGTATTTTTAAATTCCAGAATTAAAGTTTCTATACAGTAGTATAACCACCTTATAACTTACTTTATTAGGTGATAATTCTATATGCAACTGAGATCACTATAACTAATATTTGTACTATAATTCAAGCATAGTTTTGCATAAAAGAATGAACAAAATATAAAGATTATATATATATACTTATAAAAGTTGAAATTTTTAAAGATTTGTTATTTTCTGATTTGTTAAGATTTTCAAAGTAAATTTATATTTAGATTCAAAAAGGAGTCCAATGCAAAATTAACACTGACATCTTTCTCCAGCTGCTGTACTTGTGATACTAGCTAAGTATAGGATATCTAGTAGGCCGGGGATACAGCTCAGCAGCGCCATGCCTGCCTGGCAAGAGCAAGGTCCTGAGTTTGATTCCCAGTATAAAAAAAGAAAAAAAAAGATAGATTAGCAACATAAAATGAGAAAAAGTAGCAAGAAAGGTGAAAAAAGATAAAAAAGAATGTTTTGAATAAAAATAAGCCATTGGTTTACTAAGAAAATAAAGGCATATTAATGTTGGATGGAAATGCTTCTGTACTCTTTAGGTTCCCTCAATTGGTATTATGCTCTCAGCTTCTTTGTTCCTTTATACCTTTTCACCAGTGAGGATGGAAGGAATTGTCTAAAGTATAAATTTGAAAAATATAAGTGGGGCATAAACTTGGAGGGATAAACTTTCAGGAGAAAGAAGTATCCTCAACTTCTCTTTTCCCAATAGTGAATTCTCTTCCAGTCTACCATATCCTAGGCTAGAAGGGCAACTCTGCCCAAAACTGGTGTTTAATTAGCAAGCTATTTGTCTCTCAAATTAAGCCCAGTCCTCCAACTTATCTTTTGTTAGTGAACTTTCCATTGATGGGACAAATTGCCTGACATCCACAGCTTAAAGAATTCAGTCCCTCTTTGGTTAACAGTGAGGCAAGAACATCATGGTGGAAGAGCATGGCATAAGAAAGCTGCTTAAAAAAATAGCAAAGAAAAGCCAGATGTGGTGGTGCATGGCGTAATCTCCATGAGTTCAAGGCTAGTCTCGGCTATATAGTGATTTCAGGGCCATCCTGGACCATACAGCAAGACTCTGTCTAAATAACAAATAAACAAAAGCACCATAAAAATAAGTAAGAAAGCTGCTTAGTTTATGGTACCTAAGAAATAGAATAGGGAAATAGCACCAGAGAGGAAGGAGAGGTGACCAGATATAGATGCCAGGGTCACAACTCCATAATACATTGAGACACAACCAGAAGTGTGCTCACTAATCTAACTTTTTTTTTTTTTTTTTTTTTTGGTACTGGGAATTGAACTCAGGACCTTGCGCTTGCCAGGCAGATGCTTGTGGTGCTGAGCTATATCCTTGGCACTCTAGGCATTTCTTAAGCCAGTCAAACTGACATATCACAACTAACAGTCACAGTTAGTAACAGAGGTTATATTTTATTTTGTCTTTATGGTTGATTCAGGGGAAGAAATATTATACCTCATTCGACCTCCTTAAGGATTTCAGTAAGTAATACTGACTCAAACTATTTATAGTTAATTGAAACTATTACTTGAAAAAATAATACAGTCAAGTGTAGGATATACTCCATTATTATACACTTAGTCAGCTACTTAAATATCACATATCAAAATGTGTCAATATGGTATTGTATTTATAAAATTATTTTGTGAGATCACATTATTGATGTATATATTACTATCTGATATATATTAGACATATATCTAATATATTTTCCATTTCAAATGCCTAAGAAAGAAAGAAGGAAAAGGAAGGGAAGATTTATTGAATATTCCGTGCCAGACACTATTTTAGAACTAAATGCAATGCTGTTGCTGACCTTGAGATGCTCATAGTGTAATACAATAGGCCAACATATTTCAACTCTATTCACAGAAGGCTGAAGAAATAAAAAACTGGAGACACTTGCTGACCCAGAGGTGGGATTAAGGTGGGCAGTTACCTAGGACTTCACATACAGGGTGCCTGAGAGCTGAAGGCTGAGCAGGAAGAACTCGCCTGCTTGAGAAATGGAGACAGGGAAGACTTGGGGAAAGGGGGAGCATGGGTTGCGGAAGAAATGGCCTGTGGAAAGTCACAGAGAAATGAGGTGAAATGTTTTGGGTCTTTTAATGTGTCAGGAACTGTACATGATGTTTACCCCCATAACAGTATTTCAAGTGAGTATATTTACTCATACTTCATATATAAGATCCTCAGAATAGTGTCAGAACCAACATAAAACACTGATCTGCTACCAAAGTTCTTTCTGTTTTTATCATTCATCTTCCTGCCTGGCACAATGGTAGGTCTACTGATCTGAATAGTTCTATTTAATACTGATGTATTACAATGAAGAAATTGAACAAGGGTTATAGAAGCATGAAAATAAAGCAACACTACATTGCTCCTGAAAAATACAAATTAATTTTTTTTTTAGAATTTCAAGATCAAGAAGAATTGACTCATAAAGAAGAAAGTCCTGTTGTTTTTACTAACAAAACTCCAGAGAAAACGAATCAAGAAAGGGGAGCAGATAACATCACTGAAATTCAAGCAACAGGTATGCTATATGCTTTTAAAACACTTTCAAATTTACTTAATTTGAAAGCTTTTTCTTGGATATCTAGGACATACCTTACTTTCCTTATTATTCTTCACTTGTTTCTGAAATTTTTTCGTTCCTCTTCTTTCAAATTATTTCCAGAATTGGAATGTCCTGTTCATTGTCTCTGCCCCTCCCTCCCCTTTACTCTAGTCCACTATTTGTTCTTTCTTTCTTTATTAAAACTGCTGCTGCCTCCCTACATTCCTCATAGAAAAACATTGCCAAGTCTGGAAAATGAACTGCTAACGGTTGCTCTTTTCGTTCTACCCACTATCAGGGTGGTATAAATAAGTTACTCTTGGTTCCTGTAACAATTAAAATTTTTGTTAAGTTGCAAAGAATATTCTTTGATTCCTAAGTACGTCCTGCTTAGGAATGTCATTTGAATTATTAAAATCAGAAAGAAATATGATAGTAGTTCTCAAATATCTTTCCATTCTTTTGATGAAATGTTACATATTATATAATTTTAGATATCTTTATATAATGCAAGTCTTTAATGGACATCCAGTGACAACTAGAAACATTTATCATTGTTAGAAATTTGGCTTAAATTTGTAACAATGTCAGGGGAAAAGAAATTTTCTTTGTAAGGTTCTTCATACTTGCCCGCTAAATGAGTTATCAAATAAATCTTTTCTAATAAGTAAGACACATAGACAATTACATAATTATATAAAGATGTTTTTACTAGTTCATAGAATAAATATCTGTATATAAGCCTGTATATAAGCTATGGTTTTTAACTCATAAAATAATTTGGGTTCAAGTTCAGGTTTCCATGACGTAACATGTTCAGTTTGTTATCAAAAACAACATATCATCCTTATAAAAACATTATGTTTAATGCTTTTATTTTTACAGATAGTCAGTGCCAAGCATACTGTTTCCTAGGAGCATCAGCTGCTCCTGTCTTAAAGAAGCTTGTATGCCTCTGTACTCTGCCTGCTGCTAATTGGAAATTTGCCACTGTTACTTTTGACCAAACGAGATTTTTCTTAAAGGAACAAGAAAAATTAATCAATGATGCTATTCACCAAGGTGAATATGATAATACATGTTAGTTATTACTATTGTGTATATTTTGGTACATATTATAAAATTCTAATATGTTTTCTATGTTTTTGCTTATTTAGGTATAAATAATGAAAAAGAAATGACATTCAAGTATGCTGGCCTTTTACACCTTCTAGTAACGATTAGAGATGTTCTCGTAACATGCAACTTAGACACAGCGTTGGGTTAGTCGAGAAAATTTTATATCTTGTTTTTTGTTACTGAAATAATTTACTTTTCAGAAAGAAACATCTCTTAAGAAATTAAGTATCCTTCTTTTACTTCTATTACACTAAGCACATACACATTGTGTGACATAATTATAATGGAATATACATGTGTATGTATGTATATATATATGAAAAAAGAAAATATATATATTTGTGTGTTTTGTTTGGGCAGTATTGTGGATCAAACCCAGGGCTTCTTACATGCTAGGCCAGAGCTTTACCACTGAGCCACACCTCCATTCCAGAACATTCCTTTGAAATTTGATTATGTTCATTAATTCTCTATTATGTTCAATATTTCTCTATTCCAAAGTTTTTGTGAGCATTGAGCCATAATGAAGCATAGTTAGAGTCCTTCTACAGCACTGCATCTCAAGTTGTCTAGAGTCTTATTGATGTCAGATAGTCTAGCTGTTGGTAGAATTGACACTGTTGTGGAAGCTGAAAAATATAATGAAGATGGATGAAGAGTAGAAGGGCATGTGATGCTACACCTTATAATTATTCCAAGTACTATAAATGAAGGCTCCAATTCCTACTAGAGATTTTGGACAAGTTGGTCTATTATCAACACTTGAGGTTTAATTGAAGAAGATAAAAGTATCGTTTTGGGGTCTACAAAAGTAGCTATAACTTAGTTATAATACTTGACAGGCTATATACTGTGGCCAAGTACAGCATGTTTAATACATAACCTTTGATTAAAGAAATGATATTTATGGAGAATTGCCCAAAGGATATTCATCTTTGAATATTCTGCAATTTACTCTAAGATTAATGAGACCATTGTGAGCTATCAAGCTGGGAGGAATTCTTTTTTGCTCCTCAAAGAAATGCATCCTTCCAACTCATAAGTGACTCAGATAACCCAGTAACCCAATAAAAAGCTTATTAAAACACAACACTAAACAACAACAAAAACTTAAAATCACATTTTCATTAGAAGTAACTAGAATAACATGTTTTAGAAGAATCTAAATTATTTCCATAGAGCCCTCTAGTGGCACTTAGAAGCCAGCTCACATCTGCCACCCTTGCCACCCTTGCTGTTGATTTAGCAGAAATTAATTCATTTGCTTATAGTCGGCTCTCTGTATCCACAGGTTCCAAATCTGTGTATTGAAATATTCAGAAAAATTTGTCTATGCTTAACATATACAATTTTTTCTTGTTATTATTTCCTAAATAATATAGCAGTTGTTTATACAAATTTATATTATGTTAGGTATCGTAAATAATCCAGAGATTGTTTAAAGTACATGGAGACCGATGTAGGTTATATGTAAATAGCATACCATTTTTTAATAAGGGACTTGAGTACCCGCAGATTTTAATATCTGCTAGGATCTTGGAACCAATCCTTTATGGATTTGAGGAATAACTGTGTATTATTCACATAAATTAAGAACTTCTGTGTGTCTGGTACTAAGGGTTGAACCTAGAGACTTCACATTTTAATATACTTAAGCCCTTTTTATTTTTAGAGTCTCACTAAGTTGTTAAGTTGCCCAGACTGGGCTCAATCTTGCAATCCTTCTGGTTCAGCCTCCTAAAAGTGGGATTACAAGCATGTACCACTATACCTGGCTAGACTAGGAACTTTTGTGGAACTTTTATCTAAGAACCTAAGATTCATTCATTCATTCATTCACTTTTTCCTTTATTCAACCACTACTGAGCATACATGGTGCTGGTTGCTGTTTGGCTTCCAGGAGTAGCTGCAGAAGAGTCAAATGAAGTCTCTGTCTCATCGCCCTTATGGTCAAGTAGTGGAAATACACAAGTAAACAGCCAGTAATAATAGTGATACATATTGAGGAAGTACAAGGGCTTACCAAAGCCATTTTCTCTGGCCAAAATGCAGTGATATGTTTTTTAAAAAATAGCATGGAACTTGGAGGGATGGATAACACAAAGTGAGACAGGAAGTATAAAGAAGATCCTTGGTGAAGGACTTACTTTAGTAATAAATTTGGATGTTATCCAGAGGCTGGTGGGAATAAGTGAACTGTTTTTAAGCAGACGAATGATGTGGTTCAATTTTTGTTTTTAGTGATCATGCTAGCTGCATGGGTAGAGCTGACTGGAGGAAGCAGGACTGGAGATTAATCAGGAAGCTGCTGTACAGTTCAGGATGAATTCATTGCTAGGTCAGGGTGGGTGCACAGGGAGTTTTAAATGTACTGGTCCAATTCCATTTTTACCATGCATGGTAGAGACAAGAATTTCATTCTTTATACTCTCCATTTATACTACACAAATTTATTTGTATGTGTGACGTAGTTCATTTAAAAATACTGAATGCTTTTTATCTGTACTGATGTCACATTCATTTTAAATTTTGGCATAAAAGGATGCCCAAGAACTTCATAAGGGAGGTCTTATTGTAAGATATAAAGTAAGGACGTAAGATATATTGTAAGATAGCTGTAGTCCTCACTGCTCCCCATGTCCACAGGCTTTGCTCCATGGCTTTTGGTCTCCCCATAGTGAGAAGGAGGGGGGCTGTGATCATACGGAGTGCTTATGGGGGTGTGAAGAAAGAGGAGCTCTCTTCCCCTGCCAATAGAAGGTCAAATGGTAGAACTCTGGAAGATAGTTCGGCAGTTTCTTTAAGGTGGAACATACCTATCATACAACCCAACTATTCAACTCTTTTGATATTTACTCATGAGGAAAAAAGAGTATATATAAAGAATTTCATGTGAGTGTACATAGTACACTCCAACTTTTTAGAAACAACCCAAATAACAATCAATAGATTATACACAAATTGGGGTACATACATACAGTGGAATACTACTCAGTATTAGCAGAACTATTGAAACACCAGCCAACATAGCTGAATCTCTGTGCTGCAAAAGAAGCCAGACAAAGCAGTACATACTATATGATTGCATTTATATAACCTTCCACAAAATTCAAACTAATCGACAGTGACCAAAACAAGCCCATGGTTGCCTGAGGACATGCGTGAGGATGGCTGCTCAGAAAGGGGTTATTACAGAGGGGCAGAAGGGAATGTTGGGGGTGATTGATAGATATATTCACTATCCTGATTGTGGTAATGGTTTCATGATCATGTATATGTGATAACATTAATTAAATTATGTGTGGTATGAAATTTATAGTATATCAATTACTCCTCATAAGACTGTTAAACAATGAAAAGAAAATGGCAACAATGATGGAATAAGTGCTTTTGAAATGGGGAGTTAATGACATGTCCTTTACAGTCATAAGTTTTTAAACTTTAAATACATATTTTTCTGTCTTACCTAATTGCCTACTGTGAAAGAATTTATGTGCTAATACAGTTACCATGTACATAAATAACCAGAAATGAAGTACAGAGTTGTATAGAAAAAATGCTACAAAAATTCCAGTAAGTTGCCATTTCGAGAAGACTTGCACGCTGGATGCGGTGGTGCATACCTGTAATCCCAGCACGTAGGAGCTGAGGCCTTAGAACTGCTGCAAGTTCAAGGCCAGCCTGGGCTACATAGTGAGTCCAAGGCAGCTTGAACTGCATATCAAGATGCTATTAAAAAAAACTCTAGGATTTAGGAAAGTGGAATAATAGTCAACAAGTTAGAAGGCAAGGTAAGTTAGAATATATTCAGGGAATAGGTTGAATGAATCCAGTGTATTTGTGTTACATAATTTAAAAAGAGAGTAGTAGATATTTTTCACTTTCACTCAGTTTTAAGGAAATAATAAATGTTTGAGGAGGTAGATATATTTAAATTGTTTTAAACATTGTAGAAAATGTTAGGTGGTACTGCAGTAGTATGTATAATTTGTATGTACTAGTTTAAAAAATAAATTACGTCTTTAAAAAGTTTTAATCAAACTCAGAATAGGATTAAATGAAATTTTAACTGTTACTTTTATGAATCATTTTCCCTCAACTTTTTTGTCACGGAATGTCTTAAAGAACAAAAAAACTTCTGAAGTGAAGGTAGGAAAAAAAAAAAAAGAACAAAAAAACTTAATGCAATTTTTTTTTCTAATTTTACTCTAATAGGATATTTGTCAAGTGCAAAAGATGTCTACAGAGGCATTTTAGGCTCCTATTTGGATGACATTTGGAGACAGCTGACGATTGTACAGTTTATTAAGAGAAAACAACCTGAAACCAATCATAAAATACAAGAATTGCAACATCAGATACTAAGTTGGATGCAAAGTCAAGAGCAAATTAAGGTTAAATATTAGAATAAAGCAAATAAAAATAATCAGTTTAAATAAGAACCAGATGTTGAACAAGTTTTTGTACTTAACTTTGAAATTATAAAATAGTCTGTACTATTTGACTCCTTGACAGTTTTCTCCTTCAGTAAGTAACAAAACAAAATCAGACTGAGGAAAGATGATTTGCATGATTGCACACATATTTTCAAATTTTAAATACTTTAAATTTTATTGTAAACAGTTGCCTGTGGGTGGGTTCTCCAGCTGCCAAAACTTTTTGTCTGATACTTAAGCCCTTGAACATTTATGTAATAATAGAACTATAACCATTTATTTTTAGCAATTAAGCCAGAATCTCATCTGACATGATTGTACATAAAAGCACTTAGTTTATGACTTGACTTACACTGGAAATTATTGGCTTGCTTTACATCAAACATATGACGATTGCATTAATGAAGACAAGACAAAATGGCTTTTTAAATCTTATCAAACATTTCAATTGGCTGATACTAAGAATGGATACAATACTCTGATTTCTCTTCAGATTGTATGAATCTGGATACAGATTTTTAGGGGCTTTTTCCTGTTTGTTCCATTTATATCTTTAACTTTATAGTTTCTTGTGTAGCTTTCTTATGCCATTTAAATAAATTAAATCAATAAGTGACAAATTTAAAATTGAAACTTATTTGCTGCACCTCCTCCACAAAAAAAAAAAAAAGGAAGGAAAGAGGGAAGGAAGAACAGAAGGAAGGAAGGAAGGAGAAAGAAAGAAAGAAAGAATTAATGAATGAATATGTAGGAAAATACAGCAACAAATCATTGGTTTTATCCAACAAATTCAAACTTGACTGGGTTAAATTTAATAAAATAAGCAAAGACAACTTATACATTGGTAATCATATATGTGGGAATACTCGAAATATGCTAAGAATATTCTCAAATATTTTCCTCAATGCCATTTCATGTTATAATTTATTTGTTTTTAAGCACTGACATCTATTGCAAAACAAATATTTGCTTTATAATATCATTGTCATCAGTTCCCTGTGACCAGTAACATTTATTATTTTGTTACTATAACAAAACTGTGAAAAAGTATAATAATTCAGAGATATACATGAAATTCTTATTTTTGACTAGGTGCTGGTTATAATAAGAATGGAGTCAGATGGTGAAAAACATTTACTCATTAAAACTCTTAAGAAAATAGAAGGTAGGGATTTCTAAATTATGTTTCATTAGATAACAAATGCTTGAACATATAAAAATATTGACGTAACCAGCTTTTAAAATTCAACTATAATTAGTATATCATAAAATTTGCTGAGTTTACAACTCTGTGGGATCTAACCCATTATTATATTCACATAGATTATAAGGCTGCAATATACTATAAAGTTATTAATAATTTACATCTTTTATTGATTACTAGTTGTAACAATGGATACTTACAACAACTCTGTAAATAGTTTTGACTAAGTTTTACAAATAAAGCATATTCATAAAGGGGAGGTAGCATGTCAAATCCCATAGGCAGTAAATGAGGAAATCAGGACTTCAACCTAGTTCTTTCTAGTTTCAGTGTTGTTATAACATTTTACCCACTACTGCTCCCTCTGTCAACCCTTTCAACAGTATACTTTGTGCTGTGGAACCCATTGCTTAACATGGAGACTCCTCACTGAAACCCCACTTTCCCCACATAATACTGTTTCCCCTGGGCTTTATCAAGAGAAGCTTATCATCTTCCTTATGCTCTGTGGGAATGAGGTGGCTATTTCTTTTTTTCTGTAATCACTTTCAACACATTATTCTTCCACCTTTTGAAACTGAGATATTGCCATATACTTTTCTGCCACTCTAAATTAGCACCATATACTAAACCTCCTAATCATTCCCTATTCCCCATAGAAAGTAGTATAACTGGGTCTTAGAATTCTCTGTGCTCTAGACTCCTAATCCTGCCATTTATCCTAGGTGGTTTTGTAGTGTTTATTTGTTCTGTGGTGCTGGGGATCCAATCCAGGATTACATACATGCCAGGCAAGTGCTCTGCCACTAAGCTACATCCCAGTGCTATCCGGGGTTTGTTTATTTTTTTGGTGGGGGGAGGAGGTACCGAGAATAAAACTCAGGACCTTGCACTTTTTTTTTTTTTTTTTGGTCTTTTTCAGTTTTTATCGGTACCAGGGATCGAACTCATGACTGCCTGCTCTCAAGGCAGGCGCTTATGCCGCTGAGCTAAATCCCCAGCCCCAGGACCTTGCACTTGCCAGGAAGGCGCTGTACCACTGAGCTATATCCCTGGCCCCTCCTGAGTGTTTTAATGTCTCTCATGTGAACAATTTACCCAACACCCGAGCTTTGTATTTTCACTGACCTCCATAACAATTATATTCATCTTTAGTTCACTCATTGGCTACACCATGGGCTTTGTGAAGAACTGTTACTTGTGAGCTGTAAACTCTGATGCATCCCTCATTGTTCACACCTATTTTTATCTGTTCTATAACGTGTATCTTAGGACAGTAGCATGTCAAATCCTTTTTGCTTCATTCTCTTTTCTTTCCACACTATATTTTTGATTCATCACTTCAATCGATCTTCACTTTTTATTGTACTTTCTATTTAAATGTTAATCCTGAATCAATCAATACATTTAAATTCTCCATTCCTACACCTGAGCTGCCTAGAACTATTGGAAAAATTCACATAGCCATGTAGATTGGTGCCACTGCAAACCCATCTACTCTGAATTTACCTTGGCTTTAAATACCTCTTATCAATCTTTTATATTCACTATTCTTACTTCATATTTGCATTGCTCATGGCTAACTACAAACCCATACCATGCCACCTATCCTCTTATTTTTAGAGGAGACTTATGCCCTTTAATTTCCATTTATTAGATGAGAATCTTCCTCAGTTTCCTTCTCTACCATATACAAATTTATCTTTCTTATTTTATTTTTTCCCCAGAGACATGAACCCCCCTCGTCTGCTTGTACTTTGGATTTGGTCTGTTCCTGTGGGTCTTTCACACTTCAGTTCATCAGTTTTTTCCTAGTCCCACCTTATTCTCTAAAGGCTCTTTTTCTTATTATATGAGCCCTCTAGTATTAAAAATAAAATTCCATCTCAACCTGTGTAAGCTTTTGGTTACTCTTTCTCTTTCTTCCAGAATCAGCCCCTTACCAGCTTAGGCTGATTCTCTTTGCTGCTTACTTCACTAAAATGCCAGTTTCTGGCGAATATGGATTGTGAACAAATTTGTGATCCAGCACCCAAGGGAATGCATAGTGTAGAAGGCACTCCTCAAGAGTTCATTGAATGTGCCAATGAATATCTCTGTGTACACGGACACTAGTAGAAACAAATGAATTCACATACAAATATAACAACAGAAAACTTCTCGCCAGTTAACTAACATTTTAAATTATAGTAATGTGAGAATGGAAGGTTCATTTGTCTGAGCCTTATAAAGAACTGTTTCTTAGTGAATCATATGTCTATGTTCCAGATTTACAACTTGGAGTTTATTCATTATTTTGTTTAGTTTTTGAACCTTGGGAAAATGAGTTCTTATTCACTACATTCATAAGATTCTTAGTACCAGAACACTAGAGCAATAGTGAACAGCTGTGTGGCAAAAAATGTCATAATTGCCTGGAATATTTGCAGTTTATTGCTTTGTGTCTCTTCTTAACTAGGCTTCATACTAAAAACTCTGTTTCTTTGGCATGTGGAAATACATCGTCACTCTTGCTATCTTAATTTCAGCAATGTTTACTGACACAAAAGTCTTGACTCTGTAAACTGGAAGATGTTTCTCTCTTTCACACTGACAAATACCCTTGGTTTCTTGGAGCCAGGTATTTTTTCTGTCTAGTGTTATAAAATTCATTTTTCATGTATCTTCAAGATCTAGTTGTCTACTGGGCAGTCTGTTTTAGGGTCATAGCAGATTAAGTTTTAAATAATATGAATCATTTTATAAATCATAAGAGTAATAACATTCATTTCTCTTGCTACCAGTCTATTGTCATGTCAAGTGCCAAATCTATTATGTCAAGTACAGTTAATTGTTAACCATACTCCATCATTAATGCATGAATTGTGAATTTTATGTCTGAAAAAGTGTACTAGCAGAGAATTAATTTAGACTAAATTTAGCAATTTTTTTTGATACTGAGAATCAGACTCAGGACCTTGTGCTTGACAGGCAGGTGTTGTGCTGCTGAGCTATATCCCTGGCCCCTTTTCAGCTATTCTGGAATCAACTGTGTCTTATGAAAATTAAGCTGAATATGAGGGTACAGAAATTTTTGAAATTTACATTTTGTTTAAACATTACTAAAATAAGAAATTTAAATTATAATTAAGAGGCAAGAATAACTCTAAGAAATGGATGATGCCCAGTAAGTCTTCTGCTTATTATGTAGCCAACAGAAAGAAGAAAATGGGTAAGCATTTATATTCCATTAACAGATAATACAGTCTCTTGTTACTTTGTTAAATCTTCAACTAGAGAAAAATATAAAAAGTCAAAATAAAATTGAATACACAATTAATGTAATGAATACACAGTTACTTTAAAATAAATTTTTATCCATTTTATGGCACATGGAAAATTTAGATTTTTTTTGTTTATGGTTTAGACTTTCTGATATGTTAGATATAAAAAATCCAGGATATTATATTTGAAGTGATTTTGTTGTTCACAGAATGTTAGTTTGTCTTTGTTGGAATGAAATAAATGACACTAAAAATATGTTTATGAACAAAATTCTGAAAAACACTCTTGTTGAAAAAAAATTCTTTTTTCCAACAGGTTTAACCCTGACAGTCTTTGTTGGAATGAAATAAATGACACTAAAAATATGTTTATGAACAAAATTCTGGAAAACACTCTTGTTGAAAAAAATTCTTTTTTCCCACAGGTTTAACCCTGACAGTCTTTCATTCAAGTAAAAGAAAAGATTTTCTGGAACCTAAAGGTGTTTTAAATGGGTAAAAATGTATTCTTTATCTTTGAGGAACAAACCTTAGTTCCATAGGAAAGGCAAATTTTTCCTAGAATTTAACTTTAAAAGTTTAATAAAATCTAGCCTGGCATGGTGACACACACCTATAATCTCAGCACTCAGCAGGCTGAGGCAGGAGTATAGCTACAAGTTTGGGCTATAGTGAGTTCAAAACCAGTCTCAACTACATAGTAAGACCCTGTGTCAAAGAAAGAAAGAGGAAGAAAAAAAGAAAGAAGAAAAGAAAGAAAGAAAGAAAGATCCTGTTTGTAAAATGAGATTGATTTCTTATGTGGATTTCTGTTATTGATAGTGCTACATAGGTTAAAAAAAATCGGAAGCATATTTGAGGTAATGATATAGTCTATAATTTTGTATATCCTGGTATTTTAAAAGTATGATCATCACAAAAAAAATAAACAGATTACTACAGTTGGAGAAGAAATCAACAGAAAAATGCACCAGTGCCTTTCCAAATTGATAGACATGGAGAATAGCCAAAAGCAGTCATATCTTAGCATTCTAATTAAATAATGACACAAATATAATTCCATTTTCTTGGGTTTCTTCTGTCTTTAGTACCAGTTCCTGTGTTATTGTACATAATCAAAATATTGGAGCAGAGTTTCCCTGGAGTACTTTTTCATTTGTGGTGGAATACAATTATGTAGAACACTCTTGTTGGACTAAACACTGCGAAAAATTGAATATTCCTTACATGGCCCTTAAAGTGACTCTTCCAGACTCAGTTTTAAAAAGTAAGGATATAAAGCAGAATCCTTTTTTTGCATTAGATGAACATTTTCTGCTTTGTATTTGTGATCTATGGAAAGAAAATAGTGTGTGGTAGAAAATATTTTATAATTTTTAATTTCTTTATTTTTGATTAGCCATGCCTTTCATACATGAATTGACCTTGAATAAACATTCTTTTATAAATTACTTAGATGTTTATTCTTTTCCTATTGATCTATAAAATATATTTCCCATGAATTGCTGTACATAATTTAAAATTTTCATATGAATCAGTTATATTTACATAGCAAATCTCCAATACAAACTTAAGTATATGTAAGTATATGTGTATATGTATATGTAAGTATATGTGTTTAGGTAGAGAATGATCTTACTTTTCCCCCCTTTTTTAAAGTATAGTTGAACATAGGTAGAAAAATGTACAGAAAATTTTATATTATATATTTTTGAGTATATAGTAGTGTTAGTAGTTTAGTAAGCTTTTAGTAGTAGTTTCAATTAGTAAATTTTAGTAGTAATTAAGTACTTTATTTCTAGGTAGGACAATAACATGATTTCTTTGTTTCTTTATTTTGAGATACTGAGGGTTGAATCTACAACCTTACACGTGCTAGGGCAAGTGCTCTACCACTGAGCTATATCCATATCAATTCTAATTTGAGACAAGTTCTTAATCACTCAGGCTGACTTCAGACTCATAATCCTCCTACCTCAGCCTTCTAAGTAGCTACATTTACAGGAATATGCCATCATATCTAGCTATTTTATGTTCTTATTCTGTCCTTCCTTTATTCAGATTTCTTATTTTTTAACAGTGAAAATCATTGTTTTAAAACTCCTTGAGCATACACCTATTAATTTCTTGTTTAGTTAAAATAAAAGAGAGAAAGAGCTAAGGTATGAGAAAAAAGATAAATGTTTATCAATATTCTCTTTATTTAGGAAGCATCTCGCTGGATAGATTTGGTGGTTTTCTTTTGGAAATCCAGATTCCGTATGTGTTTTTTGCATCTGAAGGACTTCTTAATACTCCAGAAATACTTAAGCTGCTAGAATCTAAGTAAGTTATTGATTTTGTAACTTTAGCAAACATATTTTGCTATATATATGCCTATTGGTATATATACCAATAAGATAAATGTTACACTGTATATGTAACACTGTTGTTTCTCTGATCCAAGAAACCTGGAGTCTGTGTCAATTTATATTTTTATCCCCCAGCAACACTCTCTTAATTATTGACTATAATGTTTTTGGTAATATTTATCAATTTTCTGGAGAAAAAAATAAATTAGTTTTTTACATCTATATTTTATTTATGTTTCTTTTGTTACCAGAAATACAAACATTCCGTTATTTCATGTAACTGTATATTCATGTCTTAGAGTGATCTATAACACTGAGAATGAATATTCTTGTTTAGGAAACTTTAAACAGTACTGGAAACAATATTACAGAGTTCTAAATGAATGCTCACATTTTCAGATCTTCAGTTATAAGGTCATACCAACATTGTTTTAAAATCAGAAACCACTTAATCATACTCACGAGTCATTATGGGACTACTGATCCTTGGACGGGATAGTTGACCTATGACAGTTAAAACGCACATCAGTGTCCCATACTTTTGTTTTGATATTTTAAGTCTGTGGGCCACTCATAGGAAACTAGGAACTTAGAAAAGATGGCTAAAGTGTAGGCCAGTAATGGGTGATATAGCTCAGTAATAGAGATGCAGTTAGCAAGTATGAGGACCTCGGTTCAGTCCCCCACGTCCTCTCACAAGAAAAAAAGCAGCCAATTTTAAGGAAAAAGAAAATTCTGATGAATGGAGAATGGTCTGGTGTCCTAACAGTATTTTGAGTTTGTGAATTATTTTACTTAAAGAGCTAGAATAAATTTGTCAAGACATTTGTAATGGTGTTAGATATAATAATACTTATCACAATACTTAGGACAGCACACACCTCAACTGAGTTGCTATATGTACTAAATAAATAATTTCCTTCTTAAAATTTATAAAATAGAATAAATTGATGTGTGAAAAGTACAGTAATTTAATTAAATATAGGAGGGAAATGCATCTTTCCCCATATAATTTTTCTTAGCCATTTCAGTTTTTCTTCCCCAATACTGCATTTCACAGCTATAACATCACACTCGTGGAGAGATGCTGCAGCCACTCACTGAAACTCTTTGGAAGTACGGAGTACTACGTAGTGCTGACAATTGATGAATGCACTACTGTAATTTTGCAGGTAAAAACTAGCAAAAAAATATAAACTCAAATACATTAAAATACATATAACTGTAATTTGTCACTATCTTTTCCATAGAGAGTTTATAACCTATTAGTGATTTCTTGCACCTTTTGCAAATGGGCCACAAGTACTAAGGTTATCGCTGGAAAGTGACTATTGACAAAGTTCTTTGATGCTTTATAATCTTTAACATACCTTAAGAAGACAAAGTAAATACAGAATCTTTAATATTGTATATGGACCTACTTTAAGTACATTCATAGGATAATTATAGTGTATAAATTCTTAGCTGAATGTTCCTTACATTTGCTTGATTAGAGTACCAGTTGCAAAGATATTAATTTAATGGGTTAAGAGTGAGAAGGAAAAACCATGTGTGATGGCACAGAGTATAAATTATTAGCAAAATGGAAAGATACAGTCTGCTCTGATGAGAAAGCCTGCAATGTAAGAATTATGTGAGCTTGGTGTAGTGTGTCTACTGCAATCCTAGTGCCATGGGAGCTGAGGATTGCAAGTTTGAGCCCAACCTGATCCGTTTAGTGACTTAATGAGACCCTGCCTCAAAAAAAAAAAAAAAAAGAATGTGTAAAGGTGCTGGGTACATAGTGCCGTGCAAAGGCCCCGGCTTCATTCCCCAGTACTGTGGGAAAAAATTAGATGATAGAGAAATACAACTCTGTTAGACAAAGAATTATTGTGCCCAACATACTTAAAATTCTTAAACATTTATTTTTCCATTTGGCAAAATTTTTAAATCTAGTTATCTATTGTTAGAAGGACATTTTCTAAATTATCACTGTATCAAAAATCACTTGTGTTAGCTAGACATGGTGGCACATGCCTGTAATCCCAGCACTCAGAAGGCTGAGGCAAGAGGCTTGCTGTGAGTTCAAGGCCAGCCTGGCTTACATAGTGAGTCCAAGACCCACCTGAGTGGCATAACAACAAACAAAAATTACTTATGTTAAAGGAAAAACTGACCCAGGCTACTAGGTAGCCTAGGAATTCCAGCCATTGCTGCTTTCTCATCTCCCTTGAACAAGAAATCATACAGTTTATTCCGTGGGGTTTGAAACACTTTTGGTTGCCTTTGGAGTAGCCAGGTCTGGTCCACAGAGCACACTGCCCAGTCAGAGGCACTCTCTAGGCTGCTTTCTTCATAGCTAGGACATTGAGAACTTGATGGGCCTTTTTGCTGAAGCTATCATTAGTTGTTTCACATCCGTAGTGGCTTTTTGGCTACTATTTCCAGAGTGATCTTCATTTTTCCTTGAAAAGGGAGATCATGCTTATGCCTGTTCTCAAGCTAACATTTATGTATCTTTGATTCTTGAAATATAACAACAATTTCAAACAATTGTTCAACTTAATGAATCTTTTATTTTGTTTTCTGATAGGACCTAGAAGAATTGAATTGTGAGAAAGCATCAGACAATATAGTTATGAGACTGATGGCATTATCATTCCAGTACAGCCATTGTTGGATGATATTATACGCCAAAGAAACATTGAATTCAGTGTATGTAAATATTTCTTCATCTTAAGTCATATTCACACTTCTTGTTATTCAGTCTTGCTCTTTGAATAGATATGAAAAGTTTTGCTTGCTGCTCTAGTTGGCTTTATTTAAGGATTCTCAAGACAGAGGCATGATCATAGCAAAACAAACCAGAATTTTGGCAGTGATACATGTTCTGTGGGACAGTCTGTGAAAATCATTCTTTCCTTCCCCAAGTTCACTGTGAATTGGTTCTTTTAGTGTTTTATAACTTTATAATTCTGAGCTTGTCTGCTAGAAGATCAATTCCTTCTAAAATCTTTTTAAATATATCAATTTTTAAATATATACTTTGTAATTTTATAGATGTTGTTATACTTTCTTTCACTGATGTGCTTAACTGAAAAATCGAAAATTCCATGTCAAGACACTGGCTCAAGTTGTTTCTCCTTTTTTCCTCTAAATATTTAAACATATCACTTCTACTTTCTCCTTTTTTTTCTACCTCCATACTGATTTTTGTCCCTCAAAGGTCACTCATGACTTTCTTATGATCATCTCCAAAATTTTTTATCTTTCTCCACTCCAAAATATTTGTTATCAGTGCTTTCTTTCTCAAAACTCTTCAAGACTGTAATACTTCAGTATCTTTGATCTCCTACTCTCTAACTAGTTTTTCCTGTTTTTATCTTTTCTTTTTTGTTCTAGTCTCTAAGTATGTTAGTAATGAGTTCTTTTTCTCTCTCTCTCTTTATTCTATCTATTGAGAAACAAAATTGTTTCAGTACTGGAGACTGAATCCAGGGCTTCATGCTCTACCACTCAGATACATTTCCAGTCCTTTTTATTTTGTTTTGTTGAGACTAGGTCTCACTAAAATGCTTTGAGTTACTCTTCTCCTGAATGCCTGGGATATTCCTTGCCTTTTGAGTTGATTTCTGTCCATGTTTGTTGGGACAGTTGTATGCAATACCCTCCCAGACCCTGTTGATATGTGACAAAGGGTCTACCTGAATGCCTACAAGGCAGCCTAAACAGCACCTTTTGGAATGACCAGTGGGCAGAGGGATGTTGGGTTTATTTTTTGGTATAACTTCTTTAAGTCACCAAAACTGGAAAACAGATCTTTTAGTTTAACAACTGGACTTTTCATTTATCCCCTTAATGTCTTTTCTCATTGCAGAGACAAAAATACATAATACCCAGTGTTAAAGGAGGAAAGTTTTATTTAGCTCACAGTTTGTAGAGGTTTTAGTCATAATCATCTGTGCTTCAAGGCAGGATGGCACATGGCAGAGGGGCAACAGTTCATGGCAATGGAAGACAGCAAAAGCAGACAGACAGACAGAGATAGATAGATAGAGAGAAAGACCTCTTTCTGTTCCTTATATTATATGCAGACTACCTGCCCTAGTTCAAGTGTAGCACTTGCTTAATCCCAGCATGGACTATGAATCAATCACAAACTCTAGATATGACCAACTCTGAAAAAATCCTGTGACCGTGTGAGGCTTTGGGAGGACATCTAGACACAAACTATAATACCCTCCCTCCATTATATTACCAGTGTCTTAGTTCAGATTCTCATTATTTTAAGTGGGCTATTATGACAGATTTCCAACTGTCTTCCTGATGTAGGGAAAAAGAAACTCCAACCTGCTAGATGTTTAAAGTTTCTGTTCTCTAAAATCAAGGAATGAATTCTAGGAATAATGGAGGTTAAGAGCAGGAAGAATGTATTGAAAGAAAGAAAAATTTCTGTCTAAGAGAGATATAAGGGGCCCAGAAAATGGTTTACCCTCCAACCATACTTTTCAAGAATGTTTTATTGAGCAAAACCTTGAGGTAAAGTGGGTTTCAAGGTGGGACAAAACTATAGTCAACTAATAAGAATACAAGTATAGTGACTTAGGTAATACTGATTGAGTGGAAAGTCATAAGGTGTGTGTAAGGTGGGACAAAACATTGGGGAACCAATAAGATTACAACAAACAGAGTTGCTCAGGTAATACTGATAAATGAGGATCAAGTTGGGAAGCAAGTATTGTACCAAGTACTCAGGAGATGGACAAGGACTCTCCTGGAAGAGGTGGGTTAAGGGAGTTTTGTCCTCCACCCCAAGGTGACTGATGTCTATTTAGAGTGTCAATCACTGCTGTTCATTCCTAGGGGAAGTAGATGATGTGGTTGGTAATCTTTTCCTGAAGCCTGGCCTTCAGTGAATGCACCTCCAGCCACTGCTGTTTTCTGCATTGATCTTTCCAGAACTCAGCCTTGTCTGATTGTCTACAATAGTTTTAAATAAGTTAGCTATCTAGGACATTCCCATCTCCCGATGCAACTCAGTATTCTTCTACATGATGTGTCTTATACACAATTGGTGTTCCTAAAATCAGGCTCTCATTATTTTATTCTTATATGTCTTTACTGCCTCCCTCATTACCTGTTGAATACACTGATGACACCGTGATTATTTTTCAGGAGCTATCTCAAACACCACTTCTTCTGTTTGATCTTTCCACAGAACCCACCATTGCACACAAATACTCAAATATACTTTCCATCCTTTGAGCTGCTTAGCTCTTTGCTTTTTCCCACATATTTGGTATGTTTTATGTTATCTTTTTGGAGCACTTGTTTTATAGCACGTAACACATCATTGCTTTCATATGATATATGCTTGATAGACATTCTTTGACTGACTGAACAATTTTCCTACCAAATTACAAACTAATCTTACTTATTTTTTATCCCTATATAACTACATAACTCGTGTTAGAAGTTTTTAATATATCCTTTAATTATTAGGAAAGATATAAATGCCTTATTGACTTCACCTGTGTGATTTTTTATTGAGTTTATTTTACCTTATTTTTGTTACTGTTACCAAACTCTTCATATTTATTATTATCACATGGTAGTAAGTATAAGACTTTAAACACCTTTGTTCTTACTCTTTCTGTTGCTGTTGGTGATGGGATCCCAGGCAGGTTTCTAGGTTCTTACACACAATGAAAAAAGAGTTTGATATGACATACAGTAGTAACAAAAAAGCAGCAAAGTTTAGTGAAGTTTAATTAGGCAACAATATTCTCAGAGTGAGAAGGCTCACACCAGTGGGAAGGAAAATGGTGCATGCACTGAATATGTTCAGTTTAATAACTTAAAGTGTTGCAACAGGTCTGTGGTGCCTCCCATTGGGTCTTAAAGAGAACGATTGACAATGTGATTGACAGGGTGCTGTCATGTCAGCTGTGTCTACTATACATGTCCTTTCCCATAACTCACTGTCACAATTGGATATATGTGATGTAGTCCATATGTGTGAACCAGCAGTGAGCTCCCAGCGAAGAAGTTACTGTATGCCATGCGGACAGGTCCGGTGTATATGTGTCATGGTTTAGATCTTTGGAATCTCTCAAGGCAGGTCCAGAGATCTTTCTTATCTCTGCCTCCAGATACTGGGCTTTAGGACAAAGGTCAGAGCTCAGAAGGTTAGCCCTGGGGTATTGTCCATCTTCACATTAGTGGAGGCAGTGCTTCTACAGCCCCATTTGTACTGTCTACTGGATATTTACTTTTTCTGCTAACAGGTAACTTGTGGAAGTCATAAAACAGTAGTTTTTTCTATTAGAACTAAAAATTTATTGATAATTCAAGTCTAAAATCTTCATTTGGAAGGGTAATAAAGTCTAGAAAGCATTTTAAAGATGGCTCTTGTTTGTAAAACATTTTAAACTTTATTCAGAACTTGGAACCTGAGTGCTGGTTAAATAACTGATATGGAAGTTTCTAAAGTTGTTTTCAGATTACTATCCATATATAGCCCAGGTTTTCATGAAAAAATATACATTTTGAGGTAGCCTTGTATTCAGGATATAAAGAGTTATAATTTAATCACAATTTATTATTATAAAATCTAATGATTTTCAAACTTCTAACTATCTCAGTCGTATATTTTTAGATGATTGGAACATTTAGAAAGTATCTTAAATTACCAAGTAAAGGAAATTAAAGCTACAAAAAAATGATTTGAATTACCTTGGTAATTCACACCTGTCTGAAGGTGAATGCCAAGGGTTCTTAATACCATCCTGAGGTTTGATAGTTATTGATTATAATACAAAGTTGTAAGGGCTGGGGATTTAGCTCAGTGGCATAAGCGCCTGCCTTGTAAGCAGGCAGTCGTGAGTTCGATCCCTGGTACTGAAAAAGACAAAAAAAGAAAACAAAACAAAACAAAAAAACAAAGTTGTAAGGATTTATAATGCAAATTTAGCAAAGGAAGTTCAGGGGCCAAGTTCAGAGTAAACCAGGAGAAAACTTTCAAGAGTTCTCTTTCACACATGATGTACTTAAAATTGTGACCTTACTTACTGTCCTAGTTACTTTTCTCATTGCTGAGACAATATATATACTCAACACCTAAAATTAAAGGAGAAAAGGTTTTTATTATTTTATTTTTGGGTTTTTAAGACAGGGTCTCATTATATAGTCCAGACTGTCCTTAAACACACTGTGTGGCCCAGCTGGCTTCAAACTTACAGTGACCCTCTTGCCTCAGCTTCCCAAGTGCTGGGATATAGGTGTGTACCATCGTGCCTGTCAGGAAAGGTTTACTTTGGGTTCACAATTTGTAGAGGTTTCAGTTTATAGTTGCCTGGCTCTACAGCCATGGTATAGGAGAGGAGTATTGTATAGGAGAAACAATTCATGGTAGGCAGAAGGAAAGAAGGCGGAAAAACAGCAAAGTAGCAAGAAAAGCCCCAGCAGCAGCCTGCCTCTCCCTTTTATAGTCCATCTTTTATATGGAAAGGTGCTTACCTTTCCATATCCACAGCCAGAACTATGCCAGACCTATAGTGAACTAATTCAGTAATCACATACCTTAATCCTAGTATCCCACACTCAATCTCAGCATCACACACCCTAGATCCAGCCACCTCTGAAAAGCTCCACATATGACCACATGAGGCTTTGGGGGGCATCTAGATACAAGCTATAACATTTACAAACTTTTTTTCTAATATGGTGGCTCATTAGGGACACAATGCCCAGGAATTTTATTGAGGATGATCATGTACACACCTTCTGCCAAGCACATATCAAAATCCCAGGCTCAAAGAAAGAAACATGTTCAACAAAAACTACATTATTTGTGCAAACAGTTTGGGCACAGTGAGCCACCCTTACCAAACTGTTACTTTTATGGAAACAGCTTGCTTGAGAAAGAAGCCAACAGAGAGGAAGGAAGAGCCAAAAAATAAAGATAACATTATCTTGATGACATTGAGCCCCTGCGTCCAAAAATACCTTCCCTCTGACTTCCTAGTAAAGTGAGCCATTATTGCTTAGAGTACGTAAAAGATATGACACAGAATAAAGGTAGTAGAGATACATCCACTCAACATTCACATCAGACCTGTTTAATAGCCATTTTAAAAAGGTTGTTTTATCTAACACAACAGTTCAGGAAAAAGACCCAGGAAAGATTCTAGATACCCTGTTTCTTATCATGTGTTCATATCTGTTATTTTGACCAAGAGAATGAAATATTCCAGTTGCTTAGACATTGGTCATGTAATCATCTGGGGGCCAATAAGGAGATGAGTTAAATTCCTCCTCTCCACCTACACCTCCCTACACACACATCTTCAGGATCCCTTTAGATTTAACAGTATTTGTTAATGCTACGTAGAAGTGTTTTTCTCAAAAGAGTGAACAGTAGACAAAAAGCAACATGAGCTGCCATGCTAGTATTGTCTTTGCCAGGTTACTCTACTAACATGATGAAATGCAGAAACAAATTTTTAATCAGTACAGATAGGTGTCAGATGAATAGAATTACAGTAATATGATTCTTTCTAGGTACCCTCTTACAGAAAAGACACTTCATCACCTAGCGCTGATATATGCGGCTTTGGTCTCCTCTGGGATTAAATCTGAAGAACTCGATGTCAAGGTATTTCCTTTATGTTTGTCCAGCACTTTTCATAAACCAAAAGTGTGCTAGAACTTGTGGCCAATGAGAAAAATAGTAAATGGGAAAATTAAAAATTGCTTAAAAGCCAAAAAACAGCTTCAAATTAATAAATATTCTTACCACATAAACTTCTGCTTTAAAAGCTTTTAGTTTAGTGAATTTTAAATCACATTTTATGTCTTAATTTCTATGTAGATTTTAAACGTAACAGAATGTGAAGAAAAATAAATACCTCTTGTCAGAAAAATTTCTTATGAAAATGTACTCTAGTTCATAATGGAAATCTTATGACATATGAGTAGCATAATATATTTCTGACCTCTAATTAATATGCTTTCTTGGTTCTGGTTTTCACTGTCCTACTCTGAAACTTATATATTTGTCCAACTTCAGGGTGCAGTATCCTTCCTTTTCTTTAAGAACTCAAACATCTCCATAGAGATAGCTTTCTTTTTTGAGTACAGTTCTTAAATTTTTCCTGACATGTTTTAAGGTCTGCATTTCACTGGGCATTGTCTCATGAATGAACACCTCAATGAACACCTCAAACTCTTCAAAATACAAGTTCTCATCCATCCCCAAACTTAGTTTGTGACATCACTATGACAGTCTAAGCAGTAGAGGAGTCCTCTTTTTAACTCTGCAGTGTCTCCACAATATACATTTTCTACTACTCTGTGTCCCTAAATTCAGGTCTTGCTCATCCCTCACTTAGATTTTTAAAGTACAGTACCTCCCTAACTAATCCCCCTTTTTGTACAGTTTCCCCAATCCATCATCTATAGACATTAATTACACTTTTTCTCTTTTGGTACTGGGACTCAAACACAGGACCTTGAGTTTGCCGGGCAGGTGCTGCACCAGTGAGCTAAATTCCCAGCCCCCGATTACGTTTCTGAAACACAGTTGCAAAAGTTTTACTCCCTGAACTGCAAGCTTCTGAAGATATGCAACATGTGTATCCATTTTTTTATCCCTGGTACCTAGCACAAGCCAGGAATATAGGAGGCTCTTGATGAGTATGCTGTTGAACTGAATTTTCTTGTTCAAAAACCTTCCATATTAGATTGAAACTTCTCCAAAATTTGGCCCTGGCCCTTTAACATTATCTTACTCTGTCTTTCCTGCATATGCCCACACTGTCACCCCGCAGCCACTGCACAAGGTGGTCATTCTGGCCTGACTTCCCCAGCAATACCGCTCCCTGTGCTGTCACAGTTCTATCACTGTCCAGCTCCAACACTGCGTCCTTACAGAAACTTGCCCCAGTTACACTCTCTCAGGAGCAATCTCTCTTCCCAGTGATACGTCACCAGGAAGCCTGAGTACATTTTCACAAATAAAAAGAAAACACTGATAGTGATGTCATTCTATTTTTTCTGTAAATGTTTTATGAATTCTCTTTGTAGAAAACTGCATAAATATATACAGTTTAAGAGAGTTCTTAACAAATAGTTAAGGAGAATTCCTGAATCCAAGCATGAGCCCAAAATAACACTCTTTACCACCATTGTGCTCTTTAAAATTGAGTTTACATTTAAATGAAAGTATCAAGCTGGGCGTGCTGCTGCATGCCTGTAATCCCAGAATTCAGGAGGCTGAGGAAGGAGGATCATTGCAAGTTCAAGGCCAGCCTGGTTACACAGTGAGTTCAAGGTCAGCCTGTTCTGATTATATAGAGTCCCTGCCTCAAAAAAAAAAAAAAAAAAAAAAAAAAATCTAAATCAAAGTATCATATTTTCTTGAAATATCTAAAATTAAGGGGTGGGATTTAGCTCAGCGGCATAAGCACCCACCTAGCAAGCACAATGTCATGAGTTTGATCCCTGGTACAAAAAAAAAAAAAGAAAAATCCAAAACTAACAATAAAATAAGTTTGGGTTTGAACAGTATATTCCTGTGTACTTTATATACTTTGCACAATTTTCAAAATCCCTTTTTAAATACATGTACTGCCCATGTGTACTAGCAGTTTTGCGTTTGTTGTTTTTGAGAGGAAATTATGGTCGTAATTGTTGTGTGTGAGTTTGCTTGCTTGTTCGTTTGCAGTGCTAGGGATCGGACTCAGGGCCTGCGCACACTAGGCAGGCTCTCTGCCCCAGACCTTGTCCTATTCCTTATGTTTGCACCACAGTGCAAAAGTCTTGTATTTCTAAGATATCATTATTTAGAACATATTTTCTGTGCATATTACCGCTAATCTACAAACTGTCATAGCTTCAGTTAAATCTAAAAGGTAAGGAAGACAAAGATACAAGTGAAAGCAGAAAAAATTGACATTTCTGAAGAAAGTAGGGGACAGAGAAAACAATGACACACAGGAAGTGAAGAACATTAAGAAACTGTTTTATAAAGTTTAATACACACAGTGCTTTAGCAAGGGTATCATAATCAAATATGCTAAAGTGGCATAAACTGGGAATGACAACTCTAAGTCAAAGTTTTTGTTGTTTTTATTATAACATCAAATTCATTTGTAATTCATTTATAAGTATCTTTTATTTTTTAATGTTTTAGAAAAATACTATACTCTTCGAATTCTTATTTTTAGTTGATAACTATTAGGTTTAGTTGATAACTACTAGGAAATGCAAAATATCAAGTATTACTATTGATATTCAAATTAGTACTTCTTTTAATATAGACAAAGCATGATACCAAACATATTTTAAGGACTGTATTAATGGATGCCAAATAAAAGTGGAAAAATTAGTTTAAAAGATTAGAAAATACCAAGATACCATGTTTAAAGAGAAAAAAATTGATTATCCTCACAAATGAAATATTTTGGATTTCAGTAAGTACATTACTAAAATATATTCAAAATAATGCTACTGATAATCCACTGTTCTAAAATTTTCTCTTTTAATTACAAACTATTTTGTGTTGTGTTTTGCTACCTCATATGTTTTACAGTCTAATATATGGAACTTTTTTTAGCTTATGATCGCCTCAGGAGTGGAAGAGACTGTACTGCTAATTCGACAAATTGCTGACCATAATTTAATGACCTCAAAGAGAGACCCTCATGAATGGTTGGATAAATCCTGGCTTGACATTTCACTCTCAAAGGTTTATTTTTCTAAGTGTATTTTTTTTTTTTGGAGACAGGGTTTCACTATGTAGTTCAGACTAGCTTTGAATTCACTTTGTAGCCCAAGCTGGCCTGGAACTTGAGGTGATCTTCCTGCCTCAGCCTCCCAGGTGCTTGGATTATGGGCATGTGCCACCATGCCTGGCTGTAAATTAGTTACTTATGAAGCAAATATGAATGCTAATATTTGAATTTCCTGACAGTGCATTTTTTCCAGGTGTTCCAAATTAAGTGGTAGGGGTTTTTTTTGTTTGTTTGTTTGTTTGTTTGTTCGTTATTTTGTCTTTTTCATTTTTATCGGTACCGGGGATCAAACTCATGACCGCCTGCTTGCAAGGCAGGTGCTTATGCCACTGAGCTAAATCCCCAGCCCCTAAGTGGTAGGTTTAATGACAAACATTTAAATCTGCTGGAGTAAGTAGAAAAAAATGGGTCACTTTCAAAATCTACTGGCTGATTATTTCTTAAATTCTTTTCTAGGAAGAAATGTACTTACTTGATTTTCCATGTATTAACCCATTGGTGGCTCAGCTCATGTTAAATAAAGGACTTTCTTTGAATCAGCTGTTATTAGCAACTTCCTGTCAACTTCAGGAACTCTTACCTGAAGTTCCAGAAAAAGTATTGAAGGTTGGTTATTTGAATTCAGTACTATTAATGTTTATTTTCTTTCCATTTGAGTATATATTTTTTAAAGATAAAAAAATCAATGAAATATAATTTCAGAACAGGTTAGTATGACAGTTACAATTAATACATTGTGTATTGTTGTCTTCTTAGTAATTATTCAGAGTACAAGACCAAGCATATCTTGTCCATATTAAATTAGCACAAGATTTCTCTCTCTCTCTCTCTTTCTGCTTGCTTTCTTTCTTTCTTTCTTTCTTTCTTTCTTTCTTTCTTTTCTTACATTGAGAATCAAACTCACAACCTCATACTTGCCAGGTAGGTGCCACTGAGCTTTATCCTTCGTGCAAGTCTTTCTTTTCAGTGAACTAAGAGAAACTAGCTGTATCTTAACTATCTTGTGTGTACACATATTTTCTGTTTTTCTCTTTTCTCCTTTCTCCTTCCCCCATCATAATTTGTCTTTTTTTTTAACAGTTTCTCCCCAATTCACAATACCTCTTGCACATTTTGAATCTTATTCAATTTCTCACAGTCGTGCAACAATACAATACTTACACCTACGGATCTGATTTATTTCACTTATGTGTGTGGTCTTGAGTTGCATCCATTTACCTACAAAAGTCTGCAGTGTATCCTTATTTATGGCTGAGTAGTACTCTGTTATATTTTTTTAAAACCCACAGATATTTTTTAACCATTCTGCGGTTGATGGGCATTTGGGCTGTTTCCAATATTTAGATATTACAGGTTGTGCTGCTATAAACATGGGTGCACATATATCACTTTGATATGATGTTTTTATTCTTCTGGGAAGATACCCAGCAGGTGAATAGGTGGTTTTAATGGGATCTGTGATCCTATCTTTTAAAGGAATCTCCACACTGACTTCCACAGAGGTTGCATGATTCTACACTCCCATCAACAGTGGAAAAGGGTTCTGTTTTCCCCACAGCTCCTCCAGCATTTGTTATTGGTTGACTTCTTGATGATACATTCTTTTTGGAGTGAGAAGGAATCTCAGTGTTGTTTAATTTGCATCTCTTGAATGACCGATGATATTGAACATTTTTCATATATTTGTTTTCCATTTGTTTGTCTTCAGCTGAGAAGTGTATATTCAACTCAGATGCCCAATTTTGGATTAAGTCTTTGAATTTGTGGGAGGGTCTGATTTTTTTTCAATTCTTTATATGTTCTAGATGTAAGTCCTTTGTCTTTGGGACAACTAGCTATAATTTTTTACCGTTCTGTGGATTGTATTTTCACTCTCTTGGCGACTTCTTTTGTTGTGCAAAAGCTTTTTAATAAGGTGAAATCCCATTTGTTGATTCTCTGTAGTATTCCCCTTGCAGTCTGGGTTATTTTCCTGAAGTCTCTACCTACCTGTGTCTTCAAGATTTCACTTATTTTCTCTTCCAGTAAGTTTAGTCTTTCTGTTTTAATATTTAGATCTTTGATCCATTTTGACTGCATTTTTGTGCATGGTGATAGACATGGGTCTAGTTTTAATCTCTGGCATATGGAAAGCCAGTGTTTCCAGCACCATTTATTTAAGAGACTATCTTTTTTCCAGGGAACATATTTGATACCTTTATCACAGACAAGGTAGCTGAGTGTGTTTGGATTTGGTTGTGCATCTTCTATTCTATTCCACTGATCCTCAGACCTATTTTTTGCCAATACTATGCTGAGTTTATCACATTAGCTTTGTAGTATAATTTCAGGTCAGGGATTATGATGCCCTTTGATTTGCCTTCATTACCTAGAATTTCTTTTGCTATTCTAGGTCTCTTCTGGTTCCAGATGAATTTTAGCAATGATTTCACTAGATCAGAAAATCAGAAAATCACTAGTTTTTTTATTGGAATTGCATTTCTACTAATGTGAGATATACTAATGGTTTTTTTTTACTGGAATTGCAATAAACCTCTATAATAATTTTGGGAGAATGGCCATTTTCACAATGTTTTTTCTTCCTATCCATGAACAAGGAATGTCTTTTCTTTTTCTGAGAGCATTTTCAGTTTCTTTCTTCAGAGTACTGTAATTTGCACTGAATAGATCTTAGCTTCTTTTGTTAGATTGATTCCTAAGTATTTCATTTTTTGGATGCTATTGTGAAGGAGGTGGTTTCTTTTATTTCTCTCTCAGTGAGTTTGTTGTTTGTGTAGAGGAATGCTATTGATTTCTGAGAGTTGACTTTGTATCCAGCTACATTACTGAATTTGGTTTTTATATCTAGAAGTCTTTCAATGGAGTTTTGGGGGTCTTCTATGTAGAGTATCCTGTCACATGCAAATGATAGTTTAACCTCCTTTCCTATCCTTATTCCTTTTATTGCTCTTTCTTGTCTAGTTGCTCTGGCAAATATTGAATAGGAGTGATTATAGTGCACAGCCTTGTCTTATTCCTGATTTTATAGTAAAAGCTTTCAGTTTTTGACCATTTAATATGATGCTGGCTGTTGGTTTGTCATAGATGGCTTTCATAAGATTGAGATAAGCAGGCCAGGGATATAGCTCAGTGGCACAAGCACCTACCTGGCAAGCACAAAATCTTGAGTTTGATTCCTGGCACTAAAAACAAACAAACAAACAAAAACAGAAAATTGCAAGATTGTGATAAGGACTGTCTTGGTTATTTTTCTCTTGGTGAGACAAAAATACCTTACACCCAAAATTAGGGAAGGAAAAGTTCATTTATCTCACAGGGTTTTTTTTTGTTTTTTGTTTTTTGTTTTGTTTGTTTGTTTTTTGAGGTTTCAGTCCATACTTAGTTGGCTAAGTATGGCAGGCATTCATGGCGACAACAAACAGCAAGAGCAACGAATAGGGCAAGAGTGAAAAAACCACGCCTTCTTTCCTCTCTTATATTGTGTGCCAGCTCTACCCCTGGGCGGGCACAGCACTAGACAATGAACCAATCACAAACACTAGATTCACCTGCCTCCATGACTATATGAGGTTTGGGGGGCCACCTAGACACAAACCATTACAAAGACCATCTATTTCCCATTTTTGGTAGGGTTTTTATCGTGAGTGGGTGTTGGACTTTGTCAGATGCTTTTTCTGCATCTATTGAGATGATCATGTGATTTGTGTCTTTGGTTCTGTTAATATGGTGTATTACATTAATTGATTTGCATATGTTGAACCTCTGAGTAGATATTTTTAACACAAGACTTTCAAAATAAAAGTATCCAATTTTGTTTTGGACATAATTTACTTGAATTAAATTTCGTGTAGGTTTCTTGTTACCTGTCAATCATATTACACATTTTTTAACCTTTATATAGATAATTCAGTACAGTTTATCATATTTTAAATCATTTTTAAATAGTATTATATCTATAAATATTAAATTACATATCATATTCATATTTATTTAAATGTTCTTTTTCAAAATGCCTAGGGCTGGGGATATAGCTCAGTGGCACAGCACTTGCCTGTCAGGCACAAGGTTGTGAGTTCAATCTCTGGTATCAAAAAAAATGTAATCCAAAATGCCTGATATCCTTCATTATAGCAATAAAGAGAACCTTAGCCTTCTTGGGTAATGTTTTTAAATACTTATCAAGGAAATACAATTCACATGTAACCAAAACTGTTGTATTTGCTGTGAATTTAACACTGCTCTAAAGAATGAAGTTTAAAAGTTCTATTATAAGTGATTAGGAAATAGATACAAATTATATTAAGTTTTTCTTTAATGGAACCTAATAATTTTATGTCATTAATATGAATCACTGTAGTCTATACACAGACTACTTATAGTTGACTTCTTTTCATACAGATAAGCATCATTGTTTATATTTACTAGGCTGTTGTTCATATTATGTTGTATTGATTAATTTTTAAATTTTTTAGCATTTTTGTAGCATCACTTCTTTATTCAAGATTAGTTCTTCCTCCATCACAAAATCACCTCAAATTTTATCACCTCGGGAAGAAAAGAATCAGACTCATACCTTTATTTCTCAGAGTTTTGGCTCTTCAGACTCTGTCATTCAAGAAAATAATGACTATTACTCATACTCAGACATAGGAGAAACAGAACAGGAAAACACAAACACCACTGCAAATTATAACTCTTCTTTCATGGAACTAGGAAAAATGCAGAGCATGTTACCATCTATGTCTTCTTACAATCAGACCAACTATCAGAAAGACTCCTATTGTAGCCCTAACATAGCGCAGAACAGTCCTTTTTTAATTAATATGAAATCAAAGAAAGCAGCTTGTAACTCTTTTCCAAGCCAGAATGATTCAGAGTCAGATGTTTTTTCTTTGGGCCTAGCACAAATAAATTGTGAAACCATAAGATCACCAGCTGACACTCAGAGAAGAACTGGCCCAAATTTTATAAATTACCAGAAAAAGGGAGCACATGAAGCAAAAAGAATTACAAATAAACAAGTATCTGCTCCTGTTTTTTCACTAGAAGGTTCTCAATCGCCTATTTATTGGAACTTTACGGAAAATGTATGTGGAAAACAGAATCACTCACTCAACTTAAAATATGGAGTGGAGCAGACTACCAATGACAAATGGTACTCTCAGACAGATAGTTTGTTCACTAATCAGCAAACATATTCATCACGTGAATTAGAAGGCTTCACGAATGAAAGTTCAAATGATAAGACTAAAAAGACTGTCTGGGGAGAACTACCATCTGCTCCCAGTTTGGATTTATTCTGTGCTTCTGATTGTGATGCAAATAAAAAAGAATTAGACAGCTTTTATTTCTACCAAAGAGCTGAAAAATGTTTAGGACAGAAGAGGCACCCTGAATCTGCATCCAACTCGGGAGACAACGAACCATTAACAGGTAACACTGCCTAATGGTTGATCAAGCTTTCGGTTTTATTTTAAAAAACAGAACATCTCCAAAATAGTTTATTTTGATTACTATTCTTAAGTCTGCAATAACTTTTGCATCAAAGAGAACAATGAAAACTTTCTGGTCTAAGAAAATAAATTCAAAAAATATACATCATATTCTTATAATTCTAAGTGAACTAAACATTCCGTTTAAGAAGTTGTTAAAAATATCTGGGCATAGTGGTGGACACCTGTGATCCTAGCACCCTGGGAGGCTGACAGGAGGACTGCAAATTAGAGCTTAGCCTGGGAAGTTTAGAAATTTAGGGAACCTGTCTCAAAATATTTTTTAAAAAATAAAGAGTTGGGAATATAGCTCAGTGCAGAGGCCCTCAGTTCAAGTCCCAGTACAGGAGGAAACAAGAAGTTTAAAATAAAAGCAGAACAAATCTAAATAAAGCAGAAAACTAAGTCAGCATAAATCAGACAAAACAGTGAGTTATATAACCTCTTTGTAGAGTATATATATATTTAATTGGTCAACATTTAAGAGCTTATTTTGTGCTAGGCACAATTCTAAACCCTTTATGTAGCTCAGTAATTTAACAATTCTATTAAATAGGCACTACGATTATAAACCACTATGTTAGGTAGAAATATTGTAGGCAGTCAGTGACAGCCTTTGAGGGAGTCAGTGCAGAGAACACATTACAGCTGTGGCTGGAGGTGCATTCATTGAAGGCCAGGCCTCAAGATAAAGATGGAATGACTGGGCCTACATGTCTCCCCAAGGGGTAAGCAGTATGCTATAATTGATATCGCCTGGTCCAATAAAATACAGCTAGACATCAGCCCCAGGTGGGTGACCAGGCCCTACTGGCTCATCTCTTCCAAAACAGGACCCTGTTCCTTCCAGGCACACTTGCTACCTGACTAGCCTCCCCATTGGATCAATGTTACCTAAGCAGCTATGCTTGTAATCATATTGCTTGATTGTAGTTTTGTCCCTACCTTGTGATTTTGCACCCACCTCATGATTTTGTTCTATAAAACTTCCTCTGGAAAGTGAGCTCCTTGGCAACCTAGGGCCCCCTCCTGTCTCTCAGGAGCTGTCTCTCCCTCAATAATAAAGCTTCCTACACTTAACCTCCCTTGTTCCTCGGAACTCATTCTTTGATTTTGGGAACCCAAACTCGGTGTATCTGACATCGAGCAGGGTGGGAGTTAGAATATTTCCTTTGTATCATTTGGCGGTCCTATGTCACTACCATGACTACACTTTGATGGATGTTTTCACTCTGAAGTCTGAACATTTTATCATATCAGCTTCTAAAAGGGAAATTTTATACTCTCATCTCTAGGAATTCTGTCTTTTCTATGTCGTTTCTTACTGCATTGGCCCAAGAAACTAAAACAAAACATTAAGTTCTCATGGCCACACAGTGTGGTCTTTGCATCATGGAGGAAGTGGGGAGGGGACAGAAGATTGAGCTTTAAATCTTCTGTTCCACACAGGACTCTTCTAAGAGCGGAGGGGCTGGGGAAATCTTGTATTCTTTGTTTCATTAGAAGAGGGCTTCTCAAGCTGTATGAGCCCCTGGACTCACAAACTTGGACTTTTCCCATTTAATAGCTGTAATTACTGATATTAGTGGGAGATGTTCTATCCCTAGTTTTGTGAGAACTTTATGAGGTGAAAGGTGAATTATATCTAAACTTCCTTTTAGTATTCATGGGGGAAAATCAAATATGCCTTCTCCATTGACCTATTGATGTCAAGTTTTATACTTTATTGGTTTACTAATATTAAATAATCATTACCTTTTTAAATAAAGCTAATTATTTTTCAAAAAATTATAATCATATTATTTATACAAGGTAATAGATTTCACACATGCATATCAGTGCTTTATAAATATGGATACTTATATTTATGATTTTTAACAACATATTCTAAGGTTTTTTCGAATTAAACTGTTATTTTACTTATGCCAATAGGATTCTTTAATGTTGATTTTTTTTAAAAAAACTATTGTTATTTTAATTTAACTGCATCTTGGTCAATTTATCATTTATTCCTTCCATTTATCCATGATGACTCTGTCTGCCTTAGCAAAAATGTTGTGAATTTTGTTACACTCTTAAATATTTTCATCTATGAACTTATTTGGGATATTTTGTATTAGTTAACTTGGGATTTGTGGATGTTTTATAAACTGAATTATATGGGTAATAATATATGGATACCCATATAAACGATGTATAAATATACAATAAATAGGAATTAAGATAAATTCCCTTGATGGGAAAGCTTCCGGGAAAATATAGAAAAAGAAATTAAAATGGTTCTAGAAATTTTAGAAGTCACCGTGGAAGACTGATATCTAGAAAACAACACAGGTCCTATCAAGTTAGTAGCTTGAAATTAACCATGCTGAAGGGGCTGGGGATTTAGCTCAGCGGCATAAGCGCCTACCTTGCAAGCAGGCAGTTGTGAGTTTGATCCCTGGTACCGATAAAAACAAAAACTACAAAAAAAAAAAAAAAAAAAGAAATTAACCATGCTGAAAGTCTGTATACTACAAAAATTGACAACCACTACAGATCAAGCTTTTACCTCTCACCCCACACCACCCTGAAAGCTGGTTGTTGGTCAGTGCCAGCCCAGGCTGTCCCATAGCTTCACAGTGAGGGACCAGTACCCTATTGTCATTAACATTCCTGGTCATTATTCATGTGTGTAAATATACTCCTTAATTAGATTTTAAAACCTCTTTTCCAGGGGCTGGGGATATAGCTCAGCAGCATAAGCACCTGCCTTGCGAGCGCGTGGTTGTGAGTTTGATCCCCAGTACCAAAAGGAAAAAATAAAATAAAATAAAACAAAATACTACATCTTAAAAAAAAATCTCTTTTCCACACACGGATTTACAGACTGATTTCAGAACACATTTCTGGAATTATGTCTTCAGTGAATATGATCTTCACAGATTAGAGGCTGTTGGTGAGAAGACCAGCTGAAGTGAAACAGAATGGAAAAGGGGGCTCCTGGGGAGTAGTTCGGTGGTGAGTGCCTGTCCAGCATGGGCAAGTGCAAAGGAAAAGAAAGAAACATGGAATTCCATATGCTCATGGAATTCCTAGTGCTCTGCATTCAGTCCCAGGACTAGGAAAAAAGAGTGGGGATGGGAAGTGCAAAGGAAGAGAAACATGGAATTCCATGTGCTCTCATCATGCAGATGTACTCAGAAGGCAGAGACCAGGGGGTATGTCATTGTTTGAGGTTTTAAATCAATGTGGGTGGGCCGCTAACTTTTATTCAGTTAATGAAGATATACAGGAAACCTTGAAGAATCAGAAAGCTCTGCCTAAACTCCTCAAACCATTTCAGATGGTTTTACTTAAAAATATTAGAACGCTAAGTGATCTTAGAGTTTTCTGATGAAACAGAGAAGCAAAAAGTACAAAAAGAAAAGAACAGGTTTATTGAGGATGGGGAAAGGAGCACACAGCCCATGGTGTTGAGCTGTCTCCTTTGACTGGACACAGAGAGGCAGAGGGTTGTATGACCTCTGATCAGAAGTGGCACATGGGCAGACACTGATGATGTGTGAGGAACCGATTGGAATTTTCTTATCGTGCAAACAGGAAGAAGAGTTGCAATTAGGGCTGAAGAAGGACAAAGTGGCAGGCGTTCTGCTTTGGCCTTCCACCATGTCAGACCACCACCATAACTGCACAGTAATTTATACCAGGGCAAGCACCTTTCACTTAGAGATCATATACGAGTATAATTTTACAGAAGAGGAAGTTGAAATCCAGGGAGATTTACTATTTGCACAAAGCATATGTATACTAATTTTTAATACTGGGCCATTAGGTATGGCTGTATTTATGTTAAAATGTAATTTTTAATCATTGTTATTTTAAAATAATAAAATTCTAAAAATCATTGTTATTTACCTCAGTTTGGAATTTCTACCTTTCAATAGGTTATGTTGAGACAGGGCCCTTTTGAGTAGCTGCAAAACAGTAGCTACTTTAGTAGCGTATGTAACAAATGGTTTTCCTCTTTCTCTTTTAACAGGCGCAATGTGCTCACAACTACCACAACTCAAAAAACGACGTCTAATGTATGAAAAAGTCCCTGGAAGAGCTGATGGACAAACTCGGCTAAGATTTGTTTGAAAGAGGGAAAGAATAACATTTTATGCCATATTCACTGCTTTTCACAATAATCCAGTAACAAAATTGGATTTTCTTACACATTAAAGAAAATGCAATCATTTTCACATGTTCTCAGTATTTCTGTATTAAATTTTGATGATATATATTCTGTGCTATAGCATGAATCTTTGTAAATGAAATATTTTGATTTTATCAGTTAGCTTAATTATCAGATTCAAAATGTCTTCCAGGGCTAGGGGTTTAGCTCAGCTGCATAAGCCCTTGCCTGGCAAGCATGATGTCCTGAGTTTGATCCCAGGCATTAAAAAAAAAGAGAGTCAATATTCCAACACCAAAATTACAGAACTTACAATTACAGAAATTACAGAACTTCCAATTTTTAGCAGTTTTCCAAAAACAAAATTTAGAAACAAATGACTAAGGAAATATTTGCAACCTAAAATTATAGGGGGAAAGTTTACATTCTTAATATACAAAAAGTTCCTATAAAATGATGACAGCGTCATAGAAGAATGGACAAAATATTTGAGTACCTATTTCTCAGAGGAAACAAAAAGAGCCCAAAAACATTTGAAGCAGTATCCATCTTCATTACTTATTAGGCAAACACAAATTAAAACAGTGACTGTTTTTTCCTCTTGTCATCCTGGCAAAATTTTTAGAATTCTAACTATTCCGGAGCAGCATATGGGAGAAAAGAATAATTTCTTATATTGTTAGTATAAACTTTTTGGAGTACAGTTTGTAAAACATCTAAGATGAAAAATCTACCTAGATTTTGACTCAGAAATTATATGTTTAGGATTCTGCATTAAATATCTAACTACAAAATAAAATGTTATTAATGTAATTTGTAATAGGTAAAAATTATAAATCAAAATGCTGTTAGGTGGGGGAATAGGTAAGAAATTTAGACTACAGAAGACCATGAAAGCATTATGAAGAAAGTAAATCTGTATGTTCTAACAAGATGCCCATAACATAGTGGGGGGGGGGGGATACTATATAAAGAATATTGCATGATGTCATTTTTAAAGACACCTTTGAAAATTCAAATTGGTTCCAAAATGATAGGTATATTAGGGAACAATTCGAACATACTTGAATCTCACATTTTCTAGTGTATGATTTTGTTCACAAACACTAAGGGAATTCAAAGAGTGTATCCAGCTAAAGACACTGGGTAGAAATCCACAAAACATGCGCAGCGCACCTCATAGGGTGGCCGAGCCACACTCGGTGTACCACTACCCGCCTTTCTGTCTTCTAAGGGAAGTGGCCTCGCAGTTTCTCTGACTCCTTCCACCCCGACAGTAACGAGTCCCAACTTGGCTGAGAAGTTTTGCAGCCTGTCCTTTCTTACATTGCCTTCCTTTCCTCTCAGTTCTGTACTGTGTCCCTCTCTTTAGTCTCTTCTTTTCTCTGTTTTGTTCTTTTCCTTGAGCAGAAAGGATTGTATGCACAGGAGTGAAGCAGGCTGGCCATTTGCAGAGCTGAGCCCAGCAAACGGACAGTGGGAGTTAGGATGAGGACAGACGCAAAGGTTGTCACCCATCACACTCACAGATGTACAGTACTGGGAAGGTACAGACATAGTTTAGGTGTTGGACAGAAGAAGAGGTGGTCTCGGGGATGACATCAAGGCTTCTGGTCTGAGAAGCTAGAATGATGCAGCATTTTACAGATCTGGGGAGACTGTGAGCAGACTTCAGAGAGGGGACCAGGAGCTGATTGTAGCTAAGTCTGAAATTCCCGCTGGACCTCTAAGTGGAGATACCAAGTGGGTATTTGTATTACAACTCAAGTTCAATGAAATGTAAAAATTGGGAAAAACAAATTTCAGGGACCTTCTACATAGGTGGTATTGAAAGCCATGAAACTATGTAAAATTACCAAAATAGGCTGGGTGTGGTGGTGCACACCTATAATCCCATAATTTGGGAGGCTGAAGCAGGTGGGTTGATGCAAGTTTGAGGCAGCCTGGGCTATGCAGTGTATTCTAGGCCAACCTGAACTGCATAGTGAAACCTTGTCCCAAAAAGAAAAAAAGATTACAAGGTAGTAAATATGGATCTTAAAAATAAAGACAAAATTCAAACACTAAGATCTGAGACAACACTAGGATGTGTTGGAAAAAGGAAAGACAGAAGGAGCAAGTGGTGGGGTAGGAGAATGTGATGGTCACGGAAGCCAGATGAAGATGTCTCCAGGAGAGATCAACTGTGTCAACAGCTACTGAAGATCACATGAGAGAAGCAAAAAGAATAAGCCATTAGAATCCAAGTGGAGCTCCTTGGTGATCCTGAGCAAAGCAGTGTTTGAAAGAATAGTGAGTGAAAGTCTTATAGATTCAAGAAAGCCCAGCAAATCTGGAATGGGAGTACATGTCCACAATCCAGGAACTCAGCAGGCTGAGGCAGGAGGATCACAAGTGTGAGGCCAGCCTGGGCAAACTGGCAAGACTCTGTCTCAAAGTAAAAAAAGGTTGGTGATGCAGCTCACCTGGAGAGCATCCCTGAGTTCCATCCCAAATATGGTGAGAGACACAGAGAGAGAGACAGAGAGAGAGAGAGAAGGAAGGAAGGAAGGGAGGGAGGGAGGGAGAGAGGGAGGGAGGGAGGAAGAAATAGGGAAGCAGAAAACAGGAGGTGAGAGGGCTGGGGATTTAGCTCAGTGGCATAAGCGCCTGCCTTGCAAGCGCGCAGTCATGAGTTTGACCCCTGGTACTGATGAGTTTGACCCCTGGTACTGATTAAAAAAACACAAAAACCAGGTGAGAATAGACAACTCTTACAGAGCTTTTGTTGTCTGTAGAAAAGTGATGAAATATAGCTAGAGGAAGAAGTCAACAGAGGCAATTTTTACGATAGGGGTTCTTACCCACTTGTGCAGGCTGACAGGGAAAATCCAGTTGAGGGAGAAAAGCTGATGGAGGTGAGAGAAAGAGGGAAAAGAAAGAAAGAGGCAGATGTGGTCGGAGATCACGGACAGTCTCTTCTGATTGCACTTGTTTCTTCCTCTGAATTTTTCTATTTTCTGTATCAGTCAGCATTTGGTAAAAAGTAAAGGATTTATTAAATTGTGAGAACTGGTTAAAAATTCTATGGAGGACTGTTAGCTTTGTATCTGGTGTTGAATCTGCAATCACTTTAGGTCAGCAGAAAGGAAACACAGAAGCAAAATGAGGAAGAACAGGATAGATGGAAACTTGCCAACATGAACCAGAACTCACAAGGAAAACACAGAACCCATGTCGGTGTCTCGTTAGTGCGGAAGCCAAGGCTGAGCACGGAGGAGCAGGCATTGTGCTCTGAGGAGAAAGGAGTTAGGAAATAGTCACCTAAGAGGTGCAGGCAGTGGATCTGGGACACAGAGTACATGTTTGCCTTATTAAGCGTCCTCTAAAGTTAGGGACCATGACATTTAGTGAGGTCACAGATGAGGCTGGGGCACCGTGCAGAGTATTTGTCCAGCATGCACAAGGCCCTGAGTTCAATTTCCAACACTAAGGGGAAAAAAAGTCGCAAATAGAAAGCAGGGCTCCCAGGGAAAAGGAAGAGAACATTAGGCAGATCCGCATTTAAGAGGGTGTGGCTCAGCCAACAGGGGTCTGGAAGCAAAAGTGAGCTGGGCAGGGAGTGAATGCTAACCGGTTAAGGATGGTGAATGGGACACAAGGCACACGCTGTGGTCAGCTGAGCTATGCACACAGCCTTCTGCACCACTTTCTGTAAACCATGCTTAAGCCTCTGAGGCCGAACCTGAATTCCGTGTTGAGTTTCTCCCTACCACGGTGGCCTTCAGTGACGGGGTTGCTGCTTAGGCGCCAGAAACAGGAGAACATTCAAGGATCTCTCACACCTGGCTGTAGCCAGTGGTTACCAGCTCCCTTGCACTAGCACTTTCCTTCCCTCCCCCTCCCCTTTCCTCCCATTGCCTTCCCCTCTTCTCCTCTCCCCTCCTCTCTCTGTCTCTCCCCTCCTCTCCTTCTGTCCTCTCTGGACCAGTGCCTGCTCTCTCCAAGATCCATTGATAAGAAGTGCTGAATGCATTTCCTATTGTGGGGCTTCAGTGAACCCCCAGCCAGATTTTCTGCAGGACAAGGTCAGGCTCCTGTCCTGTGACAGAACAACTCTCATCAGAGAGGAGAAACACACACCGCAGCAGGTCACGGAGACCACCCTGCTTCCTGCTACTCAAGATTAGGGGCCAGAGGTGAGGTTTGTCCAGCTTGGACAGTTAGAGGCCATTACTTCTCAGATCATCTCAGTAATGTGACAGGTTCCGGGTTGTTTCTAGCGTCCCATGCCTCAGTCACTGCACTTGGTGTCTTCGGGATGTCAGCCCTTATCACTCATGCATACGTCATGTTTGTTTCTGTGTTTTGCTTTCTTACTTGATTTGTAATGATCATTATAAAAGCATTTAATTGCTTTTTAAATACTAGTACAAATAATATAGTTGAGTATGTATATATTTCTTCTTTGACTTCTGCTGTCTTTAGGAAGCTTCTTTTTACCCTAAAGTTATATATACTATTCTCTTTTTAATGCTTTAATCTTTCTTTAATCCATTTGTAATGGGAGGGAATGTTCACATTTTATTTCCATTTATAAGTAAACATCAATTGCTTTTGGAGAGAATCATGTCTAGTGTAAAATGATTGCCAGACTTGATTATCTCTAAGATTTTAGCTCAGAAACAACTCTGCTTTTCTCTGAATGTAATTGATTAGTGGCCAAGATTAGATCCATACAGTATGAAAGCAAGTTAAGCAAGTCAAAAATCCTCAAGTTAAGACTGAACCAAATCAAAATGAAAATGATAAGCCAGTATTCTAAGTAGGGAAGTCCAGTAAGGGAAGGGAAGGAACACAGACCCAACAGCTGAGGCTGAACCAACAAGCCCATGAGTCAGGGACTGCTGGCTGCTTACCGAACTCAGTTCCTCTTCTTGTGTAAATTTTTATAGAGGATAAAACTTCTATTTCTTCCAAATGGAATGCCAATGTCAACACCATTTATTAAAAAGCACTGCTTCCCACTGAATAGAAGAGAAGGAGAGTCTATTTCTGAAGTGTCATGATTCTATCATTTGCCTATTCCTACACCACAATCACACACTTTACATTAGGTTTTTTGTTTTTAAATTTTTGTTTAAAATCATATTGTTTTCATTTGTTAGCTCCAAAGTTTTAATATCCAAGGAGGCAAGCTTCATCCTCCTGTTTTTACACACACACATGGTGGGGGGGGGGGTGTTAAAAAACTATTCTTGGACAGTTCATTTTCCCTGTGAACATGAAGATATTTTAACTAGTTTCTTTCAAAAACTAAGATAGGACTGGCACTAAGCTTATATATTTAAATGAAATGGCTTAAAGCGCTGCAGTTTGATGTATCCGTTAATTTAGACTCTGTTCCATGCACAGTAGGAAAGCGCTCCTTCTGCCCCCCACCCTGAGACTTGCTAAGCTGCCCACACTGGCCTCCTACCCCTGGGCCCAAGGGACCTCTCGGCCTGTGTCTCCCATAGCTCCCAAGTAGCTGGAACCACAGGCGGGCACTGTCTTGGACCAAAACCTTTTTTTCCCCTGACTTTTGGGCTTTTCCTAAAATTATTCCAAGTATTGTTACAGTCCCATCATGAAAGTGGAAAGGCAGTGTAGTTTCCATTTTCATTTTTAAATAATTACTGCTAGTAGAGAGAATGTTTTTTACTTTTTGTATGTATTTTTATCCAGTCAGCCTCCCAAACTGTATACAAATTCATGTGTTCTTTCTACTTGAGTCTCATGAGTTTCTAAAGTGTACTTACACAGTACAGATATCATTTCCTCTAAAATGATTACACCAAACCAGGTGTGGTGACACACATCCATAATCCCAGCTACTCCAGAGGCTGAGGCAGGAGGACCACACATTGAGGCCAATTTGGGTAACTATAACAAGAATTTGTGTCCAAAAAAAAAAAAAAAGCTTAAACCACTCCATCTTTTCATTTTTACCTTGAGAAGTCGTGGAAAGCCATGGTGACCACCAGTGGTAATTAAAGATGTTCCTGCCTTGTGCCTTTGTGCCTGATAATGCGGAATGCTGCAACATTTCACTGCGTAGTAAGTCTGTTGATTTTGATGAATCGTCTTTATCACTTCTAGTTTTTTTTTAATTGTTTCACTAATTTCTTAATTTTTACTCAGAATAGATACTGAATTTTTATCAGATAAACTTTCTGGCACAGATTCCTTTCTTTACACTATTTCTATAATAAATTACACTGAAAGATTCCTTATGTTAAAGGAGCTGGGCTGAGCGCTATTTTTCTAAATATACTACTGAATTCAATTTGCTTCTATTTAGGATATTTACATCTATAATCATAAGGCAGATTGTCTTCCTGAACCATCTGATCAGATTTTTGTGGAAAGACAAAGTAGCATCAATGGGAAGTTTTGTTTTTAATGGGGATTTTGAAAAATGCTTATTGTTAAGATGGAGAATCGAATTGTTTAAATACTGAAAGAAAAGACAAACTAGATGAAGATAAATGAGAAAAAGGATAACTGATGGGAAAAATTATAAAGAAGACAAAGGGGCTGGGGATTTAGCTCAGTGGCATAAGCGCCTGCCTTGCAAGCAGGCACGTGAGTTCGATCCTCGGTGCCGATAAAAAAAAAAAAGAGAAAGAAAAAGAAGACAAAATATCTACAGAATGGAAAAGTTATAAAAGTGATACATAAATTATGATCCAATGAAAGGCTTCTAGATCACTTAGATCTGGAAGTTTAGTGGCTAGAAATTCTAATTGCTTCTTTTTTCCGTTATAATACTGTGCATACTCAAAGATATTTCTATCTGTTTATATAGGGTTTTCTACTTCAAATGTTGCCAGCAATTGAGATATTTTCAAGTTATACATGTATCTACTTTGCATGACATTTAATAAAATTCTACAAGGACTTAACTAAAATTTCACCTCCTACTTCCAGCACTCAACCTCACAAGTGAACAGAAATCCATGACACCTTAAATAACCAAATCAGACACAAAAGTTACTGTCATAGAAAATGATGAATTAAGCAGAGACTTTATTCCCAAGCTCCTCAAAGATTATTACAAAGACAAATAAAATGTCTCTCTAAAAGTGTCTCAAATAAAACCAAAGGCACACCATCCAAATAAAACACTTGTGACATCGATTCTTTAGGTTATAATATTTTCATATTAGTTTGAACTATTTGTACTCTTCTATATGTCATCTGCATTTTAAACGATGTTTAAAGACATGAAATGATATATTCTTTAAAAGTGCAACTACAACTATAAAGTAGAAAAATTTAAGAAGAAAGGATCAAATGTGCTTAATACACAAGAGGGGGCAACTTAATACACAACATTAACATTAATCTTTCCAAACAAGTTGGCTAAGGAATGAACATCTCCTAGGTTAGTGTTAAATATAAATCTTCCAATCTCAAAAAATCAAGACACCATTTGACGAGTAAAGGTCTATTTTTCTCCCAGTTAGCATTTTTAATCTTCATTTATTTGGTAATAGTAAATTCATGAGAAAAGAACAAATTTTATTACAGTATAAAAACCTTAGGAACAACAAATTACAGTTTTTTAATAGACAAAAATACTTTGCTTCCTAAAATGTAAACATTCAGTAAATAAAACATGCATGGTGTTCCAGAAATAACAACATCAATAGTTCACTTATGAAAGAGCTGTGTTACTGCTAAGGTTTTTGTTTATCCTAAAATAAAGCACTTCGGTAGAAGAACCAGGCCACTAGTACTTAAAACTCGATTCCTCACTCGTTTTCCTTATTTGAGTAGAAAACCACTAATTTTTGCAGACATTTGGCTATAGGACCTGGCCACGGGAGAGGTGTGAAATGTTTAAAAGTCTTTTGGCGAAAGAAAAGCGTTCTCTTGAGGCTTGGAGGGACTCATTCATCACTCTGTGCTTGAAGGGATTCCACAACGAACTTCTTCCTTACTGGAAAGAGAGTTTGGTTGGTTTTCATCTTATAAAAGTTATTCATAAAATTAACTAGTCGTCATTTCACGGGCATTTTAGTGTTCACAGAGTAGAAATTAAGAAGTTTAATTCAATAAAACATCCAAGCTTCACCACTGGATGTACACCACACCCTTGGAAATCCTTTGTAAAAAGAAAATCACTATGCTAACATAAAACAATTACTTTAATATCCTAAATGTACATTTTTTTCATTAATAGGTACTATTGTACCTAATAGTAGAGTTACTTTTTTTCTTTTTTTTAAATTTTGATTTTCTGAGGCAGGGTCTCACTATATAGTTTAGGCTGGTTTTGCCAGGCAGACATTGTGCTGCTGAGCTACATCTCTGGCCCGACAGTCTGGTTTTGAATTCACCATGTTGTCCAAATTGGCCTTAAACTCGTAGCAATCTTCCTGCCTCAGCCTCTCAAGTGTGCCACCACAACCGGCTACTTCTTTTCCTTTAAATAGGAACAATTTCTTTTTGTAAGTATGTGAAAAAGAACCTAAACAGATTACTTCCTGTTTAACCACCACTTAGAGCACACAATTTGAAATACACTGGTTCTGAAAAACAAATAATCTATGCCCTTTTCCTCTTGAAAAATAATAGTGAAAATGTGAGTAACATTTCAAGACAAAATACTGAAACTTACGGAATTTCTAATATGCCACGTGAGAGGTATTTTCATTTGTTACCAGTTTTTAAAGTTCTTCTAATCTTATTCACACATTCCCCAAGTACTGTAGCTACATTACTTCTTCCAAGGTAAGATTAACGTCAAGAAATTACTACCAGTCAACCCACGTAAAAGGCTCAACTACATTAAAATACTAGTATCTTATGACTTAGCACCAAAGAGAGCTGAGACTCTTCTAATTAGGTGTATGCTACAGGCTGGGTCGCTACACACTAGAGCAGCCCCTCGGGGAAAGGTGTGCATTTTGCTGGTTTTTATCTTAATTCCCCCAAGATTCGCAGATATTCTCACCTCAGTTCCCCAAAGCCTTTGGGAGCTCTGTGACAATGCCTTGGCCCCAGGATGCACAGGGTATCGATACTCACCGTCTTCAGAGTAAAGCACAGGACCTGGGCTCCCGGAAGGGGTTGCTGCCAGCCGGAACACCAACCAGCAGGGCGTCCTTGCAGGCGTTCTGGATGCAGTACTGCTGCAGCTCCGCGGCCGCCTGGGAAACCTGAAACAAAGACGCAGCCACACGCCGAGCGGCTCACAGCCAGATCCACCCAGCGGCAGACATCTGATACCCTGAAAACGACCATGCGACCCGACAGAGGTCACGCTTTCTGCAACCTCCAAGTCTCTTCTGCTGATTCTAGTAACTGAATTCCAGAGGAAAGATTACAGTTTCTGTGAGCTTCAATTTAGGGTGTTTTTGGCTTAGTCACTTAGTCAACAGAAGTCAAAAAAAGCTGCATGTTTGACTCATTTAGATCCTACTTGTGAGACTTCATGGGTAAGGAAGTATCTCAGGCCGGTGTTCCCTGTACAAATTTTCATTATGTAAAACGTGTACTGATAAAAGTCATGTTTATTAAAAGTCAGGTTTGCCATGTGAGCAAACTGCCTTTTTGTTTTTAAGGTTGGGACTTGGGTCCTGGTTCCGTCCCCAGTAGTAAAAACAATAATAATAAAGATGTAGTTCTAGCCAGGCGTGGTGGCACACGCCTGCAATTCCAGCACTTGGGGGAGGCTGAGTCAGGAGGAATACATACTGTGGGTTTGAGGCCAGCCTGAACTGCATAGTGAAACTGTGTCAAAAAGACCAAAAAAAAAGTGTAGTTCCATAAAGGTGCTACCTGGACCCAAATTCAGCTCCATCCCTATCCAAGTGACTTTGGGGCAAATTCCTTAACTTCCCAGTGTCTATTTTCTCTTCTGTAAAGTGTACCAAGTAACAGTACCTCACTTAACTGTTGATGTGAGGATTGAATTAACACACATGAAGCACTTAGCACAGCACCAACGCATAATTACAATAATTTGCAGCAAACGGCAATCACAATCACAATACTTCGCAGTTCTTGCCATCAAGAGATAGCATCTACTTACCCACCTGATAAATCTGGTTCATAAAATATGGCAGGTATAGTGGGCACATTCCAAGTCAAGACTCTGGGAATCTTTGCAGTTACCTTACTTGTGGCAGCTGGAACCCAAGCCTACTGTACCGACCAGCTGGCAGGCAGCTGCCAACCTCTGGACACATGAATGAGCTAAGCCTCCATCTGACAGCAACCTTGGAGAGCCCAGCAAGGTGAGGAGGACAGTTCTGCCGACCTTGGCTCCAACTGTCACCCTAAGAACTGTGAGTTAAATGTTTTTTTTTTTTTTTTGTTTTTTTTTTTTGTCTTTTTCATTTTTATCGGTACTCGGGAATCGAACTCACGACTGCCTGCTTGCAAGGCAGGTGCTTATGCCGCTGAGCTAAATCCCCAGGCTCCCCCCCCCCCCGAGTTAAATGTTTTAAGCCACTAGGTTTTTCTGTAGTTTATGAGGCACCAAAAACTGACATAGTATCATGACTTTTCTTCTTATTCTCCATTTGATGTATATTTCTCCTTGGAAATTTTTCTCACTTCGTATTTTTCTTGATAGTAAAAAGAGATTTCCCGTGAAAACTTACTCATACTGTATAAAAATGGTCCTAACTCCTGTTCAGGCATTCCTATTAGCTTGGATTAATTTATTGCAGCTACGGTTTAGATACGGTTTGAATGTGTCCCCCAGGATGGAAATCGAATTCTCACTGTGATATATATGGAGGGCAGAAACAGAATCTGACTATGGTATTTCCAGGTGGGGCCTGTGGCAGCTGGTTAGGATTAGATAAAGCCATCAGCGAAGGTCCCCCAAGACTGAACTACTGGGGCCTTCCTAAGAAGGGAGAGAGACCAGAAGAAAGACACATGCAACACACACTCCCTGCCGCTTGCTGTGTGACTTCCGGTGCTGCCTTGGGAGCCGCCAGCAGGACAGCTATCAACAGATGCGGCCCCTCAACCTTGGACACAGAGAACCTTGAGCAACAAGAAACTTTTCCTGGCAGTTTACCCAGTGTGTGGGATGCATTCCATTATCAGCAACAGAAAACAGACTAATACAACCATCTCTGTTATAGTTACTACTTCGTTCCTGAAGTGCTGTAGCAATTTAATTATGCCCATGTTGACGATTTGTATCAGGGAACGGGTAAGCTCTGCACAGAACAGGAAGAAGGCTGTTGCCTGGAACCTGGGAGAAACAGAATTAACTGGATTCCAGCCTAGAGAACATGACAGGAAACCCAAGGAGGGTAAGAGTGGTCAGTGTCTCTAGCAGCAAGGGGAGAGGCTGTGGACAAGGAAGGCAAGTCCAGACGTCTACAAGCTGTCCTGCCATGGAGATGAGAGGTCCCACTGGGTGATTATGGGACTCTCTTTGGCTTAGGCCAGGCTCACCCAGCACCTCCTAAGAGACTACTCCAAAGGAGGGGTCCTCAGAGGGACAGCAAGGATTCTAGTCACTAGGAAGCTGTTGCTCCTTATACGATAGGGAAGCGGTGCCTCATTTGTTTGTCAGAGAGCTAGTTTGCCAAACAGAAGACATGCCTGGGCGAGCTAAGAATTCAACACTGACCCTAGAAATGAGGCTGCCTGGACTCTGGGATAAACACTGTCACCTCCCCAAGGTGCTGCCTGACAGAAGCCCAGCCAAGTGCACACGGTCAGACTAGGCTGGCACAAGCACACCCTTAAGGACACTTTTTATCTTATTGCTGGTACTGACTCACTCCAGTTCTCCGAGTCTGTTCCATCATCACTTATGATTATTTTTTAAAATGTCAACCTGGGTTATCTTCCCTCGCATTTCACAGGGGGAGAAGGCATTTGTCACAGTTTTCCTTTCCATTTCAGATCTTGAACTTTTTTCAACAAGTTTCGGTTTTCGATTTCCTCTCCTCAAACAACCTTATCCTCAGTGCCCAGGGCCACAGCGTGACCTGCATGCGGCCCTCTCCCAGAAGTTTACAGCCCGGGATGCTCCTGCACTCTGGGATTCCCGGCCAGTTCCCTTCCCCTCCCCCAGAAGAAAACTTGGCTTCTTATGTCACACAGAAAAATGTCATCATGCAAGTTCTTTAGTCCCTGTCTAGAAACATCTGTTTTTACACAGTTGCCTTCCCGACTCAGAAAAGGATCCTCCAAGCACTCCATTCTCCTTCTCTGCCTGTTTTGACACATTGACCTAAAAATACAGTATGTTTCTTTCCCTCAATCTCAAAATACAGGCTTCCTTTCCCAAGTTTTTTAAAAGGTATTTTCTCTTTAAAACTAGATTTCTGAGCCAGGTATAATAGCACACCGGCAATCCCCATACCTAGGAATTTGTGCCCACCCTAGGCTACATAGCAAATTTCAGGCCCGCCCAGACCACAAAGTGAGACTCTGGTTCAAAAGCAGAAAGGTCAGAAAGAAAGCCTCAAATTGGTATCTTTACAACAAAGTCTGCTGTCTTACTACAATCCAGACTTTGCTTTCACTTCTACACATCACTACAGCCTCTCTGTGCTCTATCCCCAGCCCTGTATCTTGTTTCATAATCTTCCTGTATTATGGGGAGTCATTTTATTTATTGGTGAACTTTTTATTGTTTCTCTTCCCCCATCGGAATCACCCTACTGCCTACACCAGTGCGAGGTGTAAGGATTCCGGGGTCTAGCACAAGGCTGGCCGCTAGCAGGCCTCCACTCAGGTTACCAAATCACTTACACAACCGGCCCTTCTTAGCCATCAGACGAACGGCAGACTTGCTGACCAGCCCCAGATAGCTGAGAGTTCCCCTTCCTTGCCTTCTCTTGCTTCCTCTTCTCCGGGTGATCGCTTTGACTGGTCCCTGTCACAGGCTCTCGTCTCTGCTCTTCCTATAACACTGTTACTGCCAAACCTTTCCTTGTGCAGCCCTGTGCCCTGCGCTTTGGTCCACGCAGCAGACTATCTTCTGGGTGTGGATGCAAAACGGGCTCGTGTCCTCCAGGCCCGTCCCCTGCAATCCATCCAACCACCCTGCCACCGCATGCACCAGAAACCTGAGCATCCTTCCTCCTCCCTCTCTCTCCTTCCTACTCGTCCACCGCCAGGTCCTGCCCGTCGACGGCTCCTCCATCCCTGGACTCCGTCCTCCTGCATCAGTGGCGCCCAGGCCGCCAGCGTGTCGCTTGCATCACTGGTCCCCTGCGCGTCACTGTCCACACAGCCACCACCAGGGGAGTCTCTGGGAGGTGGCGGCCGGGTGGGACCAGGCCACGTCGCGGGACCGGCGGGGCCGGCCTGGTCCTCGGACGCCCGGGCCCGGTTCCGTCCCGCGCGCGCTCCGGGGGCCTCCCGCCGCCCGGCCCGGCCCGCCTGGGCCCCGGGTCGCCGCGGTTCCGCCGGGGCCGGGGCCGCGAGCCTCACCTTGATCCTCTCCACGCTGGCCTCGAGCTTGAGCTGCTCCACCAGGCGCTGCAGGGCGCTCACGCTGGCCCCGGAAGACATGGCGACGGCGGCCGCGGCTCCGGGCTGCTGGGCCGGGGTGGGCTGCGCGGCCGGGCAGGGCCGGCGCCGCCCCGGGGCGGGGAAGCAGCTGCGTGCGCCCCGCCCTGCGCCCGGCCTCGCCCTCTGCGGCCGCCCCGCGAGTCCGGGGCCGTCGGGGTCCGCGCTGCCCCGCCAGGCCTCGGCGCTGTCTGCGGTGGAACCGGGGCGCGGCGCCCCTCTCCGGAGGCACGAGGCCGGGCGAGGGCCGGCTGCGCGGGGAGCAGTGGCCTGGGCAGCAGCGGATGCGCCCCGGGTTAAACCAGAGGACGACGATTCCCGAGGCTGGAGCCAAGGTGTGCACGAGCTGCAGAAATGGGCCACGCGAGGACTGCAGCCCGAGGGGCGTGGAGCAGATCGGTAGGATTTCCGTGAAACGGTGAGGCTCCTCACAGCCTTCACTGTTTCGTGCACATCCCACCAGTTGGTGGACTAGGGAAGGGTAAATGAGATTAAAATCCCGGAGCCTAAGGTCTGTGTGAAGCATAGAATAGAATGCAACAGCCCTCCGCATCTCACCATTTAACTACGATCATGGCTTCTCCCATCGTGCGCATGCTTTAGGAACCTGGGGTCTTTATGTCAACATTTGTGGGGGCTCCCTGTAATGTATCATGAATACGTACGTCCCATTCTCGGACGCCTTGGTGTATGTCAGACCCACGTAGATTGAATAATGCAGAGGTAGGATCCTGGCTGTGTAAATGAAAAGTCCAGGACTCTAATGATAGGTTTGCCTGCATGGCCCGCCTGCTCGCCGCTCCACTCTGCTTTCTCTGGACATCGGCCTTTTCCTCGGGAGCAGACAGACTCGGTGCTGTGGCAGACAGCTCACTGTCCTGGCCTCCCAAACGCAGTCAAGAGAGTATTTCTTTTCTTAACTGCTCCACCCAAAATCTCCATAATGGATCTCACTGGCTTGTCCGAGTTTTACCCTTGAACCCTGCTTCCTGGTGGGAGTGTGGCACTCATCACGCTCGGCCCCGAGGGGTCCCTGTGAAGTGCACTTAGCCAGAGAGCCACCCTTACCACAGTCACTGCCTGCCCAGTGTCAGCCTTCATCTAATGACCGCTGTGTATTGGACCCCAACCCTGGCCTCATGTTGAGGCAGAAAGTTTTAATCATTCCAACTCTGGAGCTCCTGCTGGGATCACTGAATTCTTCACAGCAACCACATCACTAGTCAGCCTCTTCCTCTGCTCAGTGCCCACTTCCTGGACTCCGAGCACATAGTGATTTTAAGGATAATTCCCTGTAAAGTGTCAGCAAGAAATCTTCACCTCAGGGTCTGTTTCTTTGAGGAACCCAAACTAAGACATCCAGACAGCTGGACTGGATGGGGGTGGAGGGTCCAAAAGGACCATCAGGATACTGACAACAGAAAAGGAAACGCATGGATTTCCCCTGTACCATTGGATCATAATCTCTTACTTCCCTATTATTTAACACAGTGACCTCCATAAAGTTTTCTGAATGTGTTATATTCCCTTAGGATTCTTGGCTGAGTGTAGAGCTGATGAGTCAAAGAATATCAGTATTTAAATCTTTTTTCCTGCACCTGACATTGTGGGCACAGCTGTAATCCCAGCACGTGGGAGGGCTGAAGCGGGAGACCTGCAACTTCCAGGCCAGCCTGGGCTACATAGAGAGACCCTGTCTTTAAAAAAAAAAAGGACGTCTTCCCCCTATTTCCCAGACATGGTATATAGTTAAATGCCTTAACTATTGAGGTTGAAAATTTGCTCTAATTCATTTTGTGAACTATGTGTTCATAATCTTTGGAATGATTAAACCCTACCTACTGACAGGAGCAGTTTTGCGTATTTGAAAGCCCACTCTAGTAACAAGTTTCTCACCGCAAAGAATTTAACAACTATTCCAGTAAAAAGATGAAACTACACATTAGAGGGTTAAAAAGGTATGTTGGAAACATTACTGGATCACTGAATGGGACAGAATGGTTGTGTGTTTAAAAAAAAAAAATACTAGAAGCTGAGGCAGGAGCAGAAGTTTGAGGCCAGCCTGGCTAAGAGTCCTGAAAATGTGTAGAAACCAAGATGTTAATGTTAGAAACTACCGCACATCAATGACAAATATAGTAATGAGATTATCTCAAAATAAACAGAAATAGAGCTTTAGAGCTGCCCAAAGGGACAGTGTACTGGATTAACTAAAGGGAAGGGCAGCAACTTGTAACACCCAGCTGAACTGAATCAGCGTGATTCTGGCCCACCTGAGGACTGTCGCCAACAGTGTAAAAGAACTGGAGGGGAAGACAGTGTGCTGTTGATTATCCTGGAGAGCTTGTCATGCTAGTTTCCTGACAGGAGAACTCAGCTGTCATCAGAGGAGCTCGGTCCTCCAGGTTGCTGGGGATGACTGTGGCTCTTTTCGGGGGAGTTCTGGTCCTTGCTGTGAGAGTTGCTTCCTGGCTCCAATACAGATCCTTCAGCCTGCTCTCAGCTAGGACATTGCCATGGGATCCAGACCCTGAGCTGGATCCTTTAGGTCTCTAGTACATAGACAGAGCTCTTGCTCGCTTCTACATTTGACTTTCTGAGTGAATATTATCAAATAATTCTGTAACTGTCTCTGGTATTAAATCTATTCCCTTGCAAGCCCTGACTACAACAGACACATAATGTGACTTGTGTGTCAGCCATGAGGCAGCAAAAAGTGCTGGGTGTTGGGGGCTGTCTCCTTCATGTCCACACCTATCCACTGCCCATGGTCCACCTGTTTTTCTGTCAGGGGCATACAGCCCCTGCAGTGGCTCAAGGACATGCAGCCTGGGTGTCATCTCTACTTGAGGAAGGCCAACCATCTTTGACGGTTTGCATCAGTTCAGAGTCAAAAGGTACCATCAGATAATGTGGTCCATTGCCTAGTTTAGGGATAAGGAAAGTGATACTCATTAGGGAAAGCAAAGTGACCCAGTGGGACTGAGAACAAGAAAATTCCTCTTCAAGGAAAGTCATCACTCTTCTGAACGTGGAGGGCATGATTTCCAGAGCTCTGAAAGGTGAGGCCTTGGGAAACACTTCATGGTGGCCCAAATGCGAAGCTCACCATTACATTATTTTTAGAATTTTATTACTCATTTTCCCTTGGTTAAGCTAAAAACCTTTCAGTCCCATTTCAAAAACTTCAGTACACCTCAGACATGTCAATATCCCGATAAAGCAAATGTTTCATTTGTTCCCAATTATGCTCTGTACGACAGTATTTCACTCCTGACTTGTATTCTGGCACCTTTTCCCCAAGAGTGGCCTATTTTCCCAGAAAGGGAGCTATGCATCACTCATCTCCACTAAAATAATACAACAAAGAGGTACCGCTTTCTGTCAGTGCTGTATCATGACAGTAATACTTCCTGTAGCGTTCTAAAATGATTAGGAAATGCGACATTAACAACTATATTGAGCTGAGTACCGCAGTACACACCTGTGATCTCAGCTATGTAGAAGGCTGAATCAGGAGGATCACTTGGGCCCAGAAGTCCAAAGTCAGTGTTAATAACATAGACCTCATCTCAAAAACAAATCCTCCCCAAACCAAAATAATAAAATATAACCTGTGACACAGGACCAGTAAAACTTTCACTTTCTTTTACCTTTACAGCATTTAACAGAGAGATGTCCACAGGCAGTTTTCACACTCAAGAAGTGGTAGCACCAAGTATGTTTTTTGTTTTTTTGTCTTTTTCCTTTTTCTCAGTACCGGGATAGAACTCACGACTGCCTGCTTGCAAGGCAGGCGCTTATGCTGCTGGGCTAAATCCCCAGCCCTGGTAGCACCAAGTATTGCTAGCTGTCTTTTTCTGAGCAACTGTTCCACACGTATGTGTGCTACTCTCTCTCCACCTTCAGTATATTTAGGTAAATTCAGTAAACTCAATGTGTCGTTCAAAAATTTCCCTCCTTTCCTGAGTTGCCATCTCAGCTGCCTCACCCCACAATCCAACAGCAACCAGAGCAGGCGACTGCTTTTAAAACACAATTCCAGCCCTGAGGAGCATCGCTTTTCCACTGTAGTACCGCACCTTGTGCAAGGCAAGGGATTCACATACCTACTAAAGGAAATGGGCTTGCAGTCATCACTAAAGCACTCTTGTTACTGTAAATTTTAACAACTTCTTCCCTGTTTAGGAACTCATTTATTAAGCACTTAATATAAGTCAGGCACTTTCCTCTTGTTGCTGTTTAATTCCCTGTAGTCCAGTGCAAAGGAACTGGGTTCAATTCTCAGTACCAGGGCGGGAAAGCTGTGTAGTAAGTACCAACATACTGAAGAAAACAAGGCTGACAAGTCAGAGAAACCCATTCAAAGTAGACCTCGTGCTGTCTGGTTACAAAGCCAGAATCATCCCACTGCGATTTACTGCTCACTCTCGTTAAGGTTACGAGACCTCCTGAAAGACGGGACGTTAGTATTTTCTGATCAAACAGGGAAAAGGAACCTGTAAGACACTCATGTGCCACTGACCTAAAACCACGTGATTCATACACAATTGGTGAAGACAGCCTATGCTTCTTAAACATTAAATTGATTATAAAGTTTGTAACTAATTACATAGGCTTTTAAAACATAGAATTTGTCAATTTTAGGCAATCTAGCTACATCAGGCCTATGCAAATGTCACAGGTTTACAGACTTCCAAATTCTGAATACCTAAATATCTCATTTCAGACAAGAAAACTGAAAAGATTGTTATTATTAGGTTCTAGATTTAGCCCATATTTCAATGTAACACATTGTAAGATCAATGGTAGTTCATTCAAGTATAACTGGTTTATATCAATATACCAACATTTATCTACCTCAACATGCAATTATGAGATGATGTTTGATTTCACTACATAAATACAGTAGCCAATATCTAATAAGAGCCATTTCTAACTTCCACAGAACTTTGTGGCCAGAAATCTGGCTCATAAAACTAGCTGAGTATTAAGACATTTTGGCTTCCACCTACCAAGTTTGGATGTTGTTAAGTGTTTAGTGCCTTCTTTTCACTCCTTTCCACTGTTAAAGGAAGCAAGGCTTTCTAAACATAAACCCAATAGTACTAGTTTATGCTCTAAATATTTTTTCATGTAACTTCTTCTTGGCAGAATGAGGGATGGAACTCAGAGCCTCCCCCACTGGTTTACATCTACAGGTCTTTTGAGACAGAGCCTCACTAATTCATTAAGTTGCCCACACCGGGCTTGAATTTACAATCCTCCAGCCTCGGGCTCCCAGAGTTCTGGGATTACAGATGTGCATTCTTGAAATCCCATATACCAACTATAGTGTTTAAGACTCCAGATATGGTATCTAATAGAAGATAGTTATGAAACTGCAACCTATGATTTGTAAAACTTGAAGAATTAAGAAAAAAGACTGGGTTAGTACTAGAACCTTGTTATGGAGCTATTAGACATGAAAGTAAGTTCAAGCATAACTTCTACAGACCTCAACTATATGGCAATGAATGAACAGGTAGCAAAGGACAACTATGCTGTGTCAGCTCCTGAATTCCGACTGAAAAGGAAAGGGTATCTTAAAATGTACAGCAGCAGCTACATTTCTACAGGAAACCCACAACTAGGGGACCTGTGGGGTTCTCTAAAGAGAGTTCTTCTCCACAAGTTTTCCAAATGGAGAGGCTTCTCTTTTTTTTTTGAGGGCAAAATATGGTGACAGTAAAAACACTGAGTATTTAAATGACATCTGTGATAACTAATGACTCTTCCTTCACTCTAGGATTTTAAAGCACTAACAGTCCTGTTAACAACAGTTCATTCATCTTAATCCACATGACTATGGCTCTAAAGGACAGATCAAGCATTACCTAGTGTGCAGGATCCTGGGGATAATTTTAGAAATGAGATTTCTGGAAAGACTGGAAGAAATACAGTGATCTTGCAGACAATATGTCCATAAAGATACACTGTCTACATCAATCATTATGAATGCTACTGTCTCTTACTCACTTTCTTTCCTTACCATAAGATAAAAAATACAATCATAAATTTCTTTGAAAATTATGAAAATAAATACCTATACTTTTTAGCCTCCATAATATACAGCACATACTTCTGTTCGGACATGGTTGATGCCAGTGGGTTATAGCTGAATGATAATGTGTTTGCTAAGACAGGACCACTGATTCCACAGACAACCAGCACACCTTTGAAAGGCATCTCTGGTTAAGAACTGGGCACAGGTCCACAATATAGCTACTATAATCTTCCTCTATACCTTATTCATGCTTCCAAAAGTGAATGGATCCATAAGATACTTTTAGCTAGAGTTTATAAAAAGGTAACTGTGTAATTTTTAATAAAATTTTATAAAAAGATAACTATATAATTTTAGAGCTACAAAAGAGCCCTAAAAATAGTCTAGTCAAATTCTTTCCCAAACTTGTAACTGAGGCAACTGAAGCAATCATTCACAGATTATGTAACTGGCCTCAAATCTTTCTGTAAATTAGCGAGGACAGAACCCTTTATATGTTGTGACTTTATAAAAGGACTTTAGGATTAAAGAGATTTTGTGTATCTACTATGCTACACTAATTTTTAAAAATGTCATATAAAAAGCAATATAATCTTTAGTTTAAAATGTCATACCAACAAACATGATATGTTGTAATTATTTTATTAATAGGAAGCAATACGATAAATCCTTTACAGGGTACTGATTCACTGCCATGAATGTGTACTGGTACTTTGGTGTAGTGTCATGCTTTTAATTTACTCAAATTATGTGTCACTTACTTTCATTTCCACATATATAAAAACACTTATGTTTCAGTAGCTGAAAGAACAGTACACAACCATGCATATTTTCTTTCTTGTTTAAATGCATGTAAGTACTCTCATGTACAATGGATTTTTCACCACTCAAGGACTTTATATATAGAAACAATTTTTCAGCACTCTTTCTTGCCATTTTCTTTAATTGGAGAGGACCCCTCCCCCACTGAAAAAGTACTAATGTAAAAAAGATCCTTTTACGAAGTCCTCTTCTGCAGAACTGTTTGAGAACACAGTTATAGTCCTATAATGAGACTGTAATCAAGACCATCCTACAAGGACATGAGGATAGACCCACACTCTCTTGGAGAGTTTCTGATCTTATTAAGAGTATTATAATGAAGAAGAGTGAGGATTAAAGACATTCTAGAAGACTCTCCTAGAGAGATTATTTTGAACATATTTCAATCTTATGGCTACAATGAAGACAACCTGATAATTGAATCATTTTGCTGAAGAAATTTGTGTCCAGAAAGACACAATAATATAATCAAATGTTAACATTTTCTTACAGTATGTGAAAATATATAGGCCATGAAAGCAGAAAAATGTAGCACTATGATAAAGAACAAGGAAACACTCTTGAAGAACAAAACTTAACACACCAAAATTTCAAGTGGTATAAATTTTCATGTCAAATTTTGTAAGCGAACTATAAAATTTTTAAATGACAACTAAATTTTCATGTTAAATCTTTTAACAAAACCCACAAATAGATTATAAAAATTGAAAAATCATAAATGTTTTGTGTATAAAGTTTTAAGGGAAAGTTGAAATTTCTACATTATTCTCTTTAATCGAATACTTCTGGAATTTTAAGTTACTGCAGAGAAGTAGTTCATACATTTCTAAAACAATTCAGTTATGAAAAACAGTATCAAATCAAGGTTTGGCACAGTAGCATTCCATCAATCTTCAATCATCCACAAATGTTAACCGTCCAGGCCCCTCATTCTTCATCCATCTCCTGTATCTCTTCCATCTAGGGTCATTTGCCAATTTTTTCTTTAATTCTTCCTCTTGTTCTTGTTTGTAAACCTGTAGGTATAAATAATACTAAATAACTTTACAAAGAAAAGAGAAACATTAGCTGTTAACTTTATGGTATTTGTGTATTTTTCAAATATAAGTTTAGATAAGTTTCAGTGAATATGTTGATTTGTCTTATGAAGACTATTCGTCTAAAAATACACGATAAGTAACCATTTGAACATTTGGTGTGAAGCAAATCTTGTAAAAGAACTAGTGATAACGTTTTTTATCACAAATTCTGCAACTTAAGAATGCATTTTTTACTCGTTGAAATCCTACATAAATTGAGTTTAAACAGCTTAATATTTTCCCTATACAACTAACATCCAATATTAAAGAAACAATGCTTTATTTTTTTAAACATGGTACACTGAAAATTTTAACTTTCATATTTGTTAATTTTAATCAAGGAACAAAATGACCTTAAACAGATCTCCCAACTGAAAATTTAACTTTCATATTTGTTCATTTTAATCAAGGAACAAAATGACCTTAAACAGATGTCTATTTTCCAACTGAACTGAAGATTGAATTTTCAAAAATAACTTTTATTAAGTCCACGAAGTGTTAGATAAGCTACATAGGTTAAGAAAGAAGTACATCTGTTTTTAACTTTTAGTGGACATCAACTGAAACTAAATGGAAAAGATGTCATGCTATAAACAGTTTCATATCCATTATCAAATTTTAGAAAGAAATATTACTTCCAAATACTAGGAAGTAATGACTAGGATAACCTCATATAATAATCTATGATACTTCAGCCTAGTATGATCATCTAAGACAGTTTTTTGTCTAAGAGAGAAATTTCTCAAATAGTTAACAGCTAAAAAATATGTTAATTTCTATTATTATGTTAACAGACTGAATGTATTTACCCACCAAAACACCCACCAACTTACAGTAAGTTGTTAATGAAACCACAAGTCTCTTTAACACTGTAGGCAAACAACTGATCCCTCAAAGTAATTTTTATGGCTGACAATTATTTTTTAAAAAATTACTTAAAAATATTTAATAAAAGGCCCAAAAGTACACTACCAGGGATTGAACCTAAGGCTTCACCATGCTAGGCACTCTATCTACCACTAAGCTATATCCCCCGTCCAAAAGGCCCAAAATCTAAAGGTATGACAGTAGGTTGATTTTAATTTAAAACTAAAATATAAAGAACAAAGTAAAGGGGCTGAGAACTTAGCTTAGCAGCATAAGCACCTGCCTTGCTAGCAGGCGGTCATGAGTTCGATCCCCAGTACTGATAAAAAAAAAAAAAAAAAGAACAAAGTAAAAGGTAAATAATGGGGAAAAGGGAGATACATCTTTTGCAAATGTGAAGACCACTAGATGGAGGAAGGGAACAGGGAGGTGGAGGAAGGGGACGTCAGAACAACTGACTCCCCTAATGGATGTAATGATTATGTACTAAAACATGTACTAGCTTTAAAAAGGTGCTAATAAAAAATGCTTGAAAGTAAAATAAAATTTTCCATATATATTATTAGGCAGAAGATTCTGTGCTCAATTATTTTGAAACTGTTCTTTCAACAAAACTTTTATTTCTAATTCATTCTCTCCCAATCTCTCTTGCTAGCTTGTTTGCTCTCTCTCTTTCTCACTCTGTTATGCTTTTAAAAAAATCTCTGTGGTTAGGTTTTAATGATGAGAAGAAAGCTTGGGAAAGACTAATTTGTAATTAACAAAATTAACAGAAAATTGTTGTAACATCCTTGCAAATACATACATCATTCCAGTGCAGTTTAACATATTAGATCATTTTAAAATTTTTTTCACAATTATCTGATTAAAGTACCTGAATTTAGTATACTTTTAAAAAGATAAATTACAGATTAAAAACCCAGTCCCCCTATTACAAAATAATAGTCACACTTTCAGTATAAGTAAGATATCATTCATGATTTAACCTCAGATTTTGGAAACTTAAGCACATTTCATTGGTCCCTTCTCATACAGGAAAGAGTGAGCTGGTAGGCGGGATGATGTTAAAATCGGAGTGGAGCTGCTACTCACCTCATAATTCTCCTTTATCCAGAGCTCACGTTTAAGGAAAGTTTCTTTCTGATGATCTTCTAGACTATCAAACTGAGACTTTGACATCTTCATAGATTTACGTATGAGATAGAGTCTCTCTTCTTCCCCATATTCTTTGCCTTTGATGTTAAAATTGTAAATCCAGCGGCAATACCACAGTATATATGAGCACAGGTGAAAAGGAGCCAAGAGAATTTGGAACAGGAGAAGATCACGGATTTGAGGTTTCTGGTAGCCTCCCTTTATGTCTATTTTACTTTTTATAATGTTCTTTATGATGTTCTCTTCCTTGTCACGAATTTCTTCTTTGAACTTTTTGTTTCTGCCTTTTTCTTTGGCTTTCTTGAGCAGTCCCTGCTGTATGGCAATCTCTGTTGCTTGGATACGGTACTTGGGCACTGTGGCTAGGTAGCTAATTGCCTTATTGTAGCTATTCCACCAGCTGAAAAACTAGAATATTTAACAAAGAAAGATGAGTCACTTTCATTCCCACAATTCATCTAAAATAAATCAACAGTAAAGGGTCATGTCTAAAAATCATCACCTAAGAAACTCATTTAAAAATAATGGGATCTCAGATGGGTGTAGTGGCACATGCCTATAATCCCACCACTTGGGAAACTGAGGCAGGAAGATCACTGTGAGTTCAAAGACTGAGTGGGCTACAAAGCAAGTTCACAGCCAGTGTGAGCTACAAAGTGAGATCCTATCTAAAATAGAAAAAAGAAAACAAAACAAAAACCAATAAAGTACATCTATATGGACCTCAAAGATCTTGAAAGTAAATAATACACCTGAACAAAGCTATTTAGGTATGTGGGATCTCAAGGCTGAATAAGTAGGATTAACTCAACTGAACCAAAACGTCATTGATTCAGACAGTGAACAGCCCAGATCAGAGGACAGATCAATGGAATCACACTAAACCTGTCATCTCACCACCCTACCATATTGCCTCTTCCTTAGATCACTATTAAAAACTGTTTCCTTTTCCTTAACTGTAATCTACTTACTAAAAGAAGAGTTAAATAACAAAAGCTAGCTGGTAGGAAATTTATTGTAAAAATTCACAGGGTATACATCAGTGGTGGCAAACCTATGGCACACGTGCTACAGCAGGCACGCAGAGCAGCATCTTCCCAGCAGCCAAGTACTGGATATCCAAGTTTAACTGCAATGTTGGCACTCTGCAATACATAAGTGCGTTTGGGGCTGCAGTTTGGGCACTCGGTCTCTAAAAGGTCTGCCATCACTGGTAGAGATTACGGCAACTGTATTACTTCTATCTCTTTCCTAAGTCATCTACAGATACTACAGTAACATACATCCTATTATGAACTGCAAAATTCAAATATGTTTGAACTGTTCACTGGGAGAGGAAATTATTACTTCATAAATATTAAATCACAAAGGGTTTTATCTTCTTAAAAAAAGGAAAATTATCCTTGTTTATCCCCTTTGAAAGGGTAATACTTCCAGAAAAGCAGACACATTTAAAATATTCCACCTTACTCTTTATAGGAATGTTTTATTATGTAAATTGACTATCATTTCTGGAAATTAACCTGGAGAAGTAATTTTCAGACCAGTAAGTTGTTTTAGTCTAGTCACCTGATTTGTTCTTTTCCTCAAAAGAAGCACATGATGGATGGAAAAACTTAAATTTTGAGATAGTTTAAAACAACATAAAAGGTTATTGTATTTCCCTTCATCTGGTTCAGTGGTTTTCAGCCAGAGGACTCGCACTTTGGGAGGCATGTGGAAAAGTGCGGGGCACTTCTGATGGCTACAGGGAGGACAAGGACTCTGGCATTGCGGATGGGAGCCAGGACATGTTAGGCACCCATTAAGGATTTCTTACTTTTCCCAAGTGTATGAGAAATCACTGAAAAGTCCTATAAAATTAAACGACATGATTTGGCCATAATACAAGATACTCTGCAGGAAGCATGAGAAAAGACCTGGTTTTTGCAGTGGTGGGAGCGGGGAGGATGTAGTTTACATAATTGACAGAAATCACAACACCCTCAGTTGCTAAAATAAATGAGTAATTTTCTAGTATAAAAAATTAATCTCAGTTGAAAGCAAAATTTTACATAAAGGTATTTTGAATGCAGTTCTGGTGACTGGCAGTAAGTGACACACTCGTTCACAGGCATACAAAAATACACATATAAATTGATACACACCTGAAACACTGAAATGGCACACACGCTGACCAAGATCACTACCTTAACATCCACTTTAGGAGCTAGACGCCTGCTGTAGTAGTGGTAGTAATGGCTGTAGTACTCTTCTGGATGATCCAGCATATAGTCATAATCTTTCCGAGTTTCTTCATCCTGTTAAATGACAAGGCAGCCAATTTTAAAGGACAGTTTGTTAAATAGTCTTAGTTTATAACTGGTACAGTTAAATCTATAATTTTATAATCATTTAAGATTATTCTGACTTTTAAAAATTGTTAAAAATATTTCCCATTAATCAAAGGTATCCATATACAAATTTACTTCTAGAAATTTCTTTCTTTTTTTTTTTTTTTTGTCTTTTTCCTTTTTATCGGTACCAGGGATCGAACTCACGACTGCCTGCTTGCAAGGGAGGCGCTTATGCCGCTGAGCTAAATACCCAGCCCCACTTCTAGAAATTTCATATTCATTATAAAGGCATAATAAAAACATTCCCCAAATTCTTATTATTGATCTTCATGGAAAAATATAATTCTTTTAACAATTAACCATGCCTTTTTAGCAAATGTTTTGGTGCGAATAACAGTACCACATTCCTATAACTTAAAACAAAGATAATACCTACTCAAGAACTGTTGATTAAAAAAAATGTTTATCTCATACATATATATACATTATATTTCAACTTTGTGTAGAAATTTTTCTATTGAAAGTGGAATCTGAAACCAGTCTGTGCCTTCAAACTGAATTATGATAATTCCACAGAAACTGTGACATCAGCACAGTATAATGGGCAAAGTCTAATAATTCTGTGACCTCAACAAAATACTGAACTTCTATAAGCTTCACTCTTCTTCATTTTTAAAAAGAGATAGTACTCCCTATCCTAACATCTTAAACTTTGTTTTGAATATTCAATAACATTCATTGTATAAAAGCCTGTTACAGGGGCTGAGGGTGTGGCCCAGTGGTAGAGCTCTTGCTTTCATGCACAAGGCCCTGAGTTTGATCCCCAGTACCACACACACAAAAAAAACCATGTTACAAATAAGTAGTACAAATATGAAGCATCGTACATTGCACAGCCCAGTCTACAAATAACTGACCTTTAAGCATATAAATTCATTGAAAAAATTACAGCATTCTGACACCCTGCTCTGAATAGTCACAAAGTTTTCCTTAAAATCTTCTCTAATTCTTATCAATTTTTAGTCAATAAATGCAATGTTTTATTGAGTTACCTAGGTTGAGGAACTAGCAATCTAGATTACAATTTATTTCTTCTCCTACAGGAAATCTATTTTTCATTCAAGACAACACCAGCTGTGGTGGTAAACACCTATAATCCAGTACTTGGGAGGCTGAGGATCACCATGAGTTTGAGGTCAGCCTAAACTACATAGTGAATTCAAGGCCAGCCTAAACTACATGAGACCCTGTTTAAAGTTAAAGACTAAAACAAAATGCATTCTTTATCTGTGAGTGCAGTAGAAACTCTCACAGAACAAAAACTTTTTGCATGTTTTCAGTATATAATAGTAACATTTATCATGCAAAAATTTTTTTTTTATCTAGAGAATTTCCTTCTAGGTTAAACCACTCAGTATTCACAAAGTATGTTCTACGCTAAGAGCACTTCAAACCAAGGACCTTCTCATGCACACAGGAGCTCTAGAGTCTATTCAGAGACTTCTTAGTCCTTCAATATGTAGTTTCACAGATTTAAAGTAAGTGACAAAATCTTCCCTGTGCTAATTAAAGTTATCATGTATTTTCTATTAAAATTTCTGAATTTAGGTGGACTTACAGGCTCATACCTATAATCCCAGTGTTCTGGGAGGCTAAGCCAAGAGAACTAGAAGTTCAAGCCCAGCCTAGGAACTTTGCACATGGCAAGAGCATGTTCTCAAAATAAAAAAACACAAATGTGGATGGGGATATAACTTAGTGCAAGGGCTCTGGGTTCAATTCCTAAGTACCACAAAAAAATAAAATTAAAAAAAAACATATATATATATCATGTTATGACACTATACTGAGGACAAACTGCCTGCTGTCTGGCTGTAGTGTGAGAAGCAGTTCAGATTGATACTGTTTTCCAATTCACCCTTTGTATGTTCTCTTCCACTAGGAAGGATTTTCCTGTAACCTTTGCCATATGCCTCAACTATCAATCCATTCCTTCATTAAAGCGACACTGTATTCCAGAGCTTCTAGCCTAGACGGGTAAGGTCACAACAGATAGTCCTGAGGGCGAGCGTCCACATCTCTTCGTGTGTCTCATTTTGAATATTTCAGGCTGTCTCTTCAGCATGATTCTATTTTCTCTCTCTCTCTTTTTTTTTTTTTTTTTTTTTTTGCTTTTCTGGGGTTTCATTACATATAAATACCCTGCTTTTGGTCCGAAACCACTGATTCTTAACTCAGCCTTCCAATCTTGGCAGATGTTTTCTGAAATACAGTTGTTGCTCAACTAAATTATATATAATTTTGAAACTAAATGCTACTTAGTCTTGCTCCAACTAGATTACATGTCATTTTGAAACTAAATGCCACACTGAGATTAGATCCCTGCTGCACAGCCCTTTGCCCATCTTGGCTGGCTGCACCTTCCCAGTGAAGAGCAGTTAGGCCTTTGCATCCACTGAAACCTGGTATGTGGACACCATGTGCCCCACGGCCATCCTTTCTTCTTTCCATAGAAGAGGAGTATCATCCTCCTTAAGCATTTCACCCCCAGGCTCATCATCTTCCCACTGTTTCTTGATTCGTGACTTCACTGAACTCCTCTAACAGAATAGTAAGCTAATGCTCCTCCACCACCAGCTCCAGAATCCATCCCTTGTGTGTGTTCTCTACTGCAGGCAGAACTGTGGGGCTCTATTCAAGGTGCCCTAATGAGTTCTCAAAGTACAAAAGCTCTTCCTACAAAAGGCCTCAGGGTCAAGCCAGACTTGTCTTCGCAGCTTATTTTCCTAAGGTCACCATAAATTTATGATCCTGTTGTGGTAATTATTAGATACTAGAATGCTGATGAATTCCTCTTGTAGTATTTAATTTGACCAATTTTCACTGTAGGCCTTACAGTTTTCTATTCAGAATGAAGAAAAGATGTTTAGGCTGAGGTGTGCTTATAATTCAGAAAGTATTCCAAGTTGGTGCAAAATTAGTAAAAGTTAGGAGTTTTCAACATTCTATGTCAAAATTCTACTCTTTAGTACCCTACAATATTTAGAACATAAGGATACCAGAAATATGAGCAAAAAAGAATAAGGAGGACTATTTTTTTGAGACCCTATCAGAGAAAAAAGGTTATCTGTACACTAACACCATATCTGCCTTTTCTCCTACCCTTCTCAGAACTAAGGCAGTCCCACAGTTCCTGTTTTTATCTTCAACGTTTCCCCAAGGCCAAAATTAAAATTTCTTAGGCATACACCAAAGTCCATACTGGCCCAGCCCAGCTACCTAACAACAACTCATACCACACTTCCTCCTTCTACCACCACAAGCATTTGGATAACAAATCATGCCTTTGAGGAACCCTTCCAATACATCACACTTTCTCACACCTGTGTCTTTGGATGTGTTATTCTCCCAAATTGAAGTCCTTCCCTTTCTTCCAACCTCATGGACTTCTAAAGGTAAGGGTGTTACGGCCTCAGACAGAGTTGGACTACTCATTTCTGTGTGTTTGTCTGTTCATCTGTTTGTTTTGGGTGCTGGGGAATCTAGCCCAGAGCCTCACACAAGCTAGGTAAACACTCTACCACTGAGCTCCACCTCAGACCCCGGCCCACTCATTATGCTTAACATCTATTATTATAGCACTTATCACATTGTGATCATCAGTTTTTTTCTTAAAGGAGCATTTCTAGAAGGTACACAGGGTAACACATTCATCTCTTCATATCGAAAGCCTAGCACAGTGCCTGGTATTCAGTAAATGTCATTTCAACTGAGTGACATGTAAAGCTTTCCCTCACTATACACAGCACTCCAGCCACATAGGTCTCTTTTTCACCAGCAAGGCTGGATTGGTGATTATGTCATAAAAATTTGGGGCTGGCAGAAAAGACTGAATTCAGTTTGAAAATATGCTTATGTGGCTAAAATAGCTTAAACCTTTAAACAGTTTAATATCTTACCTTTCAATAAGGTAGTACTTTTTTCTTTCAGCAATTTTGTGGATCTTAATGTCCCAGGGTCAGGAGATTCCAACTTCTTTCCAAAACCAAAACCTTTTTACTTGTATCTTCCTCCTCTCTGTCCTGAGCCTTGACAAGCAGGGCAATAAACTTGTTTCTAATCTCTACAGGAATAAATGGTGCTTCTGCTGTTGTCCATCCATTCCCAATCCTCTTGGGCATATGCAGGAGGACTGGAACATAACCACCAATATCTAGATCAAAAGTAAACAAGAGGAAACCCACAAGCAAAGAAAGCACTGAATTCTTCCTTCTCTTAAGAAAATGATCATTCCCCCTCCCCGGAGGCAAAAAACATAATGTTCTTACCCCTTGAAAGTAATAATGAATTATCTGATAACAATAACCATAAATTGCAATAATGTAATATTGCAGCCAGTTTTCATTAAAACTTCCTACTGCACAAAATGTAGAAGCCACTTTTAGAGGGTAAAAGGCCAGGAATCGATAGTATATGAAAATACAATCATATTTTAAAAGGAATCACACTCATACAATGCTTCAAAATATAACTTCTGGGGGAAAAATGTAGCTTCTGTCCCCTTAAATTTTTTTCCAGGCCATAAGAAGAAGAAAAAAAAAATTACTCTCATTTTCATCTCTTTTGTTGTTCCCCATCTGCCAGTTACTAGGTACAACTATCTTTTCATTTTACATGTCATTTCAAAAACTATGATTTGGGCTGTCATCTATTGGTGACAAATCTGTTTTTCCTGCTTTCTCCTACTTTCAACTATGTCTTAAACATTTTCTAAATGTAACATTAATATCTCCATTTCAATAGACTCAAAACCAAAATTATCTGTGTCTCAGTTAATACCAACACCATCTACTTGATCACTTGAACTTTAAAAAAACTTTACTACTTCAGATTCAGCAAGTAATGACCCACAGCAGCCTTGTGTTAAATACAAAGGAGCCTCAAGAACCCTCCCTTTCTAGGGA